GCATGGTAGTGGCGCGGCGTTGTTCCTGTCCATGAACTCCAGCCCCAGCACTATGTCGTGGTCGTCCATCTCCGTAACTTGGAAGTCAGCCTTGCCCTTCCATCCTTGCATGCATAGCTCCACCTCCTTGCACACTCTACTCACGCGTGCCTCCTCGGAGTTGACGGCCTTGATCCAGCCCTCCGTCTTGCGCATCTCCAAGCCAAGTCGTTGCGCCTCCTCCGGGGTAATGAAGTTGTGTGTAGCACCCGTGTCTACCAACGCTTGCACGGCTTTGCCACCAACCTGCGCATCCACATAGCGCACCCCAGCTACCTTCTTTGCCTTGCCCTTCTTCTTGGTGTCATGCGCCATGCTACTCAGCATCTGCATAGCCCCCATGCACCTATCTTCATCGCTGCCCGCATCGTCCACCCTGCCCTTGCCCTTATCCTTCACAAGGGCGCTCATGGTCTTCTTGTTGGGGCAGTGTCACAATATGTGCGGCCCTTCGCACAAGTAGCACTTCGGCTCCCACTTGCCCTTATCGCGGCGCTCCCCTTTGCCACTAGCCTTAGACCTCTCTCCATGGTCCTTACCTTTATCATGGCGTGGGCGTCTCTCCTCATCGCTGTGCTCATCATCGCTAGACTTGGGCGAGCCCCGTTTCTTGAAGCGCCGGTCTCCCCCACCTTTGCCGTGGTCCCTCTTGGGAGACGTGGCCCTCTTGTCATCGCGCCTAAAGTCTTCGAGGCGCTCCGCTATAGCCATTGCGGATGCCAAGTCTCTAGGCTCCCTCCTTCTCAGCTCTGTGGCTACCCAAGACTGCAACCCATCAATGAACAAGCACATGCGTTGCCACTCCGGCATCTCTGGGATCTCCAGCATCAAGTTGGAGTACTCCTTCACATACTCCCTTATGCTGCCCTTCTGCTTCAGGCGCCTTAGGTTGATCATGGCGAGGTCCTCAACGCACTCGGGATAGAACTGCCTCTTGAGTTGCCTCTTAAACTCCTCCCATGTATCAACTGCTCTTGCGCCCCTACCGGTGAAGCGCTGTCTCCACCATAGAGCGGCAGTGTCCGTGAGGTACATAGTGCCTGTCTGCACCTTCTCCTCATCATCCTCGATCTCCATGCACTCGAAGTACCGCTCCATGTGCCAGAAGAAGTTGTCAATCTGGCGCGCATTCCTTGCCCCATCGTACTCCTTGGGCTCCGGCGCCTTCTTCTTCCTTGGCTTCACCACGACCTCGCGCGCCTGGGAGAACTCCTTCTTGCACTCGGCAATCTCCACGCGCAAGTCATCTACCAAATCATGCAAGTCCCTTTCTTTCTCTTGCGCCTTGTTGGCGATGCCATCAACCAGCTCGTAGAGCTCCGCCATCCTTCTCTCGAGCCTATTAAACTTGGTCTCCGTGTAGACCAAGTGTGTGGCAAGCTTCTCCTCCAAGCTCTGCTCTAAGATGTGGACTTGGTGGTCTCCTCCGCTAGCCATGTCTACTCCAACAAAGCTCCCTTGACGAACCTGCTCTGATACCAACTGTCACGGGCTTAGAGTTTCAGTACCACTCTAGCTGCTCCCGTGCGGCACCAAGACGTTGCTTTCACTCTCGCAAGTACTTGGTCAGCCTAACTCCCGTGCACACCTTAGCCAACACACTCCCCTCGTGCGCTTACTAGTGTTGTAGTTGCCCTCGCCCTCTCCTCACCTGGCTTGCACACTCACACACACTAAGGCACTTAAGTTGGCAAGGAAAGAACACTTCTATTACTTCAAAGAATGCTTTGTACAAGGCTAGCACTCAAGCTCTCTACAAGGCTCTCAAGACTCACTCTAGGACTTGTTGTTTGCAAAATGAAGTCCTACTCCTATTTATAGGCATCCCCATCCCTAATGGATGGCTAGGATGCATTCTAACCAACGGTGGAGATTGATTATCTAGAATCTTCTTCCACCTTCTTCACACTTCCATACTTATCTACTAGTATCTACAACATTCTAGAATTCTCCATACTACTCCACACAACTCTGGAGAACTCTAGAACCTTCCACACACTTCTACACATTTCTACACATATCTAGAATCTTCCACATAACTCTAGACTATTCCGGAAGACTCTAGAAACTCCACTTGCCATGCAGTTGTCATGCAGCGTCCTCCTCAGCGTCTGCGTGTCGCCTGCGTGGCACAACCTCCATAGGCGGGGCGTGACACTAGGCTTGCTTGCGTAAGAAGAATATGGAGTGGAGTTAGCACTTTCACAATCTGATACGAAAAATTTCTTGAATTTAGTTTAAGTCGGTGAAAATAAGGCCTCCACCTGATGATGAAGGTGTCAGTGCCAAAGTTTATACCTTTGTCGTTATTTCCGGCTTTCATAAAGAGTAATGCTTTGGGGTTCAATTTTTTTATGGGTTTAAATTCTGGTTTGATGATGTGAAAAAACAGATTTTGTTAATTTTTGGATTGGGTATAGTAAAAAAAAAAATGCATTTGGCTAAAGGCAAAAGCAAATATGTCTAAATAACATATTCTTCTCACTAGGTTCTCCACAGACTACGTGACATCTATAAAACTGATTGATATATCATATATGTTACAAAATTGACATCTATTTTGCATTATTATTTGTGATGACAGAGAGAGAAAAAATAAGAATATGGTTGAGACTAATTTGTAGTAAATGTCATGAAGAAGATTAAGTAAAAATAATTTTCTCCAGTTACTCATCTAACAATGGTGATTAACGCCACCTCCCCAACATATCCTTATCATCATCAAGTCAGCAAGTTAAGAAAGAAATTTATTTTATTTTACCAAATATATGAATACCACTGTATACATTACACTTTATACAATATAGGGTAAATTACATTGACCTCCATTATGATTTGTCATAATTACAGGGATCTCTTCTATAGTTTGAAAATTTATCTGGACCTCGCCTAAAAAATGAAACTATTCAGACCTTTCTTCTGTTACGGTCAATGCCAATCAATGACGGATTCTGCTGATGTCATTCACTTAATTAAGTAAAATTTTCATAATACCCTTCATCCATCTACCCTCCCTCAATTTCTCTCTCTACTCACTTTCTCTCCCTATATTATATCCATCTACCCTCCCTCAATTTTGCTCTATGCAAAATTGCGAGTATCAATTTGCATGATTCTTTCATGTATTGGATCTAAGTTGTCATCAATTATGTTTGTAGCCTTGCTTATGCAAGGATTCCAGCTAAATTTGCTTTCGGATAGGATGAGAAGTGTTGTGGAGAGCTTCAATGATGAATCGTTGAGAGTGTGCGATTTTGATGCGTTTGGTGGACCAGTCTTTGCTATATGTCTTTATTTTCGTTTATGTTTGGGTGTATATATATATACACACACAATGACATAGTTTATTAGTTCACCTAATACTTAAAAAGTATACAACAAAATAATAAAAAAACAATAGTGACCTTGATGCTGATTATTATGAAGTTTAGGAATATACATTCTAATTATAGTAATTAATTAACACAACAAAAACAAAACATAACAATTACGCCATTTTTTTCCATACAAAAGGAAAAATTTATATTTCTTTCAATATCTAATATCAAACATAACAATTATCATAAGACATGAATTAACCTAGAAACTAGAAAAATAGAAATTATTTGATTGACTTCCTTACAATTGTAGGTTTTTTCCTCTTTCCTTTTCCTTGAGGTGTTGGAATGGGAAAAACCAAACTATCCACAATAGAAACTGCCCGTGGCCTTGTGTCAACCTCTGTTTGTCCAAGATGAGTGCACATGTTGTTTTTAGGATTATAGATGAATAGCTTTATGTGATCAAGTATCATCACAATTTTACCTTTCTTCGTAACACACAATAGCTTCAAAGAACCTATTCGTCTCTCACGTATCCAGTGTGGGATGACAATTAACTTGGTCCAAGAATGATGCTCACCATATTGCTCCATAGTCCACGCCTCAAAATAGTTCATATCACTGATACTAAAATATAAACTGAGGCATCCCTTCAAAACCGTCAAATCAAACATATCTCCATCATTTATACAATTTGGTGATGGCATCTCCTTGAACTTGTGATCCACCATGTCAAAGTAAACAATCACACACCCATATTGCTTCTTAGATTGGTTTGTAAGGAGTGGTGCATTGCAAGGAACGATGATATGTTTTCTATAGGGATCACCGAACATAAAAGTTGGTGGATCAGAGGTTCCAACCCTGCCCAATCTACCGGGAGAGGGAGGTCCAACTCTAGCAGAGGTCGACGACTCTCTATTATTATTATTATTGATCAAGGGTTTATAACCAGCCATGTGTAACACTCCATTGACAATAACGCCACAACTACTGCGATAACCCAAATAACTGCGATAACCCAAATAAGGGAAGTGCTTAGCCTTTGTCCAGGATTGACTTCTGAAACTGTAAACCACAAAATCCCTGAAACCGAAAAACAGCACCTTGTAATCATCCAGGAAAGAATCATAGCAAAATCCTCGTGGTATATAATTGTGATATTTAGGAGGAGGACTTGAGAACCTTTTGTATGCTCCGGTGGATGGATTCCACAGTACACATATGTGGTCCACCTTCAGAAATAACAGTACTAAACCATTACAAGAACAACTCAATACATGAGCCTTCCTATACTCCTCAAATGGAAAGCATAGTTTTTGCTGTGAATTATCACTGCAGTCATAGGCTATGGAGTCGAAATTTTTGTGATTACATCCGTTGTAGCCCCAGCGGATGATACGTTGACGGTCAAACTTAATTGATTCATTAAGATGTGATCTTGCGAATTGGGGATCGGAAATTGCATCAAGCCATGATTTACAAACGCACCTGAATCGCAACAGAGACTTGACGGGTAGTCTCAAGAGTATAATGTGTATGATTTCATATGGCGTGTCACCATATGAATTTCTACGCATTCTTCTTCGTTTTATCATGGCTTCGCTCTTGTCAGCGGCACAAGGATTCACTCGTTTTATCATGGCGGCCAGCGATAGAAGGATTCATGCAGGAAGGGGAAAAGTTGGCTTGATGGGCGCTGAGGAAGCGGGAGCAAGCAACCACAACCACCCCGAATCTGCTGGTGGCGTAGCAGCTTCTTTCTGACCATATATATATACTAGTAAAAAGCACGCACATGATGAATGTTTTGTAACTTATGGAAATTTTTTTTATATATATATATTTTAATTATTTTATAGAAATTATTTTATTTTATTTTATTTATATATATCCTTGTCTAATTAATTTTTTTTTATTAAAAAATTTATAATAAATAGGCAAATACATATGTTATATGTGATAAAGTTCTATTTTAAAATTAATTTAGTGTTTTATAGAAACTCTTTTAATATATCCTTATTTAATATGATATAGTTTTATTGAAAATAAAATAGGTAATTTGTGGTAGAATTTTATATAAATTATTTATTTTCTTAATATAAGTATCATTGCCTAATGAGATTTTATTTTATTAAAAAACTGTAATTTGTGTTAGAGTTTACAAAAATTATTTTATTTTTTATATCAATCAATAAATATTTTTTATATTAATAATTCTTGTCTAATTAGATTTTTTTTAATTAAAAAAGTCATAATAAATAGATATATCAGTAATTTGGGTTAGAGTTTTATATAAACTCTTTTAAAAATTTATTTTATTTTATTTAAATATATCCTTGTCTAATTTGATTTTCTTTTATTAAAAACCTCATAATAAATATATAAATTTAGGTTATATGTGATAGAGTTTTAAAGAAAATAAAATAGGTAATTTATAGTAGGGTTTTATAGAAATTAATTTATTTTCGGTAAATATAAATAGATAAATACACGTTATTTGTGATAGCGTTTTATAGAAAATAAAATATTTAATTTATGATAGAGTTTTACAGAAATTATTATTTTTTCTTTAAATATATTCTTGTCTAATTAGATTATACTTATTAAAAAACTCATAATAAATATATAATGTGATAGAGTTTTATAGAAAATAAAACCGCTAATTTGTAGTAGATTTTATAGAAATTGTTTATTTTCTTTAAATATATTATTGTTTAATTATATTTTCTTTTATTAAAAAAACTCATAATAATAATCCTATTCTACTCGGGATTTATTTATTCAATTCTAACTCTTTCCTAATCCAATTCTAATTCTCTTTACACTCCTAAAAACGAAGGAATTAAAACAAAGTTTAGGCTTGCTTGCGTAAGAAGAATATGGAGTGGAGTTACCAAAGTCTAGGTTTCTTCTTATAAGGCCTAAAGTAAGCATTGTTCATTAAAATAATCCGTTACACATTTGTTACTGTTGTAATATGTTGGGTAAACGTGCAACTAGATTAAGCAAAGAGCAGTCTTGGCCAAGATCAACTACTCCATCACTTCGATTCCAGCATTGCCCTTCCTCCAGCATTGCCCTTCCTCCAGAAGTATTCTCAATAATTGAAATCTGTCGCCCTCTTGCTACCGCCCTCCCCCAAGACCGCCGGACTGATTTCGCGCCTGTCATCCTTCATTAACAGCTAACAAGGCCGTTAATTGTGGTTATTAGCTTAAAATTTGATCCCCGACTATATTTCCCAGGTTTGGCCTAATTTTGGGCTTCTTTGCTGTCCCAGTTTTTGGGTATTTGGCCAAATGGTCCACATTGTAATTATACTTTATTCATTTATTACAGTTGCTTAAAATTCCCCAAAAAAAAAAAAATAAATAAATAAACTTTTGGTGGTCAACTGACATACCAGTGGAGTTTGAGTTCCATTTTTTCAGAGAAATGGGGCTATTACAAATAAATGATTTTTTACAGTTGGACTATTTACCTTTTTCACGCGAGATGACCAAATTACCATTTGACTACTCACTTTACCAAAGTCTTGATACTCTCTCGCACGATCTGATCTGCACACACCACCACACCCACATTCGAAACCCTAGCTCTCAGCAGAATGAACTGCTCGCAAGTAACTCTCGCCTTTCATATACATCTTTGATACACACACTTTTATCTTCACTTTGATCTCTGATTCGCCTGTTTCACTCTGTTCTTACAGTCTCAGGCGAGGTGCCGGAAAGCCGGTGGTTTCGAGGAAGTCTGGGTTTCTGTTCGTGAAGCGATTAATAGAGAGACATATATCGGTATGTTCTTCTTCTTCTTCTTCTTCTTTCTTTTTTCCTGTCTTGCGTGCTTTTCAATATGTTTTGTTTGGTTAGTGAGAAAACCGTAGGAAAAATGAAGAGATTAAGCTTCGGAATCTTACACGTTTCATTTTGAAGTTCTCAGGGAAAGATTTGCTTTACTCAGCTTTCTAAAATCACTCGCCCCTGTAGCAAACCCACCATATTCAATCTTTCAGTTTAATCAATCACTCTCAATAGGTAAGATTGTTCTGCACTCTACTCTGTGCATATATAATTTATGTAAACCTTAATTTTAACCCTAAATTTGTAAATCCTTAGTTTTAGCTTATGAAAATCTAACTAATATGATTATCTAATTTCTCTAAATAGTCGTTCCATTTGAGCTCCAAGCTCATATAGTGTGTGTTGCGTGAAATGGCACCGGGAGGGATAGATGTCAGCTGCTCTGCCTCAAAGGAAGAAGTATTACCGGCTAATGTTGTTGTCGGCATGGACCGTTTGGGAATCGATGGAGGAACATCTTCTAATCTGATTCTAATGGAAGCTCCCAGAGTGACAAGGAAGATGACGAAGGTGGTGTGCAAATCAACTGCTTTTCCGAAGAGTCGGATAGTGTTACTCTCCACTTTCAGATCATACGTCTTCAAAAACAGGTTGGTTTTCGTCATTGAACCTTCCTTTCATGACTTGATTGCAGTGTCATCACTTATGCAACCATTAATTTGATTATTCAATGATTTTTTTCTGCTTTATATTCGGATTCAAGCAATTTTCTTGATGCCCCATTTCACAATTGTTGGAACACTCTTATTGTTACTTGATTTTACTTGTTGAGGGTGGTTGTAATTTACTTTCGGAAAAACACAGATTATTGATGTGGTGTATGCGAAGCATTGCTCAGATGCAGTAAAATTACCCAATATAAGTAGTCAGGTTCGTATTTGTGTTTCTGTTTTTGTGTCAAAAACTAGATATTGTGTGATTATGTAGATTATATGCAGCTTTTATTTCCTGTGTAAGTTTACATTTATCATACTTTGTCACTGGATTATTATGTACTTTAACCAATCTTTTTAGATTTGGACTGTCAATGTGCTTACAGTTACATAAAGAATCAAGTGAAATTGATTCTCCAGGTCTAGTTTTTTGCTTTTGATTTTATGTTAATGTTGCCAAATTGAATTGACTTCATTTTTCCGAGAGATTATTAAAAGTCAAAGTGTCTAGATATTTCTTGATGCTGGCAGGAACTGTGTTCTGGATTGTGGGAGATGATTCTATTGACACTATATGAAAAATCACTTATTCTGAGGATACCACGTCAAAAGTCACTTTAACTAATCAATAATTTTATTTTATTATTATTATTATTATTTTTTTTTTTTTTTTTGTGCGTCAAAAGTCACTTTCAGAAAGCTCGTGGCACCCTGAACCATTAGGCATTTGTTTTAAATGAAACTAACTTTGTGCGAACAAAAGAAATCAGCATGATGCACATTAGAACTCACAATTATCTAATATATAAATTTTTTTTTTTTACTGTATTTATTTCTCTGTCTTCATTTTGTTTTTTTACTTGCTATGATATCATAACTGATACAAAGTATTACGCAGTCCTAAAAAGGAAAATAGGAAACTACTCAATGCTCCTAAACACAGATTTAAAAAAAGACTTTCTAGTCAGTTCTTTAGCTTTCTTCTCTCTGGTGGTTCTATTTTCTATACTGTTTTTGTAGATATATGCATGGATCGGTTGCAACTCAGCCAATTTCGGAAATTTATATGCCGCTCTGCTGGCAAGACCTGTAAGTTGACAATTTCTACATCATGCCTTTCTGCCATTCATTGTTGATTCTTTGGGATAAGATTTTCTATTATTTCAGCAAAAGTTTCAATATCTAAAGTTCAATTTTGATAATTTAGAGAGGGAATTATAAATAACTCCATGTGTTGATAATCTTGCCATACTTGCTTACAAATGTTCAAATCATCTGTCATTATTATTTGATTTGTCATCATCATCTTATAGTTTAATGGTTATGCGCAGAAAAACACAGTTAGTGTTACTTCCATAATTGGGGGAGCTTCTGATTATACAGGATCTGGCATTGCTCGTCGATTAGGTAAAATTGTGATATGCATTAATTACTATCACAATATTTTATTTGGGTTCATGGGCTGACATGCAACTGTCCTCACAGTTTTGAAGACTGGTCTCAATGTCATATTGGCTTGCAACATACCAAAAAACAGCCCCATGCTTGAGGTTTAATCTCTCTCTCTCTGTGTCTCTCTCAATGTGTATATGAACAATATAAATTTGCATAAATATTTTATTTCTCAAGTTCTATTTATTCCATATTTTGTGATGTTTAGCTATTAACAAACTGACTTGATAGTGTGGATTTCATCAATCAGCCTTGTTTGGGTGCATGCATAATTTAGCGTGTTGGATGTTCTTGTTCCTGGCTGTAATACATTGTCTGGCCTCTTTTTTCCTTAAGGTGGTTTTCAGGCAGATGCTGAGAAAAAGCTGGTGCAAAAACTAATCAATCTGGGATACGCTAGGCCAAAATCCAAAGGATGACCTTAGTAGCCGGAAGCTGAGACTGGTATGCTAAACATGAAAGATACAATTAGTTTGTTTATACTTTATAGCGATTCTGCTGGCACTGTGATACCCACTATAGCCCAGGAAACTGCAACCAGGAGTTCTGGCACCATTGATGGATCATGCTATATTGTTTTACATTCTGGTATTCCTTTTTCCGATGATCCTGTGCTTTAATGTCCTGTTTGCGTTAAGTTCAACTGTTGGTAACAAGGTCTTGTTACATAAAACTCTTACAAGGTTTAGTCTGTACGCTGGCTACTGTATAACTGAACCATTGTTGGATACTGTTGAAGCTCTCTTCCTTCTTACACGGGTCATCGATATAATTGCTCTATATTTAAAGGGTGCAACTGGAATTGTTAGTTTGCTTATGTGCAGTCTTTCTTAAGTTGTTGTGATGCGCTTCTTGGAAATGTGTGTGTTTTTCGGTTTAAAAAAAAAAAAAGGTCGTCACCCATTATTAGTACCCACCTATGTGGGTTTCTTATTGGAAGTGTTTCTTTTCTTCTTTTCATTTTGTGCGCGCGCCTGCTCTCGTCTTCCTAGGGTGTAAAGACTTGTCATGGCAAGCGATTCATTGAGGTACCATGTAGCAGCAAATCACAACAATGGACAATCAGCTTGCGGTATGTGTAATTTAAAGGCAGAGCGAAAGCCTAAATTACTAAGCGTTTGAATGATTTATCCTTCAGTTGTCGTTGATTGTCTTAAGAATAAGTATTCATTTCCTCCTTTTCAGTGTCACAGACGTTCATTGTATTATAATTTTCCTGCTTTCGGTGTTTGGAGATGTTCCTTGTATAATAAGGTAGAAAGGATAATGAAAAACAAATATAAAGGTTAAATAAGGCCTTTACTGAGGATTAAACCAGAGATTGAAACAATTAATGAGAAACCATGCATTTACTGATTACTTCACAGTTAACAGTGAAACTTCAACAATTGAGTGCATTCACATGTTTTTGAGTGTGTTTGAATGCTGCCGTTAGGTTGTCTCTGCTTCTTTATAAAAGATATATAGATACATTGTATTAGAGTGCGGTAGCGGTATCGGATAGGTCTATTAGGGTGCGGTGGCGGTATTGGATACTTAATACACTTTTCTAATATGCGGATATGGCTCGAACATGTGTGGATACGGGTACGGCTAGAAGAATTCTGAATGGTAAATATTTTGTTTTCTGGTCGGACACGGCTGAGACACATGGTGGCAATGATACGTTTTGGATACTTTCAGGATTAGTCGGGTTGATTTTATAATTCAAATTAGTGAGTTATTTATGACTATATGGATAAAATGGCAAAAATATATATTACTTATATCTTCTTCTTCTGTTTTTTTTTTTTTCTTTTTTTTTTTTTATTGTTGTATCCTGATGTCGGAGGTGGTGGTGGTGGTGTGATTGGGTTGTTAAGTGGTGATGACTGATATAGTGTATTGTATTTGGTATCTCAAAACAGAGAGGAGTAAAATATCGACTTCACTGCTTCACACCGACCTGCAACGGAGTTGATATGGTGGTATACACTCTTTTCCGGGAGCCAATCTTGATTCATCGAGAGTTGTGATTATGTTTTTTATTAACAGGAACAAACCAACTACAAAGGAAAAGAAGCATCAACGAATAGAGCATGTATCTGAGAGATGGAATAACAGACCACTCAAAGATAGATGACTTAAAGACCTGAAACAATGGTTAGCGATGAGAATTTACTTTTTATCACATAAAGATTTCATCATAGGAAAAATGATTCAGATAATACAAAACAACAAAAGAGAAACCAAATGAGATGTTTTCAACAGAGGAAAAATGATTGAACAACACTGGGTAAATACAAGCAAGCCATATTGTTTTCTATCATAGGAAAAATGATTCAACAAGCGGAGTAAAACAAACCATAGATGGCTAATACAAGCAAGCCATGTTGTTTTCATTTATTCAACAAGCTGAGTGAACAAACCATAGAGTGCGAAAGAAAGAGTCCCTGCGAAACTTCCAATAGACAGCAGTCTTCCAGAACCTGCCATTTGCACCCGTGCTAAGATTAAGAATGATGGCAACTATATCCAGATTAATGGCAAATATAAACCCAGGAAATAAAAATAAAAATAAAAAGACACAGCAACACAAGCAGGAAATTATGTGTACCTCAGTGACATGATATCCCAATGGATCCGAATCGAAGGGCTTCACAATTTCCTACCCCGTGAAATCCACCAAAAAAATCCATGGGCAGCATGGTCTTCAAGAAGCTGCCATTGCCACCACCCCTCTCGTGATCCAGGTTCATGGTAAGTATGTCCGGCCCAAAATCAAATTCCCTCTTCACAATATTGAGAATCTCCTCGTGGGAAATGGTGCCAGTCCCGTATGTGTCTACAGAAACAGACAAAGGTTCGGGAGCACCGATATCATAGTAAACATCCACTCTGCACCTCCGGGCATACCCCTCGGCCACAATGTGCTTTGCAGCCAGCCTGGCAGTGTTCTCTTTGGGCTCCTGATTTGCGAAGTCGCCCCACCCACCAAAAACGCCCTTGATGAGCCTGGCGCAAGTGATACTTTCATAGCCGGTGGAACCACACCCAACTAGAAAGTAGGGAGATGGTTGGAGGTGGATGAAGGTGTTCTCATCTAGGTACTGCTCTGGGATAACATCCCTGATTACCGGTAAGAGACTGGCAACAAGCTCATCAGTGACGACGACATTATGTTGAGTGGAGATGTGGATGGTGTGGATCCGAGTGGGAACCATGGTTTCCTTGTCGTACTCAAAAGCAATATGGATTGTACCATTCGGTCCCAACGAGGGGCAACTGCCCTCCCTCCAGGCTTCACTTAGGCGAGCAGCAAGCCTGGTTTCAAAAACTTGGCCGATGGGCAGCATTTCAGGGGTCTCATTGGTGGCGTAGCCAGAAATGTGACCCCCCCGGTAAGAACGCTCAAATTGGAAGACAACATTGCACTCGTGGCGATCTGAACCCAAACACGGTAATTGATGGCAACTGAGCTCCGCAATTTTCAATAAGTTTACACTGGCCCGGGTATTGATTCGTACAAAGGCCGTGCCCGTGTTGTTCACCCTGGAAAAATGGCAATCAACCTCGCTATGGGAGTCTTGGTCCCTGCAGGCCATACGCACGTCTCTAAGGATATTATTGGACAACACGCCAACGTCCCCAATCGCGTGTGCACGGAACACAAGGGTCTCCGTTGGGCCCATTTGGTAAAGCTGCACAGCAAGATAATGTAACAGTTCTCTCAACAAATAAATGAATTAAAGGTCACAGAACAAAACACACAAAAAATGGAGGCAAATGTTGAGCAGGCATACCCCATAATTGACAACGCTGGTTTAAACTTAAAAGTTCGTGAAAATGGTAAATAATAATAAAACTAAGCAAAGTTTCAATATTATATTATATTTAGTTCCTAGTAACATTTTTTACTAGATTCAAATCAAGTTAGACACATCCTAAAGGGTAGATTCAACATAAGCGTAACTTTTCACATCATTTGAATTTTGAATAAACTGAAACAAATAAAAGAAAAGATGGAGAATTGATTCTAACTCGATTAACCAGTTTAAAATGGGTTTGATTATTTTTTTAATAAGCAAAAATGTTTTTTTTTTTTGCATTATTTGAAATGAAGTTCAGATATTTCCCTAAAACAACAACCCATTTCCTGTTCAAACATAAACAAATATGAGTTCTCTAAAAATCAACAACTATAAAAAACATGACAACACTTAGATAATCCATGAAACTAAACATTTTTAATTCGCAAAAATGTTTATTTTTGTTTTATTTGGGAGCAAGATTAGGCTTTTTGATCCTACAAAATCAACCAACAATCCAAATGGCCAAATCCAACCAATTTCTTATACAAAATCAAATAATGAAATCTCTAAAATCAACAATTATAGAAAACATATAAGAACATTTAGATCCGTGAAATTAAACTAAAACCACGTAAAGTTTGTTAAACTTATCAAAGCAAATAAATGAAAAAGAGCACAAATATTAAAAAATTTAAATCAAGCAGGAAAAAAGCTACAACATAACAAAACAAAAAAATAATCACAATACCTTGTTCGCAGAGATGGTGAGAGAGTTGTGCTTCGTAAAGATGGGAGAGGGGTATGAAATAATCACAGCTTTCTTAACTGTGAAGTCAGGGGGGAAAAGGAAAATAAAAAGAAGTGGGGGAAAAAAAGGTCTTAAAAAGTCACAACTTTAGTTAAAGACTCTAATAAAATAAATTCATAATGGAAAAAAGAAGATTAAATTATTAGACAATATTATTATTTTTTTAATTATTAGACAATTGAATAACTTAAAAATTACTAGGATTGAACTTAAAATATAGAAAAGCATAAGGTATAAAATAAAAAAATAAGTCAAATTGGACTAAGCTTCAATCTAGAAGAATTTATACCCGGATTTAACGCGGTCGTGTCAGTGCTATCATCTAAATTCAACTAAATTCAATGGATTGGACTTATACCCGGATTTAACGCGGTCGTGATTTTGCTGGCACCGTGATACCCACTATAGCCCAGAAAGCTGCAACAAGAAGATCTTCTTACACCATTGATGGATTCTCCTATTCCTTTTTTCGATGATCCGTCTTTATGACATATACTTTTCCGATGATGGCTATTGTTAGAGTTGTCCGGATCTAACTTACTAGCTTAAATTTTTTGGTCGAATTTTATACCCACACTAACTTCTCACGAGGTAAGTTGAGGCCTTTCCAATCTGACTTGTAACTAATGAGTGCATCTTTAGCTTGCTGATATCAGTCACTGATTCTAATGAAATATGTATTTTCAGTCACTTCAACATTGAACAAATTAACGAACACAAAACTGGGGATCTACATGATTCTTCTTAATATACATCTCTGATCCTCGGAAATGAACAGCTACCACTTTTAAGGTTGTGTCTTACCCAAAAGGTGAATCTTTGAAATGATCCACAAGCTCAGGTACAAATTTGAACTAGCTGTGTTGATCAGGAAGGTCAATAAGGCAAGCCTTTTCACTAAGACAAATAAATAGTTAATATGAATGATATACATAATTTACAATGAAAAAATATACTCCAGCAATTTCCTGATTTGGAGAATGGGCATATCCCAATCAATCATATATGTATAGAAACCGAAGGCAAAATCTAACAACAGACTCTCAAGTAACCATCTTCTGTTCCAACGAAAAACAGTCGCGAAAATGGCAGAATACTTATACTCGATAACACAGACATGTTCCTCATTCCATTATCTGCCATGTAGAGATGCTGAGGTGTCACACGATGCTGCCCATCCTGCCACCATGGAAATTACATAATTTTATAAACAAGAATAATAGAAATGAACAAAACAATGATCCCAAAATTGAACCTGCATGAATGAATTGATAATCTAAAACATTAACTAGAATTCATCTATTAGACCACGTTAGCATCGGTAGGCAAATTCACTTATAAATCATAACCACCATGAAGAATCCAAGTTGCCAACTCAAGTTTCATGGCTGATGATTGACATGTATCTCTATCCAATTCCTTATTGTATATTGATACAATCATTATACCCAAAAAAAAGAGTGGTGTATAAGAAAGAAAAATATACTTCTAAAGTTGAAAGAAAAATATACTTCTAAAGTTGATCAGATGTCTGTGTTTCTTCCATTAAGATCACAAATGCACACATGCCATTTTAAGAAGCAACCAGATTATTACCACTGCCAATTTGCCAAATATATGGAAATCCTTCCATTACTGAAGCAAACTAATCATACAAAAACCAATCACATGATTTTGTTTCTGAATCAAAATGGTCAACACATCCAATCAGAACTCAAACTGTTAAAATTACCATTTTATCAGAAGAAAAGTTGGGTTCAAGAAGAAAAGTTGTCATACCAACAAAGCCATATAACTCTTAGCCATGCAATTGAATGTGGCAACCTGAAGGTAGGATTACTCCAACTAAAAGGTCTAATTTCTAGAAGTTTGTGCGCTTTTCTGTATAGATGAATGGATGGGACACTAATTCAAAAAAAAAAATTTAATAAAAAATAATAATAATAATAATAAAATTTAGGAGGCCCTGCTATATATGCAACAAACAAGGCCATGGTTGTCGTGATGCAAGTAGTATGCATCAGCGAAGGTAAAATTTTCGTAGCATACCTCATCTGCAGTTCGAGTTGTTAAAGAGGAAAGCCCAATCTTGTTTCTAGATATTGAAATCACATCTTGTCCCCACACAGAGAAACCAGATACACTGTCATTGTGACCCCTGATAACAATGGACGACTGTGATGGATTCCTGCAAGAGAGGGTCCACAAAGGCAACAATCAGAGGGGAGGAAAGATTTAATGAACTTCAACACTACTACATTACATAACCACATACGCTACTTCCAATTCATTCAGTATAGGATAATAGAAATTGCAAGTTTCTTTGGAGGAAGTCATCATTTGAATTGTTCCAATAGAAAAAAGAATCAGAAAATCTTAGCTAAGGAATCCATATGATGGGAAAAGACAGCCCACTTGTATAGTTAGACATGCTCATATGCACATAAATCTCTATGCATTAAGAAGGGCATTAAACAGTTCTAGTCCCGCCATGACAGAGTCCTGGGGAGTGAGGACTCGAGAAAGACCTAACTTTTGATATTTCCATAGTGGCTGCTTTGAGGATCAAACTTACGCTGGTGGCACCGACGCTCAAGCATTTTATTGCCGAACCAGCAGTGATCCTCATAAATCTCTATACATCAACATACACATATGTATACATATTGGAATGTGAATTGGTGTAAATTATATTCCGGTGCAAAACTTTCCTTCCCTTGTTATCCACTTCTGTAAGATTTTGAAGCAGGCTGAGAACGACCAGCGCACTAAAATTCCTGGACCGTCTGGACATCAATAGGGAGGAGAGTACACACCTTATTTTTTTAATACTTATTATTATTATTAATAATAATATTTTTTTGGGAGTGTGAGCGAAAGCGGGGGGCCAGGGTTAATAAGTGACATGTCACAAAAGATCCTTTCCATTATTATTTTAATCTCAAGGTGGTTTTCAAAGGTCATCTTACCATGTTGTGCCGAACAGCAGATCAAGGGAACTTCAATCACTCGGTATCTCTAATAACCTACCAGGGTTCAATGCTTCTTATCCAATAACACTTGCATTGAAATGTTGTCAGGAAGTTTTAGTAAGGGTAGATTTGTAGTGAAATGTAGATAGTTGTATATATGCCTTCATGTCCCCAAGGTATAGGAGTCCACCCAATAACATAGTCATAAGAAGGCTAATGCTCAAGCCCAAGATATGTATCATATCACATAATTAATATCACTCACAATCTCTCTTGGTTGATGCCTGGAAGGAATCATGCTCATTCACTACGTGTTTTTAAAGCGCATTGTCTAAGAAATACTCATAGAAAATATGGTAATTTGGGGATTACCTTCTCAAGTCCCAAATTCGTAGAGTCTTGTCAAGAGAGCTGGAAACAAGCAGATTGTCTTCTGGTGCAGCTAACTGCAGGCGGGGAAAGATGAATGAAATGCTAATTCATTAAAGTGGAATTTGATTTTGGCAATTTAACATACCTTTGTCACATATCCATCATGAGCCCTCCATGAGGCAATAACATTTCCACTCCTCACATCAAGCAACTTGCAAATACCGGAACTAAGTCCAGCAGCAATCCAAGATGGTGAAGGCACAGCTCCACTAGCTTGCATTTTGTCAGATCCACATGAGCATATGGAAGATATTAGGGAAGGAAAGCTGGATTCAACAGATTCACTCCTCCATAGATGAAGTTTTTGACCTCGAGCAATATCAATAAATCTGCATGGCAAGGTGAAATTTAGAGAACTGAACTGCATGAAAGAGAGAATTATTCTTCATCTGCATCAATTGGGAATGAAAATCTGATTCTGGAAACAGTTATTTACCTAAGAGAACCATTTCCCGTACCAACTACAAACTTTTCAACAAATTCTAAGTGGTGCATACAGGTGTATAAGCTCCCATCGAATGTAGAAGTCAATATTCCACTTGATAGTGGATTGGAATTCAGCATATTGGGATGGTCAGTATTTGCCTTTGATGCAGCAGCCAAAGGGCTAGCAAAATGTGCAGAACTAGCAGATGATTCAGCAAAAACTGATATTAGTTTCCCTGTTTGGCTATTCCAAACATGTATTGTTCCATCACAAGAAGCTACCCTTTCAAGGGAGGATAGGACACAAATGTCATTCACGACCTGAAAGTTGCATAAGTAATTTCAGTTGAGCAGTAACTCGAACAAATACCCACATGAACTTAAAACTGACATAGGCCAGAATCAAAGATCCTTGGAAGTGGGCTAACCAATTAAATGAAATACATACAAGAAAATGGTCAAGAGATTTATGATCAATCATTAGAGTGTGGACAAACATTAGAATCAACTCCGCAATATGTTATCAACTCAAATTCAGCACTAAATTCATTGTCAATAGCTTCAATGAAGAAATTTATGTTTAAAGCGAGCACTTCAAATAATAGATTCAATGACAAGATATTTTAGGTAAAACAGTAAAGACAGCCTAGGTGTTAGCAGCTCATATGACAAGATATTGCTGTTGTTTAGCGAATGTTTTGGCACTCAACTATTATTTATCAAGAATAAGCCTAGATGTGGCTTGTTGTAATAGAAAAGAAATGAGAAAGAGAATTCAGGTGGCCGGCCTCTTTCACATGGGATTAAGGCAAGCGCGATGATGATGAATAAGAATTTGATAAATGCAAATACAACTTCAAAAACAGTAAGCAAAACGTGCATAAGACAAGACCGTCAAGGGCTTTTGATAAGAAATGAAAAGAATTCATTATGACTGACTATTATTCAACAGATTAACACACAATTGAATCGAAATCGCTCCATTTTGCTCTGAACCAATGCACACCTCAAGGGAGAGTTTTTTTTCATTTAAGTGTCGCTATATTAGCCACTTTCTACTCAATTTCAATGCATAGAAAATTAGTCAACTGTTTTAACTACAACTTTTACCTTTAAGAACAACGCAGTAGCCTAGTCAATGATTTATTTAATTAGTATTCTGAATGACAGCACAATTGTTTTTCCTCAATTGCAAGGAAATGAACAAGAATAACAGCCATCACAGGCCAAAAGAATAGGTAGTTTGCACCCCATAACAGACACGACCAAATTCGTGTTTGCTTATTATGTGGGCTACAAGCAGCAAAAACTATTGCACAAAGCAGCTGCACATATGAAAGAAAAACTAACAAGAAGAATTGGTCCTCACTTTGATCTTTTCAGAATTCAATTTTAATACCAGCACTTCTCAAAAACAAAGCAAAACAAGGGGGAAAAAGGGCTTCTTAAACTCAGACAACAATTTTGATTTCTATGAATCGTATAATACAAATGATCTAATATAACCCAAAAAATAGAAGAACAAACCTCCTCATGGCCATAATAACCAGATATACAATTGATTCTTGATAAGTCCCACTTCTGAACGGTTCCCTTGAATCCTGGACCAACTCCTGCTGTGAAAACTGTGCACTCATCTTGGCAAACAGCTACAGACCTTAGTGCTCCATGATGCGCACGGACAGAAGAAATGACAGATGCCCTGATCTTCCATGGAAGTTCATCTTTAAGACCCCCAACACGACCCAGAAAATCAGGCCCATCCCAGCTAGCTGCCGGACTAGGGAACCAGTACCAGGGTTCAAGCTTTGTGAAATTTGAGGTTGTTACATGCCTCTCGACTGACCTCTGCTGAAAGTCATTCAATTGCTTAAGAGGCATCAAGTTTTTGGAACTTCTATTTCCTTGTGATTGTGGTATTGACCACCCAACCCCGTTGAGCAACAGTTTAGCAGGATTGTATTCAGATGTCGAGCTCTTGCGGAAACCAGGCCTTTTAGCATTAATATTGTCCAAACCACTTCGAGATGATTCCCCTGTGTATTCCCACTGAATCACGACAGGCTCAGAAATATGAAGTGTGACAAGCACAAATATGTGGATCTAGTATTGATCTTCAAATCAACAAATGCATAATGCTCTTCGGAGCATGAAACAAGAATACCTTCCAGTTATGACACCGTAGAAGGAATTGCTCAAGAAGCAACCATGTGGCACAACACTGACGAAGTTTCTCTATGCCGAGAAGAGATGCAAAATGTGGATACAAAAGAAACCTGCAAATGTGCTAACTAATTAAACAGATGCTAAACAAGATGAGATTGTATGATACCACCCACAAACAGTTAACGAATCACCCTAAAACAAAGTATTAAAGAAGATGGTATGAATATGATGAGCACCCACACAAGGTCCATACGGCTTTCAATATGATCCTCCTCATCTGATTTTGGTTTGGAAACCTTCAAGCTTCTGCTAAGAGAACCAGAAATGTCAGCTGTTTCTTGAGAGAAAGCAAGCTCGTCAAAAAGATCCTTGAGTTTTGGCAGGACATGCAATGCTGTTAAATTTGGTCCAATCTGCTGACAAACTGCAATGAGACTTGTAGCAGCAACCTGGCAAACAGAGTAATTATGGCATAAATGAAACTTTTAAAACTGATTGGCCAGCATGTGATGCATGACAGAGAAAGAAGGGTGATGGCATTATAAGAATCTACTCGATACACTACCACCAAGTGGAGTCGCTAATAAATGGTTGAATGTAACAGTAAAACAAAGGTCAAACTTGAACTATTTCTTATTCAATTGATATCTCTTCTAAGACAGGCCGCAGTCATTACGCATCAGGAGTACTTCCTCTGATGCACAGATCTGCAATGAAATGAATGATGTCATTCCACAAAGGTCAAACTGATTCGCCGCGTCATCTAAGAGTCCTACTGGGAGTAAATTGGTCAATTAACGTGTCAAATATATCTTTTCACAAGGTCAAAAGGCATATTAGTAATTTTTCATAGTGTCTGAGCTCTGACACAAGATACCACATGCCAAACATTAGGGGTGTCGTAGCCTCATAGGTCTCAGGCGCCACACTTCGCATTTATGTGTGATTAAGCTAAACCTTAGGGAGCGTCAAAAAATTATTGGTTCTCGATACTTGAAAAGATATCCCACAACTTAACAATTAAAGGGAGGATAACTCAGTGTTACATCAGGAGAAAAAGTGAAATGCTACACAGATATTTATAATTTAAATGTGCGTGACATCAATGTGAAGAAACCAAAATAGACATTTGAACACCTGAAGCACAGAAATTTCCAAATTGGTCAGCATGAGAACCATTAGATGCAGGCAACTTCCATCCTGCATCGATAACGCAAATGCAAAATGAGTACGTAATTCAAATGCTCAAAGAAGCAAACAAGCAAAATTAAGAAAAAAATAGATAGCAAATCTCTTACTTCAAAGAGCTCCTTTACAACCACCTCCCTAGGCAAGACTGCAACGAGACCATTCAATGAAATTAAACAATCAGAAATGGCTAAAGTACTCCAGCTCTGCATTGGTTCAGGCTTATTCACATGTGAAACATCAACGCACGAACGAACAACGTTTCTTAGTAATGGTAGAATGTGTCTGACAACAAAATTCTCCCCAAAAAGACCACCTGAAAAGTAAAAGAGAAATTAGATTACAAGCTGAAGAAGCAAATTTCCATGAAAACATCTATCTCATCTGCCAATAAACTGAGCATACCAATTCTAACCAGGACATCAATTCCATCATTACAAAGCCCTTTCCCAAAACAGTGAATCAGAGGCAAGATTGTCTGATAACTGAAAGGTTAGTATGTTACAACAACAGAAAATTTACACAAGCAAAAAAAAAAAAAAAAAAAAAATGATCTTTTTTATTTTTTGAAGGATGGAAAACTTAAATTCCTTCATCAATCAAACAACAAAACTGGTAACACTAGATCTCAACCTGATGAATTGTAACTGGTACACCAAGCTCTTCGCTGGAGCCAATTAGCAGCACAGAAGCAGCAGCAGCTGAACTCTTATGAGGAGCAATGTACAAATTTGATATAACCAGAGGATGTATTGTCTCCAGATATGCTTGTTTACCTATTCGGTTCCATATTTCCCGCACAAATGAGTCTTGGAGAAGAGAAACCTTCAAATGTGAATAACCTGTAGCCTGAAATAAAAGCCTCATTAATTAAAAAGTCGAGTAAGAAAATCATGTGAAAAACGGCATGTTAAAAAACAAAGTTCTTAACTAGCCTGAAGAATCTTCCGGATGGTAGGCACGATCAGTTTCTTTACTGCTTTAGATTTCAGACATTTTAAGAATTCTTTCAGTAGAATACAAGCCCACTCAGCCTCAGTATCTGACAGAGGAGACTCTACAAGTGGTAAGCAATATGGAGCACACATTTCAGCTGCAAATGTTCCCATTGCTCTGAGGGCACCTTGTTTTGCAAAACTTGCAGCATAACAAAGACGGGAACCATCTTTTGCTAAAAGTTGAAGTGGCGCAAGAAACAAGTAGGATGATCTAACTGTTGTGGGGAAGTAAGGAGATTCCAAAAGACATTTAGCAGAAGGCCTCCTGATATTTTGTAAATGAAAATAATTTATTAGTATTGAGAAAGTCCCTTAGATTTTGTAGAAATAGCAAAATGAGAAGAAAAAAAGAAGAAGTTAGGAATCACATAGATCCCAATTGTGTTTGACCAAAATTTAACCACTTTTAAGGTAAGAAAAGGGAATGAGACACAAATACCTTCTCCAGTCTTTCCGAATGCATGCTTCAACAAGCACTTCAGTATGGGGGGGAAGTTCGTGCATCAATCTAGGTAAAACACTGTCCTCCAAGTACACAGCTAATGAGGTTGAATCAAACAGTGGCCTCCTCAGATAAAGTTCAGCTAAAATGCACCCAATAGAAAATATGTCCTTGGCAATATCTTCAGAAAAAGTCCTGGAACAAGATGATTTCTGCCTCCAAAGCAGTAACTCCTGATATCCCAGTCCCATAGAATTGTCATCATCCACCTCAATATTCTCAAGAAGAAAATTGAAATCAATCGTAGATGGCAACCCATTATTGCAGCCAAAGTCAGGTGTCCTGAATATATTCTTCACTAAACTCTCACTTGGAGGCTCTTCCACGAAAGAGTCATTCTTTACAAGATTTTCTATATGATAGCAATATAAAGGACTCAAATGCTGAGCATGTTCACAAAATGCAGCTGCTGCTTCTAACTCCTGTAAATTAGCAGTTTCACGAAGGAGAGGTTTCTCAGCCTCGATTTCATTGACTATGTACCTAGGTGTAGCTACTTCATTGGCAGTATCACTACTTTTCCTGGTAACAACTTGACGAGCAGGGTGTGGTTGAGTGAAGAGCTGACGGCGTCCTACCGACCTGGGCATTGTAGGGTCCAATGCAGGCAGCATAACATTTTTGGCAGCAAGAGCTGCCTGACCTGACATTTTGTACCCAAAAGTGATGTCAATCCAATGATGAATTTGACATGAAACCCGATAGCTTTCTAAAGCATCTCGATGTACTTTAATAAACTCCTCAGGAGAACCAGCCCATGAGGGTACAGCCAAATCAGTCATACCAGAATGTAGAGAATAAAATATTTGGGGATCACAGTAGAGCTCAGGGATACACTCATCAGGGGTCCATTGATAAAGTCTTTGCATAGTAGAAGGATACTCATTTGGTTCATAGACCGAACGAACAGCCATACGCAAAACACTCAAGGGTAGCCTCCTTGATTTGTAACTGCAGACAGCCAGTTCAGAAAGGCATTCATCTGAAACGTGATGCGGGAATTCAGATGTTGAATACGTGAAGTCCAATTGTTCATCACCTTTTGCCAACCGCCACTTGCTCTTGGTCAAGTCTCGCCACCCTACATCATTATTCTCATCGGGTTTCACACTGAAATCTATGACCCATGGCATTACAGTATGAAATGTATGGTCACCCCACCTTCTCCCAGATAATCTGTTTAAGATGAGAAGATACTCAAAATTACTCAACTCTCCCCTCCACCAAAGATCAAAACCAGAATGCCAATCGATAGATTGGAAAAGCTTCAAATCAGCATAAAGTCCTTGAGAAAGACAGTCCTCAATGCAGTAACCTATTCTTGATGGGTTAATGGACCAATCTTCATTTGTTGAACCTAATTTGGAGCATAACCGAGATTTATTAACAACACACAGCCATGACCAGCATGAATCAGTCAACATTATACTGGATGGGCATATATTACCATGGGCAACCCCTAAACCATGCATGTGAGCCAAGGCAGAGAGTAGCTGGTAGATTAAAAATCTTATATGCCATTCAGACTTGATGGCATCGGGGCTATAGTGAAGAATGTTTTCCAAGGTGTAAGGAGTTTTTGGAAGCACTAAATTGATATAATTGGGTGTTTTTAGCATCCCTAAGATAGGAGCTACATTCGGATGCCTCAGACAACCAGGAAAGATATTCTCATTAAATGAAGGAACCCCAAGTAACTCAAGAAAATTTATGCCATCAAATCCTGTTGCTTTTCCTCCAATCAGACGAGTCAGTGAGCTCAACACATGATCTTCAACAAACCCAGTTAATAAGTTCAAAGTAATCTCTTCAAATATGGAGTAGGAAGAAATGCCAATCCGAGCAATTGGAGCCAAAGCAGTGATCGTCCTTGTGCAAGAAAACTTACCTGAAAAGTTGCAGGTTGTACTTTCGCATCCTAATGCACCTAGGGATGTTTTTCTGCCACCATTCGACAAACACTGAGATTCGTTCGATTTAGTATCTAATGAAGGAGTTTCAACACTCCACGTTCCAACACTGACCTCTGCTTGATCTTGATTAATTACCGACAAAAATTTGACATCACTCTCATGATTATTATTACTCTTACCATCTTCCACACAGTATTCATCACTGTCAATAATAAAACAAAGTTGAATAACATCATATCAAAATCATATTAGATTATAGAAACACAAGGAGGGTATTCTGTATATGCTAGATGTAGATTATATGTGTAGCTATCTTCAAATTGTAGCAGCAGAAAGAACTGCTTACTACATAGATAATTATTCTCCCTTTTCCGAGGGTTCCATTTAATCAATGTTTGCTTTAGATGTTAAAGTAGCTGCTGGTTCAAATTACGCTTGACACCCATAGACAACTAAAATAATATTATAGGACATTTCAACATCTGCAACAAATTCTCAGTGGTAATGAATGAAGAGAAGAAGCCGTTTGAATCGTGTATTGAGTTTTTTTCGCAGAACCTAAACTAGCCTCCAGTAATTGATGTGTTGTATTAAATTGATTTCTTTCCTAAGGGTTGACCTGTACAAAGAAACCCCCATTTATGAACAATGTGATACCCCAGTGAGCCACCTATAGGCTTCAAGAACAATATAAATAACCACATATTCAGTGAACAAAAAATTGACAATCCCACTTTGCCCAGAGTTGCCAAAACATTCGGGCAAACAGCCAATTCAGGCCAGAAAGATTAGCCTACTAATCCAAACTAAAAAACCAGGACAAGAGTACCCTTCTAGATTTACACTAGTTTTGCTTCTCATATACAGATTCCTTCTCATCTCCCCCAATGGTCAAAACCCGCGTAAATCTTTCTGATACTATGTTCATTATATCATTGCCTTGTTGCTTTGATTCTTAAACCCCGGTTTCAATCATCATATACCTCTCGTTTCTACAAATTATTGCTGTCATTCAATTAGAAGCTCAATTGAATAAATTCAAGACTCCAATTACAAATTAGTTGTTCGTGCTTCCTAGCAATGAAACACAAGTCTTATAGCCTAAATACGAGTTTTGGACAACAAAAAATAATTTTCATAAATTAAACTGGATAGATAGATAGGCGAAAATTAAAATCACAGAACATACATGTATTTTGCCAAGCAATCGTCTTCACGAGTGGGCAGATACACCAGTGTGAACTGAGGTAAAACCTCCCCGCTATAATTTGCCATCTGCTGCAAAATCCAAAATGACATGAACGAAATTGAGAGAAGGTTGGTAATATATAAGCAGTAGTATCACATGAAATTATATAAATATGTGTGTATATGTGTAGTGTATATGTGTGCGTATGGTACCTGAACAACTCCGGTTGAGCCGAAAGGGAGGGCCGAATCAGAGATGCCATGGGAGAAGATGACTTTGTCGGAGAAATCGGCACAGATTCGACTTTGAAGGCACTCGAAGCACATTTGATCTCCCATTTTCTCGACAGATTGGGACTTTAACTCACTCCATCTTCACAACCCAACCGAACTTCTCTGATTAATCAGAGTTCTGAGGTTTGGACGTCGCAGTCGGTAGTCTAAACGACATAGTTTTCAGATAACTTTTTTTATTTTTCTTTTTATATTTTCCTCTAAAAATAAAACAATTTCCCCTTCTTCCTTGTTTTTTAATTTAAAATAAATTGGATCAAGATAAATTGACGGATAGTCTTAGACTGGGTATAATTAATTACAAGATGTGTCAGAGTGGCACAAAATGCCAAGAAGTCTATTTTCGAATCAGCTCTTGATGGGTCAAATTTCGAAGAGTTTATTGGAGATGTTCTAAACAGGTAATTCGACTATAACGAGATTGTTGTTAGTTTATGTTGGGGGAAAATGTAATAGATTCTTGTCCAGCTAGATTTAAATGGAGAGGATGTTGAGGTCATAAGAGTAGACAGACATTGTCATCTAATAATCTAGGTGCTTGTAGATGTCATGCCCAGCGTTGTCTCGATGGTTCGTTTTAATGTTTAAATTGTTACCAAGTACACTTTGGCTTTAGAGTAAATGGGCAAATAAGATGCTCCAATCACGAATTTGAATTTAATTATCATATAACAACTTAGTTTTTGAATTGAGTATTAGATGGTAACTGGGAAAAAACCCAACCCCTTACACCAATTAAAAAGATAAAAATTTACTTCAGTTTTTTAAAAGAAAACTATTTTGAGAAAACTATCATATAATCAATTTTTAGAAAACAATTTCACAAATTTGAACCAAGTTAAGTTTTTAAACTTTTTATACAATTTTTTTATTATTTGGATAAGAAAACTAAAACACGCACTCCAAATACCATGACTATTTTAAATAAGAAAGCATAATTAGGGGTGCATAAAGAACCGGTCGGAAGCGATTCGAATTCGATTCGTCAACGGTTTAGTCTCAGTTATGATTCCAAAATTGATGAACTGTATTTCGGTTCGGTTCCGATTCCAAACCCTTCGGAACCAAACCGAACTGATTTCATTATATTACAATTTATAGTCAATCATTACAATTATAATTCCATAATATATAATATATATTATAATTACAATTAGTCCATATATATTATATTACAATTTATAATTACAATTCCATTATAATATAGGAGTATATATATATTGTATTATAATTATAATTATATTATACTTTGTTAATTTTTTGTTTGTCCCTATAATATATATTTTGTTTTCTTAGAAGAAGTAAATAAATAAATAAATAAATATATATATATATATATATATATATATATATCAATTTTATCTAAATAGAACTGTGGAACCGAAATATATTCGGTTCCATCTTTCACAATTCGATTTGAATTCGGTTAAACTTCAAGTCCCAACGATTCCAATTCGGTTCCTATTTATTAAAAACTATCTGAAAACGTGATTTTCATTTTTCGAATTCGGTTAGACTTCAAGATCCAACCTAAGTCACATCGATAGGGAGCGAAAGCGTCAAAATCTAAAATTTTTTAGAGTGGTGGCGTCTTGAGAGCGTATGTATAGTAGGCTTAAATAAAATTATGTAAAGTCATGATATATATATTTTTATTTATTTAAATCCAAATACAAATATATTTATGATTATTTATTCCATTAATGATATATGTAATATATATATATATATATATGGTAGTATAGCAACACCACCATAAGTAATTAATGTATTTGAATAATAGTGTAAGTAATATAAATGCATAATATAGGTGTTCCATATATAAAATAAATTCGTATGAAAATCGCGAATTAGTAAAACTAATTCGTCAATTACAAAAATTGAATTCGCGAATTTTGTGTAAATTTATTCCCAAATCATAAATTCACGGGCAAAGACTTTAGAGCGGGGTTATTTAGACGAACCGTGTGATTTAGTTCCCAACAATTCGGGTTCAGTTCCTATTTACTAAAAACCACTGCATAATGTTTTAAAGACACTGTACACTTATAACTTTGAAGGGGGGTATAAAGTTCTTTCCGTCAGCCCAACTCCGCCATTTCTCTCTAGAACGGACGCTGTTACATTGCAGATCATCTTGTCGTGTTCGGCTGTCTGCACTGTGGCCCGTGGGCGACCAAGGCAGCTTTGTGTGGGATAACAAGGAAGGTAACCGTTCTCTCTCTCGATCTATTTCTTTTCTGGACCGGAATATTTGTCTTTGCTGTGATGGTTTCCGCTGTGTACGCCGACTTTAAAACCCTAATCCATTTTGGAATTTTTGGATTGGTACGGTGAATACTCCATGTATGACTCCACTATATACACACCATGATTTTTTATCAAACTAAAATCGAGATGTCAAGAATTTTACGCATTAAATGAAGTTTTTGGACAAAATATTGATAGGCATTGCACAACAAGGCATATTTCGTTATTTACTGGAAAAAGGCTGTGTGATTCAAGAGTTTTTAAATTTTCATTTTGACGGCCATAAATATTATGAGATGAAAGGTGCATTAAATTGAACATTCTGCTTTAATGCTTGAAGGGGTTTCTCAAACTTTTTTATGCTATCCTATTTATTTAATTGATAAGAAAAGGCATCAACGTGACTGTGGATCACTTGTCTTAAGTTCTCATGATTTCGATTTCGTCTAATTACATTTAGGAAAGAAATAGATTGTTAGTTGTTTCCTTATGGTCTTGCCACTGATTGAATAAGCCAAGTAAATATGATTCAAATTTATCCTTGCTGTGTTCGGTTGCATGAAATTGGAATTGGAATCGTAGAAAAATTAGTTGAAACTTTTAACTAAATTTCCTCCAATTCTAATTCCAAGACAATGCATAGCATCCATGTAAATTAGGCTCAGGAAACCACTCACATTTCACCATGTTAACAAATGGACTAGGAAGTTACGATTCGCCAATTGCTAACCTTTTTTTATAAAAAGAAAAGAAATCCCAGAACTGACAATGGGAAGTGGTATATTCACGTCCATTTGGTTGCTTCCATGGTCTTTTAGTGAAATTGTTGATTTAGCTGTTATGGATGGACATGAAAACAACCCAAAAGGCCTTAAATTTCTCTCAATATCTTAACTTTCTTTTTTTTTCTTCAAAATCATACAAGACACTTTTTACAAAATATTTTAGTAGGCTAATAGCTCAGCATCCATGTGAGTGAGGTAGTAGTAGTTCAAATGCTAAATTGCTCATAGAATTTGGGAGGCTTTAGCACTCTAAGTTTGTTGGTGTCCATGGTTGCCCCATTAGATCTGTCCAGTTACCTTTTGTTGAAGTTCTTTGTGTGTTAATTTATTTTCTCTTCACTTATGGAGTATTTAAGAATCATGACTTGTTAAGCGTTTAATTCATAAATAAGACTTTCTTTTTTGTTCCTGGTCATTCTTTATTTGGTCCATTTTATAAGGTTTCTAGGGAAATCATTTACGTGTTCATTATTTTTAGGATCTGCATGTTTTCTGTAATTATCATATTTTCTCTCTCTAAGGTTCCTTAAACATGCAATACTAAAGGTTTGTCTTGCTCTGAAAAGTTGTAATGTTGTAATACTGATAGAGGAGATATGGATGGAGAAATCCCTAATATCAAGAAGTGGATTGTACTGTATCCTATTTACATAAATTCAAAGAAAACTATAGTAGAGGGAAGGCGAATAACCACAAGCAAAGCTTGTGAGAATCCTACTTGTGATGAGATTGGTGACTGCTGCCGCCATCTTAAACTCCCATCTGCTGTTGAGGTTTGCAGTCATAATTTTGCAATTATCTTTGTTGAATATATAATTTGTAGACGGTCCCTATCTTTTCTTGCTTATTTGTTTTTGTATTCTTAGTTTAGCTATCAAGTTCAATGGAGTTGTGATTTTTTATTCGTTCTGTGACATGTTTTGCTGTTGAAGGTTGATAAGGCATATCCACGTGATTTCATGCAAAAAGGAAGAGTGAGGGTATTGCTAAAAAAGGAGGATGGGAGTTTATACAATCCAGATATTTCTTCCAGTAAGTATCATCCTTATTACTATTTTTGCTATTACTACCTGTTTTCTTCTATATTCATATTCCATTTTCCCCCTAAATTAGATGTCAACATTTGCCTATTGTTCCAAAATTTTCACTAGTGTATGCATTTTTTTCCTAATAAGATTATTGCAATATAGAGAGATGTGATTCTCTTTTCTTTCTTTCTTTCTTTTTTTTTTTTTTTTTTTGCAAATACATGTCCATGCTGAATGTGTGTTGGGCATAATGCTTCTTAGATGCTCCTAGTCCTAGGTGCATTTGCACCATATGCATGTTCTTAATAATTTAAAACATAAATTTTATATTTCAGAGATTTGATCGATACTTCCAAAACATGCCTTATGTAAAACATATTGTAGGAGAAGTCATGTCTGACACTCATGGACAACAATATATAGACAATATTGGAATCCCAAACCTTTCTTATTTATAAAAATTTGGCGTTGCACACTTGGCCATAGGTTAAGTGGGCTATGGATGCTCTATGCATACATTTAGTATATAACAAGAATTTAATTGTGACGCGAAAAGTATAACAAGAGAATAGTAGTGTGCATAATATATTAATTTTGAATTTTATAGTTCAAATTAGTAATTCTTAGCATAGCAAATTTAGGAGTCATTGCTTGGTGCAATTGTAGAAGGTTGGTCTGGCTAGCTTGAGGACACGGTTCAAATTTAACAACAGTCAGTTTGTGCAAAATAATATCAAACATTAGGTCTTTCTTGAGCTTCCCTTTCCAGCACTCTTGGTGCCATTCACACGAGGCAGTGTGTTACAGCATTGTTTAATCTAGGCCAAATTGCGCTAAACCCCCCCTAAGCTATCGAAAAGTTGCAAAATACTATTTTTGTCACCAACAAACACCCTCAAGCTTTCAAAAGTTGCAGCATGACCCCTTTGACAAACGGAAGTCTAACTAGTGTTAAGGTTCTTTGTAAAATTACAGAACTACCCTTCCTCTTTCTTCTTCACTAGATGACACAACCTTAGACCCAAACCTCAGCAAACCACTCACCATCCCAAAACTCAAAGCTCTAACCCTCACCCAATACCACCAAGGAAAGTTCTATCACCTTGTACAAGACGTAGTCGCTTCAAACACCGTCCTCTTCTCTACTTGCCAGAACCTCACTCTCTCCTCACCACAAATATTCACTTCTGTGTCAACCCATATCGCTATAAAAAAATTGGCAGATGAAAGCAAAAACCAGTTTGATGTAGACTTGTGTTGCGTCTCGGTGCCTTCGAGGAAGAAAGGTGAGTGGCTTGTTCTTCCCAATTTGAAGGAATTTAAGAATTACATCTTCAAATGAATTGAGAAAATTCCAAATTTGATTCAAATGAGCTTGCTTTAGCAGCTGGTAATACCTTTTAATACAGACACTGCATCTTATTGTGAATCAAAAGAGGCTGGGGCATGGTTATGAGAGATCATTTGGGAAATGTTATTAGAACATCTTTCTTTTATTTCAATCAGGTGGTGGATTTGGTTATGGCTATGAAGCTTTTACATTGACAAAGGCTATGGATGATATTATGACCTTCGTTTTTCTCATTTTATGTTTCAGTCAGATTTAGAGGCGGTGGTTAAAACCATTAAGAGGGCAGTGAATTGTAAAAGGAAAAGTGATCACCTCCAGATAAAAAATGTTGACCGATCATCCCATTATTGCTGAGCTATTAAGAGGATGGGACTGTAGTCACTGTACCTTATTTCCAAGGACTTTCACACCTAGGTTAGGCAACTTATTTTTTTCCTAGTTAGGTTAGGCTAGGCAATTTCCATTTCATCATTATTAAATGTTTATCTTTCCAAACGTCACTAGTTTCTGGGGAAGCTTTCTGCTAAACCTAACTTTATTTTTAAATTTTTCTTTGGGGTGGCAAGGGGAGGTTGAATAGGAGGAGTTCGTTGATCCCCAACTTCTACACAAGGGCCAATATTTGGGATTAAAGTGATAGGAGGCTTTTTAACGATTTTATTTTATATATTTTAAGGAAACAAAGGTTTTCCCTTGGTGTTGAAATCTCTTAATTGGAAAAACCATGCCTTTTCATCTTCCCGTTGACTTGGTACCTCATTGGAATATCTTTCTTGGAGGCATCAGAGATTCAGAGATGGGGTTATCATAATAGACAGATTATTTTCTTCTTATTTTATTTATTTATTTATTATTATTATTATTTTGTTTTTGAAACCTTTAGGGTCTATCTTGCCAACAGAACAAAGGTTCGTTCCTCTTTTTTTAAATCTTAGAAGCCCAATTAAAAGTCTGATCCTTGTTGTTGTGGAAGGCAATAGTCATGTGTTGAAAATTTGATAAAGATGAAAGGGCATTTCATAGAGATACTCCAATCTCGTGAAAAAAAGGTAGCTGATTTTTCTGGTAGATCTGAAAATGTTGTCTTTTAGGGTTTGTTAGGCAACATCTGATTTCTTGGCAAAAATGGATGCAATATTCATAGGAGAATCTTCTTGAGGCCTAAGTGCCACCTTAGGTCTTTTTGAGTGTGGATTTTTGTTTCTTTTCTTTAACTGCCTCTCTCCATTTTATTTTCCCAATGTCTTTTGTTTCTTGCAGCACAAGATCAACCTCTTTTTCATGGCATATTTTTACTCTTCTTTAAATTTTTTTGCTTCCTTTTGTTTTTCTTGTAAAACTGCATGTATTAGATTAGGAACTAATTATACCCACAGATGACCTATGCATAGGTGACACTGCATCATATCCATTTTTTTGTTTTTTTTGTGTGGAATAATTTAGAACTAACCGGTGGCTTTATTGTTGCACCATACCATGTGATACAACTGGGATATGGGATGAGCTATCTTGTTTGAACTACTTGATAAAGCTTTAGTATGATTGACCTAGTGCCTACTGCCTACCAAGAAGAATTCAATATTATAATTTTTTTAAGGTCATTTTATAATTGAAAATATGAGGGATGTTGCCTGGTTCAGCAGTTAAACATCAGTTCCAGTCTCGTGAGTTCAAGACTCAGAACAGCCACAAAGAGTGAATACCATAGGTTAGGCTCCTCTTGAGTCCTCCCTCCCCAGGATTCTGCTGTAGCCTGACAAGAACCTGGTAATATCCCTTATAATTTAATGAAAATATGTTGTTTTAAAACCCAACCCCCACCAACCCCCCAACCCCCCCCCCCCCCCCCCCCCCCCCCCTTCCAAAATGATTAGTCAGCAGTTAAGCACCCCTAGGTTTGGAATGCTAATGCAGATTTTGGGCACTTCTCTTCAAAAGCATATGTTACTTCGCTCCTGTATATCTTAAAATGAACCCCAGCCAATGTGCACAGACAAATGAATAAATAAAAGCAGAAACGAGGGAAAAAAGAAGGAAATAATTAATCATCACAGGCTATGTGTTTTGTTTGTGCTGATGTCCAGATATGCAATTTAGTGCATGGGCAACTATTTTGTTTCTAAGGTAGGACGATGTGCCTTTAGTATGCATTCCTCCAACAGGAAAGTGAGTGTCGGTACCAAGTGTCACCATAGGACTTCCACAGACAATCAATCACAAGCCAAATATGCTTGCTTATTATGAAAAAAATAAAACGTCTTCTTTTCAAACTTGCATTCTATTCCTTCTTTGTCGAAGATTACGTTTGCTTGTGTAGTGATTATTTGCAGGAAAACTTCCACATTACATCGTTACTAATGCAAGCATTTATGCAGGAAAACAACTGATGGTTCGTGTTGCAGAGTTAGTACCTAGACAACCAGGAAGAACCAAGAAACAGGAGCCTGCTGCATCTACCTCAGGCGCTGGACCTTCCAAATCTGGGAAGGGTGGAAAAAAGAAGAGATAGCTTCAATGTTTGCAAAATCCACCGCTTCATTCTCTAAGAATAGGCTTCTTCTGGAGAAGCTCTCAACTTCACTACTACTGGGATTCTCTGGTAGAATTTTTGTTTCTCTTTTTGTTCGTTACCCTAATTGTGATTTGATTGAACTAAAACTTTCTGTGTTTTGTGGGAAGTGTCATGTTAGTTATGCATGGAAATTTTCTTCCACAAAACTTCGAAACAAATGAAAAGGTTGAAAGGATATGAAGTAATATCAAATTTACTGATATGCATGATGATGAATATGCTACTGCTGCTGTTTCTAGTCGGAATTTCCATCTCTGACGAATTCCGGTGTCGGTGTGTCCATAGATCGTAACTTCTAATCAGTTGGATGAAGTGGATACAAAGACCACTGGAGGACATTTTAATGTAGATTTGTGTAATCAAATTCAATTTGAAACCATTTCAAATGTTATTTAGAACATAATTGGATGTCTCAATGCCATGAATGCACTCTCTCTTTCAGGTCCTCGGGAGACGCAAGCCAACCCATTCCAAATTTCCACTATCCTGCAGCATGCGATTGCTTTTATTTTTAAGATTTTTCAGTGGAAATAAAAATTTACCATTGACCGGACTCGGTATTTTGGTAAGAAATTACAAGAATTTATGATCCATCGATAAAAACGGAAATTTTACACCCCAAAATAATTATTTGCACCAAATAAAAATTATCCTGAAATCTGATGTATCATGCACACAAGACTTCTTTAATTTATTTATTATAAAATGATTCTTGTTAGTGGCAAATGATTTTTTTGGTTGTGCATTATAATCATCCCTTCACCATTCACAGCTGCCATCTCGTAGGATTACTTTTAATAAAAGTGGGAACACTTTGTTTGATTAAACAAATATGTGAGATGGGACAAGAAGCAAAATATAATATATTATATATATAGAGAGAGAGAGAGAGAGCATCTTTCACATTATACACCAACAATAGTGAGATCTCTTCAATAAAAAATTAATTGATATTTTTTGATAGAAGGTTGCACTCACATGCATTCTTTTATCTATATATATGTTGAATCAACATTTTATAGATGTTTGAGAACACTTCAGATTGTTATTTGTTAGAGTTTGAAGAATGGTTTTAGAATTTTGTTTTAATTTTTTAAAATAAAATGCTAAGACAAATGAATGCTAATTTTAAGTTCGTAAATCAATAAGAATTACGTTTGATTCCATCCAATCCAATTCAATTCTAGAATTCGATAGGTTATTTAGAACTAAATTTATATTCGATTGGTTATCAATTGAATATCTGATCCAATAGCTTAATTCAAAAAAAAAAAAAAAAAAAAAAAAAAAAATTTGTTTAACAAAATCAATATCAAAAGAGATTAATTAGCTTTTTGACTTTTAATAGAAATTCAATATCAAAGAAGGAAAAATAAAATATATTTTTTTATAAAGAGGTATAAAACTAGCTATTTGACTTTTTATTAAAGAAAAAGAAGAAGTAAAGAGAAACAAAATAGAGAGACGGGAGAAAAAGGAAAAAAAATATGATAAACAACATTTTAATAATATGTAAATATTATATCTATTATAATATATTATATTATTTTTTATATGATTATTAAAATTTGTTTAGCTAATTCATATATTATTTTTTATGAATCATAATTCATACGGAGTATATAATTTGTTTAGCTCGCGAATCTAATTCATTGACAAGTCTCCTAGGCGCCCTCCATCCAACCCTTTGACACGCCCTCCATCCATCACTATTTGGACACAAAAACAAGATATATAAAGCCTGTCAAGTTGGTTTCTCCATCAAACATCAACTTGTAACCTAATCAATGTTACGAAGGACTCAATGCATGCCTAATAGTTGGTGGCTATTCACATGCTCACGATTCCGATCAAAGTGCTGATACCCATCAAAGGTAGAATTCTGTCAATTGGCTGAGGTTGATATTAGGTTTACAAGTGGTTATGCATGTCATTGACTTGCCAACCTTATAATTCTTTAGATTTAAGTGGAAAATCATAAGTTTCTTTCAACCTAGATCCTCTGTTTATTTCAGAGATTAACATCTCATTTGTTTATAATAAGTTCAAATTATAATAAAATTAACGAGTTTGGATTCTCTCCCGTGCAATAAATGGATGGAAGGGTGGAAACCACCCCACAAGCAGAGTGGACCTCCCTACTGTAAAATTGTCTCGACCCTTTCAGTGCATTGAATTGTAGAGTATATCCAGTTTAAGAAACGAATGGAAGGATAAAGATCATCCCCACAAACATAATAGATTTCCCTACTATGAAATGATCTTCATTAAAGAATTTGGATCCTCTCCTGTGCACTAAACGGATGAGAGGGTGAAAATCACCCACAAATAAAGTGAACCTCCCTATTGTAAATTTATCTCTACCCTTTCAATGCATTAAGCCAGAAAGTACATCGAGTTTAAGAAACAAATTAAAGGATAAAGTTTACAAGTGGTTATGCATGTCATTGACTTGCCAACTCATAATTCTTTAGATTTAAGTAGAAAATAAATCATAAGTTTCTTTCAACCTAAATCCTTTGTTTATTTCGGAGATTAACATCTTATTTGTTTATAATAATTTCAAATTACAATAAAATTAACGAATTTGGATCCTCGATCTCCTGTGTACTAGACGAATAGGAGGGAAAAAATCACTTCACAACCAGAGTGAACCTCCCTAGTGTAGAATTATCCCTACACTTTTAGTGCAATGAACCTTATAGTACATCGAGTTTAAGAAACGAATGGAAGGATAAAGATCACCCCCACAAACAGAATAGATCTCCCTAATATGAAATGATCTATATTAAAGAATTTGGATCCTCTCCTATGCACTAGACAGATGGGAGGGTGAAGATCACCCCACAAGCAAATTGGACCTCCTTACTGTAAAATTATCTATACCATTTCAATACATTGAACCATAGAGTACATTGAGTTTAAGAAACGAATGAAAGGAACCCCCACAAACAGAATAGACCTTCCTATTGTCACATGATCTCTATTAAAGAATTTGAATCCTCTCTCGTGCATTAGACGGATGGGAGAGTGGAGATCACCCCACAAGTAGAGTGGTCCTCCTTACTGTAAAATTATCTCTACCCTTTCAATGCATTGAACCATACAAATACAACGAATTTAAAAAACTGATGAAAGGATCACCCAAACATAATAGACCTTCTCTGTTGTGAAATGCTCTCTACCCTTTTAGTGCATTGAATCGGTCAGGGGACCGAATTCAATATTAACATTAGTGTGAGGTGTTCAATTACTTGACAAGAGGCAAAGTCTCACAATTTGATGGTTAGCTTTTGTAACAACTAACCATTACCAAAGCTAATCATTTTTACTTTCTTTCATCAATCAGGCAATAATTCCCGAAGTCCCCTTTTTTTTTTTTTTTTGTTTGGGTAATGAGTAAAATTTGAAGTCATTAACATTGTGGGAATGCATAATGATGTTGGGCCCAAGCAAAGATTAGGGATGAGGATGGAGGAGCTAAATCGTTCTTGGTGTTGGGCCCCATATCTTAGTGGTCTTGTCGCATCACATAAAAAGGAAGAATAGAGAATATATTGTTGATCTCAAAAGTTCTGTGCAGGCTTCTATTGCTGGCTCTTTTATTAAAAGTAACATTTTTAGTGAGTGTTCATAGTTCCTCTTCTCATTCTTACAAATATCCTTCAACCTCTCCCTCTGTGTGTGTGTGTGTGTGTGCACCCATTGATGCTTAGTCACCATAAATACACTCAACAAGGCCATTGGACCTCTCCTGTATCACTGAATTCTCCTAAAAATCAGTGTTTTTGATGGGCACTCTTCCTCAATCTCCAAGCCCTCCTCACTTATATTCACAAGCACTCCAATTAAAGCTTTACCAAGCTTTCATATTTTCAATCCCAATCCTCTTCTCCATTATTTTGTTTTTGTTGTTTTATTTGTTCTACCTCAAGAGGAGGGCTTATTCAGTACCTCCACCAATTCTTCCAACCACTTTGAATCAAGCCTCCCCTTGTATTCCTTCAGTAAGTCATCTCTCTCTCTCTCTCTCTCTCTCTCCCCCCAACATCAAGAAATGGCAGAACAAGAAGAATATAAACACACACACACACACACATACATGGGATTTGCTTGATTTTCAATTTGTTTAATGTGGTGTTCTGTTTTATATACAGACTTTTGAGACTGGTTTGAAAGGAGAACTCAAAGACAGGCTTGCTATAGTCTTGTTTGATGAAAATCTGAAGGCAAGGGATCCACTGTAAGTATTTACATTTGAGTTGAGCAATGGGTGGTTGTTAAAGCTTGCATTTAGAAATCAAGGAAATTTCCAAAAAATAGGGAAACATGATCAAACTTGACTCATTTATGTTATGAGTGATTTTGTTAGATCACAAGTTAAATCTCCAATAATTCAGTTCCTCTTGTGAGTTATGTTGTTTTCTTGGTAATTTTCATTATTGTGATGTGATGTACAATCAATCAATTCCTCCTACATGTGCACTCCAACATAGTTGAAATGGTGGGTCCATAATGATATGGACAATTGAGATTGACCACTCACAAAAGCTATTTCTCAATTAAAGTAAGAGCATGAAATTTTGAAAATAGTTTGAGAGCGAGAATGCCTCTACAACTTATCTTTTTCACTCTCATGGCAAGAAACTCAAGCGCGCACATTGCCCCTATGAAAACTTGAACTCGACCTTCCAAAGTAGGGCCTCTAGACTCTTTATATACGTATATCTAAGTATGAGTATACTGCATAGATCAAATTGAGTAAGTAAAATCCTCCACAATTATATAGAAATATTTATATATTTCAACAAAAAGAATGGTTACAAGCTATGCTAAATATTAATAGAATTACTTGGAATATGATTATGATAGTATTTCAGTGGCATTGGTGTTTTTCCTCAATTATCTATGCATGTTATATGATTTACAACTAACAACGAATTCGATTGAAATGTACTAATTCAAAGAGGGCAGGGTGGCAGATTAGGACAATCAGGAATTTGAAAGTGCCTCAGATTAGATAAGAACATATTCCTAAAGCACCTGTTGTTGATAATGTAATCTATTCTTTTAGGCAAATATGCCCTGCATAAACTATATTTTCATGGCTACAACTTTTTCCCTTTTCTTTTCTTGTTAGTTAGAATCTCAAACGGCATCCTCTACTTTCTAAAAGGTGTATTTTTTGGAAATTCTAACCACAAGAAAGGAGCATAGAAGATAAATGGGATCTTAAAAGAGATGCCCCATAAATTATGTGAGCAATTGTGCACTTTAGATAGGTTCATGTAAGATGGTCCCTCAGTGAAGACTGAAGAGTAGGAAGATCAATCGATGAAGAAAACTCTGCTACCAATTAATGTAGGAAGGAAAAGTGAGAAAGAAGATAGAGAACAAGAGAAGAATGAGATAAGAGGGAAGTAAAGAGAGAGTGTGAAGAAGAGAAGATAATTAGGGGGAAGGAAGATAAAAGAGGAAGAGATAGAAGTGGAGGAGAAGGGATTGAACCAAACAATATACTCTGTAGTTGAAATATTTCTCATAAATCAGATTATATATAGACTTTTCTCTCCAACCTTTTCCCTCTCTCTTAGGAGAAAGAAGTGAAGTAACCGAACCAAACAATATACTTTGTAGTTGTAGTATTCCTCATAAATCAGATTATACATAAGACTTTTCTCTCCAACTTTTTCCCTCTATTCTGTTCTTTCTCCTTTCCTCCCACTTCTCTCCTCTTCTTCACTCTCTCTCTTTCTTCCCTCTTCTCTTATTCTTCTCTTGTTCTCTCTTCTTTCTCTCTTTCTCTCCTGCATCACTAATCAAATTTGCCTTGCACTAAATAATCAAAATTTCCAAGTTTTGCTTTCTTGTAATACTAATATTCTCCCTATGGAACTCTTGAAAATATGACAGATGTTGTGTTTGCCTGGGAGAATTTGAGATCAAACAGGAGCTGCACCAAGTGCCATCATGCAAACACCTCTTCCACGTCGATTGCATTCACCACTGGCTTCACTCCAACACCACTTGCCCACTTTGTAGATGCTCTGTTGTGCCTACTGCTACCAAACTCGATCATTCCCAGCCGCGGCAAGCTATTGAACCAGACATTGCAGCCTCAGGATGACCATATGTGTGTGTGTGTGTGTGTGTGTAACCCCCAAGCAGCACCAATAGAATAGCAAATTGCAACAAGTTATCTGTGTTTGCTCAAGAAATCAACTGCAGATGATACTAATGGAATTAAGGATCACTTGACGTTCTTAGTATCCAAAAGCTAAATTCATGAACCTAAGTGATGCCTAGAATTATTCAAGTTGAAATGAAATGGTTTCTAATACTCTCATATGCATAATTGCATAACATATATTCTTTTAAGCTCTTACCTCTGTCAAAACCTTTTGTGGTAGTGGCTGTTTAAGGATTATTAGGTTTGTCATGCACAAATTCTAAGCGTGTATAAGTAGAAGTGTACCTCTATGCGCGTCTTAAAATGAAAACCCTGGACATCGATCAAGATTTTTTTTTTATGTGTTCAACTTGTAAGAATACACTTGCTGTGTTGTCCGAGTGATTAGGTTGTCTGTTCAAGCCTTTTACCCTTTGCTCTCCTCACCGCTAACCCTTAACATTATTGTCATTAAATACAAAATAAAAATAAAAAAACTTGTAAGAACACCTGTTGAAGGAATTTTTTTTTTAATTTTTGGTGCATCACTTTTTAGAAGATCAAACTATCCTTAGCCCTGTCACCAAGAAAATACCACTTTGAGTTGGGAAAAAAATCCATTCTTCTCCCTTATATTCCTTTTACCAGTCTCTTTGTTTTAAACCGAAGAAGAAACACGGGATTAAGAAAAGAATGACGATGAAGATGAAGAAATATGCTCCTGAAATATGTTCATTTATCATTCTTTCCTTGATTTTTTTTTTCTTTTTGTTTTCGTATAAATATTTATCATTTCAAATACAATATTGTTATATTTTGGGTTGCATGTAGTTGGTTGTATGCAATTGGAATTGGAATTGGAATTGGAGAACATGGCATAACTGAATTTTGTAGTAAAGAGGGAATTATCCCTCAAAGCTACACCCTATTAGTATCTTTTATTTTATTTTTTTATTTTTTTTTTTAAATTGTGTGCTTATTTTGGAGAGTAACTATTTTATTTTATTTTATTTTATTTTTAAAAGAAAAAGCAAGTGAAGTGCAAATAGAGGAAAATGAATGTATTTTCTAAGAGTCACTAGTATGTTATTTTATTTTAAACAAAAATAATAATTAATGCAAATAAACAAAAGTAAAGTGAAAGAGTGGTGACTCTAAAAAGAATTAGCCGACTTTTTTCATGGTTCATCTCCAAAAATATTTAGGAAGTTTACCATTAAGTTCTACCTTTTATTTTCAAAGATAAATAAGTTATCTTAATTTTCAATAACACCAATAGTCTTACTTTTAAAATTTAAGTTCTAAACCACTCAAATTTTCATGTATACCCTTACCAATTTAGATACAAAGTCTAAATACAAAAAATAGTATTTTATTGACATTTTTGTAATAGAAATTTTAGTCTTTTGTATATTAACAAATTCATTGAATTTAAATTTAATTAATTATAATTAAATTCACATTGAACTATTCATTAATTGACCAAAATTTAAAGGAATATAGTAAAAAAGAAAAAAAGAACTACATATCAATTTTTCAATAAAGTAATAATTGCAAAAATGTATTTATAATCTGTTAAGGGTATAAATTAAAGATATAGTGATTTACAACTGTTAAAAGTGGAATTAATTGAAAATTCATAAAGAAAAACAAGACTTTTACTGATAATTTTTTCGAAATATTCAACACCAAATTATGAGTAGTGGGTTGATCTCTCACGAACAAAAGCCTCTCACTTTATTTAGTGCATGTACACGTGGCAACATGTGAGAGCGACATCCGTAATAACAAAAAATGATATGACATTAATTTATCGATGAAATGACAGTAATACCCTTGTAACATCATCTTGTCCAACTCCATGAGACACTGACCTGAACCATCACTTCTGAGAGAGACTTCTTCAGATCACAGAGGGGAAAAATTTTATAGAGAGAGAAAGAGAGGAGAGAGAAAGACAGATGACGCTGGGGTCGGAGACGCAGGCATATGGAGAGCCCTCATACTGGGACAACCGTTACGCACAAGAGCAAGGGCCTTTCGATTGGTACCAAAAGTACCCATCTTTGGCTCCTCTCCTCCACCTCTACATCCCTCGTCACCACCGTGTCCTCGTCGTCGGCTGCGGAAATTCTGGTAACACAGCCAATTATATATATATATATATATATATATATATTGGAATATGCGATCTCTATCTAAAGATCTGGTGTGTGAATTGTTTTGTTTGGCTTAAGAAAATGTTGCTTGGGTTGGGTTTTTGATTGTTTATTATGATTCATAAATAATTGAGTTTTTAGTGTTTGTAATTATTGGGCATTTATTCTTTTTTATTGTTTGATCTGGATTTGTAGTGTACTTGGAAGAACAATTGGTAGTCTCTGTATCAGCTTTGAATTAGGTTTTGCAAACATTTGCATTCAATTATTCTAATCCATTTAGCAATTCATTCCACTACAATCACTCACTGTAAATAGACTGAAATGTTACAATTGGGAGCAATATTTTCAATAAGTGAAATTGCGATTGACCTTTTTCTATTTTCAAAAATATACAAATTTGGGAGGGGGTTGTTGTGGGTGGGCTTGGCTGTGGTTTAATTAGTACCCTATTATCTTGATGGTATAAAAGGGAATTACCCTGTTGATGATATGTCTATTGTTAACATCTATTAATTAATAAATATACATACAGTATTTACCAACTGTCTAGAAGTTGTAATAAAGTTCGAATGGGTGTACTTGTCTTCATTTACATTAGTAGTCTAGGTCTTGACATTGAAAGTTCTAGTCTTGACTCCATTAAGACAAGGATTTTCCTGTTGCTCAAAAAATCTAAGAGGTTAGATTGGTCAACTTGACAAGAAGAGACAGAAAGTTCAGATTTTATGTGTGCTTATTACTTGCAAAAGCAATGACATTGAGATTTGCTCTAGGGATTACTAACGAAAATATTATGGAAGCATGCTTTTTCATAAATGTTTCAAGGTTTTTTTTTTCCTCCTTTTGTTGTGTGTGTGTGTTATATTGGGCTTTATGTGGTTATGTCATAAAGTGAGAGATAATCATTTGAATGTCCAGGAGAAGGCTTTTTATGGAAGGCACAATTTCCTTGTCAAAGTCCCTTTTCTTTTTCATCCTTTAATAGATAATGCATGTTCGGATGCATTATTGGCAGTAGCAATTTCATACATTTACATCTTCATGAGACCACTTATTATGCCATTTTGGTTCCCAGCATTTAGCGAAGGCATGGTTGACGATGGTTACGAGGATGTTGTCAACATTGATATATCCAGTGTGGTGATTGATGCTATGCAAAAGAAATGTAGTAATCGTCCACAACTGAAATGTATCCTATCATAATTTGACATATTGTGGAAATATCTGGTTCTCAAAATTTAGTTCAGCAAGTATTAGAATTTTTTTTCCTCATTGATCAGTACTGTAGGTGTTGCTAGATTGCGATAGGTCAGACTTGATGTGGATATTCTAGGGTCTGACTTCAGTCATGTGCACACATATGCATAGATTTTCATCTCAAGATAATGCAGTCTCTTTGTGTTTGGCCTCAAGCTGGTTGGCCTGATAATTGAATGGAAATCAAAAGTCAACTACTAATTTGGAAGAAAAAATATCATCATAGAAAATGCAGTGTATGCTACATGAAGGACTAAGGACGCCAGGATCCATACCTGTTGATCTAAATAATCAGAAGGACCTTAGATGCCTGTGAATATTGGCAGAGATATTAAAGAGGGTGAATGTTTTACAACTCTTTAAATTATAAAGTTCCCCAATAAGGAGTTGCATGCCACGGTTGCATTTTCCTTAATAATGAGCAGATATCAAAATGGATGTCACAGATATGAGTACCTTTCAAACAGATTCCTTCGATGCCGTTTTTGACAAAGGTAAACTTAATGGCATTGCTCCCATTAACATTGCATGCCATGAGTTGCATTTTATTTAAATAGTTTTAAATCTATTGCTGATATTGTTTTATATGCTGCTTACAGGAACCCTAGATTCTCTGTTGGTGAGTGTGTCGTTTAATAATATACTCTATCCTTACATAGAGCTGATTTCTTACAGAAAGTATTTGTTTTCAGTGTGGCCATAATTCACGGCAAAATGCTGGTAAGATGCTCGAGGAGGTTGCAAGGTATATTAAAACAACTTCCAAAGTATAACACTACTCTTTCATATCGTTACTTTTTCTTTCTTGATCTGTTGATATATTGAAGCAGTTGATGACAAACTATAGGGTCCTCAAGGACAAAGGAGTTTATATACTGGTATAGTACCTTGTTCTTTATACCATTCCAAAAAGCTTATTGTTTTTGTCGTTTACCTTTTCCTTTTTCCCCTTCAATTTTTGAGAATTTACTTAAATTATCACAGCATAGCTGTCTGCATGTTACTTATCAAAAAAATAAGTTTCACACATTTTGCAGATTACATATGGAGCACCAAATTATCGTGAACGCTTGTTGCGAGATGCGTGGTCATGGACAATAAAGCTACATGTGATAGGTTAGTTAAAATGCCGATGTGGTCTAATCATCTTATTTCTAGAAGTAAAGTCTCTCAGATCATGACCTCCTAGTCGTTGCACAAATACACATATATACACTTTTTCTTTTTCTTTTTTGATAAGTCACATTTACACATACAATTCTCACATCTGCTTTTTCTCTTTCTCAAACACCTATTCCCACACGCGTGTCCAAACACATGCAACCTCACCCAAAAGATGGGTACAATCTTAAATTCATGCATGATTTCCGATTAACTTTTGATTTAACTATTTTTGTGCTCAACAAAGTTGCATAAGGTCCATATTTCTTAGGATGGTCTTAGAGAAAATTGGCCTTACGCCCCTGGTCTCTCTGGCATTCAAGCATTTTATATAACCCGGTGGATTGCTACCATGTCATTGGTGTCTAGCTAAGGATTCGACTCCTCTTCGGTATTGAATCCATCAGCATCTTTTTCTGGTGAACCCAGCAGCCAAGATGTTGCTATGTCATCTAGTACGGAAAATACCCAAAACCTTCCCAAAGCTGTTGTTTCATATTGTTATAACGTAATATATTTCTAATATTAACAGGATGTTGTTTACTTTCAAAGTTTTAGGGTTCTGTCAGGCCATTCGTCTCTCTCCCTCTTTTTCTCTGAATATCGTGTCTGTGGGGATGGTGGTGGTTGGACCATGGATCAGATTTCTGGCTATGTAGAATTCCTCCACCGTCTACCAAGCCCCCTGCTATCTCGCCCACATTATCTCACTTTGATCAAATCACAATCCCATAACTGAGATAGGTCCTTAGTAGAAAGAAACAGAGAAGGAGATTGGCATCTCCAAGTAGACAAGATTCATGAGGTGAAAAGGGTAGCCAATGGCTGTGATGGTGGTGTGGGTGAGTGGTAGTGGAGGGGTCAATGAAATGGGTTAATCAAATCCCAAGTCATTGCAAACGAAAGAACTACCAGTTGTGAAGATGAGTCTTTCTAATAAATTTCTATTCGTGGGTATTATTAAACATTGATTTGTTGCTCAAAAAATGGGTCTAGTGTTGACAGCATAGACTGCATCACATTTTCCCCGTTGGTGCTATAAATATAAAATGCAGCATTTGGATTGGTCTTGGGAGATTATTTCATTCGATGATGTTGCAAAATCTTGGCTGCTCAATTCACCGGTGGAAGCAGTGGATGGATTCAGTAACAAAGAGGAGCCGAATCCAATCCATCCAGCTATATGCCTTTGTGTGGTAGAAGTTTTTTTTTTTTCTGAATTTGGCTGACTGACCATGCAGAGAAACTTGTATCAGAAGGAAGCTCCGAACATCATAAATGGGACCTAACTTCTCCTCTTTCATTGGATGATGATGGGAGCTCCGTGGAAACAGTTCTTGGAAAGAACCCTGATGTTCATTACATTTATGTATGTACTAAGGTCAGTGTATACAATTTCCTCTCTCATTGTTCACTTTCTTTATTGCTTTCAAAGACCCACTTGCCTGAACATTGTTTGAAAGATCCATGCTTTGGTTTTATTTACATTTATGATTATCTTCATTCTCTCTCCTGATTTAGGATGATTCTTTACGGCCAGGCTTGACGCATGAACCGGCAGCTGTTTGAAGTAGTAGAAGGGTATTTCTGTCATTTGTAACATGAATTTTTATGCTCTAGTCAAATTGGTGAATATCTTGTGATTGAATAATATATTATGTAGCTTACATATATGGTGTCTAATTTGTACTTAAAATGTTGCCAGTCGCAGTTCTCACTGGATATGTAATAATGTTTACAATGCCACCGTCAGGTGAATTGTAATTGGACCGGTTCTGCTATAATGGTTCAGTTTCGAAATTTTTCATGGAATCCTATTTTAGTTAGAAAAATATGCTTACATTGGCCTCCTCGAGGCGATGTTTCGGTGTTGACACTTTGAATTTAGAATTAGAGAAAATTTAATACAAACTTTTATCTAAAGATTCTTTAATTTTAAAATCAAGAACATAACATTGAAGTAACCATATTTTATAATTTGCCAATTCTCAAAAAAAAAAAAAAAAATGTATAATTTGCCTTAACCTGTTATCTTGATCTTTCTTTAAACTCTCAAGGATTATGAAATTCAAAACGATAAATTGTAGTTTGATTTGTCTTTCTCGGATTATGAAATTGTGTTATTTATTATTTTTATTTGTAAATAACGAGGATATATAAGCATCTATTGTTATGTAAGTCGGATATAGAAATTGATATATTATTTTTTGTACAAAACGACTGAATTGATCTTGCATTTTCACATATGTTCGCAATTTTTGTGTATATATTGTGTATTAGTTGTTTATCGTTCTTCGGGTTCAAGTCTAATTATGAACTTGCCTAAACCAAGAATCCACTTTTGCCTATGATAAGTGCAGAGTTTGTAATGTCAGTTTAATTTCTGAATTTCAGTTCAACGTTCATGCATGAATCGAGTCATGAATGTTTGAAATGAGAGAGCAATTTTAGCATGTTTAATTAGTTAATATGAATTTCTTATGTTATTTTTTTTTTCTATTTAATTAGCAATTTTATGTTATTTTGTTTTCTATGATGACCATGAATGCTCAACCTTAAGCCCAACAAAATCTGATAGGCCACCAGGTTATCATTGACCCCATTTTAATAAAGTACGCTTTACTCTGTGTGCCAGTTGCATGCTCTATAATCCAAAAATAGAACATGTTGGATCATGGCATATATAGTAATTGTGCATCACTCACCATTGGTTATACTCTTTTAGAATAGGAAAAATTACATATAAATGGAGTCAAAGTTCCATATTTACTTAGAGGCTGAGTTAAAATTTCATATTTCTCTAAAATGGATTGCTGAGGTGGCACATGGTTTTTTACTGTTTAGAAATTGTGGTGCCTAAAATACCCTTCCGCGAAGGTACTACTTTTTTGAACTGAAGGTACTATTTTTTAGCGTCCAGGTACCATGTTTTTTAAACACCCGTGAAGGTACTACTTTTTTGAACTGAAGGTACTACTTTTTTGAACTGAAGGTACTACTTTTTTGCACTGAAGGTACTACTTTTTTGTTAAGGAAGGGCATTTTAGGCACCATAATTTTCTAAACAGTAAAAAACCATGTGCCACCTCAGCAATCCATTTTAGAGAAATATAGAATTTTGACTCAGTCTCTAAATAAATATGAAACTTTGACTCCATTTATATGTAATTTTTCCTTTAAAATATATATTTTTTAATTTATTTTTTGTTGACTTGCAATATATATATATATATATATATATATATATATATTAGGCTGGTACATTGGTTGGGCATCTTTTCCCTTTTTCTGGATTATTTTGTAAAGTTTTCGAAAAAATTGTATTAACGATGTATAAAGGTTATACTCTTAATTGTATGCTTATGTTGTGACTTGGTTTTTTGGTACCTTTTACTGTACTGTTATTTGGATTCCGGGCTTCTTGTTGGTTTATTATTCTAGAAGATATAATAAAGATCAATATCTATTAGTTCATCCTCATTTTTATTTTTTATTTTTAGCACTTCTTACACATTTCATAAATTTTCATTTGTATACGTGTGCAATCAAATTTTATAATACTTCCTAAGAATCTTTGCGAACGTGTTGTTGTTTTTCAGCGGGTTTTTGGTTCCTGTTTGACCCAAAAACAGTTCGACATTTTTGTGATGACGTAGACGGTCACCATTGGAGGAAGAGAGAAAATGCCAGAAAAACAACTGAAAATCCCATATTATCATATATATAATTACGTTTACTTGTTCTCCACTCACTTCTATATAAGCACTATTATATTATCCTACTTTCGTAACTTTTTATTTATAAACACTATTATATAATTTCTTCTATATAAGCACTATTCTTCTATATAAGCACTATTATATTACCCTACTTTCATAACTTTTCATTTATAAAAACTATTATATAATTTCTTTCGTAACTTCTTATTTATAAACACTATTATATAACTTCTTCTATATAAGCACTATTCTTCTATATAAGCACTATTATATTATCCTACTTTCGTAACTTTTCATTTATAAAAACTATTATATAATTTCTTCTATATAAGCACTATTGTATTACTTTCGTAACTTCTTATTTATGAACACTATTATATAACTTCATATATATATATAAACATTATTATATTATTGTGACTCAATCTAAATAATATATACTAACTCTCGTATCTTCTTATATATAAACACTATTATATTATTATGTATGATTCACTCTAAATAATATATAGGTTTTCATTTTATACTTTAAAAACAAATTAAAACAAATTAAAGTATAAAATGCAAAAAAAAAAAAAAATTCAAAATCAAAACTTCAAAATTTTAAAATATTTTAGATCCAAAAACAAACTAAACGCAAAGCAAAGTTGAAACACTAGTTAAAAAGTGTGAAGAACACAAACCATACGACAAGTAAACGGATGGCCACAAATCACACATAATTAACACACACATATAGCCATATTGAAACACTAGTAAAAAGTGAAAAGAACACAAATCAAACTACAATTAATTAACGGATGGCCACAAATCACACATAATTAACACACACATATAGCCATATAAGATCTATAATTACACCATTTCAGACTCCACATAGTCTGTGCACTTAACGTTAAACTTCACGTAACTAGTACTGCTAGTCAAAACTACATATATATATATATATATATATATATATATATATATATATATTTATATATATTAGTTGTGCGTGTGTGTATATATATATATATATATATTAGACTTTAGTGAATCGCATGTAACCCTCCTTGGATGGAAGTTCAACAGTCTGGTAACCCTGAGGCAACATCTGTTTGGCCTCCTCGTCCGACACACTTGAAGAGATCACCACCGGCTCACCAGGTTTCCAGTTCGCCGGAGTAGCTATCTTGAGCTTCGCCGCCTTCTGCAATGACTCCAGTGCCCTCAACACTTCGTCCATGTTACGCCCGGTGCACGCCGGGTAAAGAAAGCTCAGCTTTATCTACACCAACGTCAACATATATGCACCACTGTCAAGTACTCAGTTAATTAAAATGGCTTAAAATATATTGAAATCAGCATGTGTTCCTCGGAACATTTACTTTGAACTACCATCACTTTATGTGACCAAATTTCACCAAATGCGACCTCCAAGAACAAAAGTGGTGAAAGTTACTCTAGTAGGAAATATCTCAACACAATTAAATCGATGTAGTTTTAATAAGTAAATGACATAATGTGACCCTTTTGTGACAAATTTAATTGGTTGGCGCATTTTCAATATAGGCGCACATATCATCATGGTGTTATGCCTTGCTGCCCAACCTTATCTACTCGGATTATTCAAAATGTATCACTGTATATGAGTATATCATCAAATGTTCTATATATATATATATATATATAGTACCCCTTCGCCACAAATTAAATGTTCTGTTTGTATGACTATATATGAGTATATCATCATATGTAGTACCCCTTCGCCACAAATTAAATGTTCTGTTTGTATGACTGTATATGAGTATATCATCAAATGTTCTATATATATATATATATAATACCCATCCCTCCCAAATTAAATGGTCTGTTTTGTGAACGAAAATTAAGCGTTTGGTTTTGTGAACAGTTGTGAGTCCCAATTTTTAAAGTAGAACCCCTAAATGGGGACAGAGAAGTACTCCGTATTAATGGACGGAAAATTAAGAAAGTACAACCTTTTTATCGGGGCCCACGATGTGGAGGGCACGAGATGAAAGTTGGTTTCCATTAGAGTCTTTTTCATCCGGGTCCACCATATTCAGTTGCTTGATGATCTCTCTGTTTGGATCTGCTATGATTGGGAATGTGACCTTGCACCCACACTGCATCCAAATCAGACCACCTTAATTCAAATCAAGTATATATATATATATTTTTTTTTTTTGCCAAAATCAAATATATATATACATACATGTATATAGCATATGAAAAATTGAGATGGCCCATTTAATGAAAGACAAGTATTCTAATGTAATAGAAATAGGATAATACTTAGCTATTCACTCTTAGTGATTCAATAATAAAATAATAATTCATATTTAATAATTAAATAATTTACACCTAAAGACACTATACACTATATATCATATCACACACGGATTAAATATGACAAAATATAATTAGTTGACGGCATTGATGAAATGATAATACTGGTACAAATAAAATACTCTCACTGTGTTCGGATCCTTCTAAATAAAGAAAAATTACAGTAATTAAACAAAATCCGTGAAGATGATTGAATTAAGAAAATCGCTTACGCTGAAGGCTTCAACGTCCTTGATCCACTCCTTGTGAGACTGAATATCATCACAGGACAAGCCCAAAAGCTTCACTCCTCGTTTGGCAAACTCCTCAGCATAAGCTGCCATCTTCCCAAGTTCAGCAGTGCACACTGGCGTGAAATCACCTGCATGGCATCAATATTAATTCCACATCCAAACAACCCCTCCAAAACATGCAACAAATCAATATATATATATATTACCAGGATGAGAGAAGAGAATGGTCCAACTATCTCCAATGTAGTCATGGAGCTTCATCTTGCCATGGGTGGTTTCGACTTCAAGGTTTGGAATGGTGTCTCCGATTGTCAGACCTGGCATTTTCAAAACAGTGGAAAACAAGCCAGCCTTTGATTTTCTTGTGTGTGTGTGTGTGTGTGTGTGTTTTGGGTCGTGGCGGGGATTAAAAAGGTGTGAGGGTTGAGTGCATGGACAGCACGTGGCTACTTGCTTTGACATGTGTGTGCCTTAATCTTCTTCCACGTTTCGTCACCTTTTGCAGTCTCTCTGCCCTTTTGAATCCTTTGAAAGTCATCATAACTGCTGTGTCTGTTTGACCTTCGTCTGTGATTTCAATCAGATTATGCATGATCAACGGTGTTCCAATGGTAAAGTGTCACTAATCAGTTGTGTGTGTTAAATTTTGACTAGTGGATGATATGTTTTCCTATGCCCATGCTTTCTTGCTAAGACTTTCATCGATCGACCATCTCATAGATGTCCAATTAAGGATAAGATATTGGGAAGAAAAAATATAAACCATATAACATTGCATTTATTTCTCTTTTTCCCTTAAAAAAATTCTAATATCTAAAGTGACAACTTATAATATGAAAGGATGGAGTACTGCGAATAGGGACGGTGTTTAAAACAGTTATGGGGTGATTAAATAATTTTATGACGAAAATGGAAATTATGATTGAAAACCCGCATGGTTATCAGGTGGGGATTGGAAAAGTCACTCCACCCCTCTCTATCCCCGTATACTTTATTTTTATTTTTTATTCAATGATATTAGGTATATATATTAAGCAAATCCTAATTTATTATACTCTAAGCACTAAATATTCTTTTGTGTTTATTCTTATTTGAGAACTTCTGTGTATTATTTTGATATTCTTACAATAATATTGAGTCATATACGAAAAAATATATATTGAGCCTCAATTTCTAAGTGAGAAGTTGAATCTTGTATTTATTTGCATTAAGATCAAAAAACTTATTACCACAGGTAAAAATATGTTTTGCATTTTTTTTAGATTCGGAAGTACTTTATAAAACTTGTCTCCGCCCCGCCTCACTCTACCCGTTACATTTAATAAACGATTTTGAACAAAAATAGGAATAATTATGCTAAATGGGAATGAAAATGAAAATAGAAATGAGTTCCATGTCCCACGCCACCCCTATCCCTAACTTGGCCGAAGTCCAATTAAGGACCTCTTTGTCCAGTTATTCTCACATGCATAAATTTTCTTACCTTCCCACAAAAAGTTATTCAGTGAAAAATTGTAAATTGGTATTTATGAATATTTGGTCTCCACATTAATTCATGGGCACATGTTTACTAATTAATTATAGTTCTTGGTTGTGTTTGGAGTCAATATTTACAATCATGTTAGGCACAATTTATATCATCTAAGGTATAACTCACAAGACATGGAAACAATCAATGTAATTTAATTGTTATATTTGGATATTTTACTCACTTCTCTTCCTTTTATTTATTTTGTAAATAAAATAAAATATCTTTTTTTCTAATTTAATTTATGAATAAGTAATTGTTTAGACACACATAATTTTAGTTCTTAGACATATGTTTTAATATATTTATAAAATTATAATAACTAAAAAATTACAATGTTTGAAAATCTAATAATCACGCAAAAATATTATTTCATTCAACAAATCAGAGATCTACACAATTCCATGATAGATTTTCCCGCCCAATGGATTCAGTTATAGACATCGATAAATAACGCGAACGAATAAATTAGTCAATTTTCCCGCCCAATATACTTCATCATTGCACACTTCACTTCACTAAAACCTTTTGCCCCTTTTCGCCTCCAAACTAGGGTTTCCATCAGACCCTCGAATAGTCTCAGCTCAGCATGGAAATCAATCGAATCGCTCAGCTCCTCAACGAAACCCTCAGCCCCGATGGTCTCGTCGTCCATGCTGCCACCGAATCTCTCGACCGTCTCTCTCTCCTACCAGATTTCCCTTTCTCTCTCCTCTCCATTTCCACCGGTAATCTTCATCTCTTCCAATCTTCACACGCATACACACACAGACTGTATATATATATATGTGTGTGTGTGTGTGTGTATGGATAGGACGCAGTTTTACTCTATACATAAGAGGTGAAATCATCATGTTGAAATATTATGTCCTCTTTATAGGATATGAATGATTGTTGAGTTTAATTATGAGGAATTTGATGGTCATTGAACATGATCTCTATAGGCTATAATTTATAAATGACTGTTGATGTTTAATTATGAGTGATTTGATGGTAATTGAACTCGGTCGCATACACAGGAGGTGAAAACCAGGGTCAGAGAATTGCTGCTGCTACGTACCTGAAGAACTTCACTAGGAGAAATGTCAATGCAGATGGAGTGCATTCCAAAGTCAGTAAGGAGTTTAGAGATGCGCTTATGCGGGCTTTGCTGCAAGTAGAACCTGCGATTCTGAAAGTTTTGGTTGAAGCTGTACGATTGTTTCGCTTTAGCTACTTAGATTATTATGAATTTATTTTGCATGATCATTTCTTGGACATGGAGATTAATTGATTTTTTTTTTTTTTTTTTGCAGTTTCGGGTGATCGTCGCAGCTGAGTTTGTGAAGGACTATTCGTGGCCTGAACTTGTTCCAGAATTGCGATCCGTTATCCAAAATAGTAATCTTATTAATAACAGTGCGAATTGTGAATGGAAGACTATTAATGCACTTACTGTTCTTCATTCACTTATGAGACCATTTCAGGTACTCATTATGAGCAATGTATACTCCAGATTTTACATTTGGACTTATTTTCAATTTCTTTTTCTAGAGTGTCTTTAATATTTAAGAGAATTTATTACGATCCTTGGGGGATTTGGTATGATGCAAATCTATATGTACTTTGAAAATTGAGTTCAAACATATTTGGGAATAATTGTGAACTGATAGTTGAAACACCCAATCCCAACGAATATGTGGGGAAGATATTAATGACTTTATCCAAATGGCTCATTGTTTTTTGTGTGTCAGACTTTTTCTCTTTCATTTTTCTATTGGAACCCATTGCCATATATGGCAGTTATTGGTGGCAACCAAAAAATTGGAAAGTACTAAATGTGTTTTTTTTTTTTTTTTTTTGGAATTGGTCTCTGCAGTTGGTAGCTATAATTTATTAATCTGTTTGCAGTACTTCTTGAATCCAAAACTTGCAAAGGAGCCGGTTCCACCCCAGCTAGAGCTAATTGCAAAAGAAATTCTCGTACCTTTGGTTGCTGTATTTCATCATTGTGCTGAAAAGGTTATTATCTTCTCTTCCTACTTGTGTAACCATACTTTGCTCTCCCACATGGCTTTTATTATTATTATTATTATTATCTATATTTGAAGCGTCTCTTTGAATTTCACGGTGCATGAAACAGACGTTAACTATCCATGTTAGAACAGAAATGGAAACTGAGAAGATGCTTCTAATTGTATGCAAGTGCATATATTTCGCTGTAAGTAACAATTCTACTTCTGATTCTGATGATATATGGAATTAAGAATTCATGTATAAATATTATTTTCCTAGATGTTCAATCATTGTAACAGTTGGGTCTCAGCATATAATATATGAGAAAGGTTGATAATCTAGTTTGAAATCCTCGCATAGGTTTTTATAGATAAGTTCTACAAGACCCAACAACGAATATACCAAAAGAAGCTTTAAAATGTTTCCTTTTACATGTGTTAATTGGACCTCTTTTATTCACTTCTTTAGTCAAAGCTTGTCACTGTAACATTTTATCTCATACCATTGCTGCTTTGTTGTTTATGTGATCAAACAAGCATTTCGAATTAGTAGTAAGCTTGAGTGGCATCTTTTGCCACTCCCAAATTGAGAGGTGCTGGGTTCTACACTTCTAAGTCCTGGTTTAGGTCTTTAAAATTTTTACCCCAAAAGAAAATAATGATAATAATAATAATAATAAAGGAGAAAGAGGAAGTAAAAGATGCTTGTCATGTTTTTCCCCACACATAAACAGTCATCATGTCTATCAGATACTCTTCAATTTGTATGAACTCTATTATCATATCAACAATTTTCTGATTTCATTGAGTGAAGTTCAACTTTTGAGATGTCCATTATTCATTATAGATAAGGTGCTGCTGTTTAGATTTTCAATTGATTGCTGCTGCTTAGATATTCAACTGATTGCTGCTGCTTAGATATTCAACTGATTGCTGCTGCATGTTCTAGACCACTACCAGAGTAGCAGTTATTGCATCGTCTCTTTGTTTCTCTTCACATTCTTCCTGGTGCATATGTTTCATTTTTATTTCACAACTTGATCAACTTCATCCTGTCTATGATTTTCTATCTTGTATGTTGTTTTATGCCTTTTTAGCTATTAGTATTCTTCTTAGGAATATTTACTGCAGTCAGTTTTGTAGGTGAGATCACATATGCCTTCTGCCTTGGTTCCTGTTCTTCCTTCACTCTGCCGAGATCTATTTGGGGTCCTGAGTTCTTTAAGTTTTGATGGCACATTAACGTTGGAAGATGGGTACACGCTGAGGCTGAAGACGGGAAAGAGAAGTTTACTTATTTTTTGTGCTTTGGTCACACGACACCGAAAGTTTTCTGATAAGTAATGCGATCAAATATGCACTTTGCTATGATTTTCATTAAATATTTATCACTATTATTCATGATTTGTTATCTCTTACATTCTCAGGTTAATGCCAGACATTATGAATTGTGTTTCAAGAATAGTCAAGAGTAGTGCAACTATCAGTGTAAGTTCTCTGCGATTCTGGTTAATTTTGCAAATAGATGGTAGATAAAATACGTAACATTGTAATACTCTTTATTTGAAAATATGAATCAAGTGGCAGCCTGAATGCATTGTGGTTTCAAAGACAATTCTCCTTGTGCTAATTATGGATTATATAAGCACCATTTACATTGTTGGTCAGCACCAACCTTAATTTTGTAGCATGCATATAAAGCACCCACTTATGAGATTAGACCATGGCATCATACTCATGCCAATATGATATATTCTCCAAAATTAGGATACAAATAAGAGGAGGACATTGCAGTATATATATGTGTGTACTGTGTAAAAAATAATTATTATGGAGTTTTTAAATCCTCTATGCTTCTGAATATAAAACATAATTTCATGCTAGATAACATTGGATTATGTTGCATTGACTAACTAAATTATCATGTTTTACCATTGCACCATCTCACTTTTAAATAAGAAGGTCCAAGTGTAATATTAAAACCCTCATTTTCTCCCTAAGACTTATACACTTGCTTCTGTAGTAAAAGGCCTCATACTAGATTTAATAATTCCATTGTAGATTTTCCGTCAGATAGATTGTTACACGTGTTATATGATCTTACTTTTTATCCTCATATCTTCTTTTTCATGTGTGGTTTAGCAAATTCTTTTTATCATGCAGAAGCTGGATTTCCTCTCAGAGAGGATTGTTTCATTAGCTTTTGATGTTATTTCACATATTTTAGAGACAGGACCCGTAAGTTAACTTGATTTTGTCTCTTTCTCTTCCTTTTTTCTTTTGAAGTTCAATGTTATTATCTTGGCATTTTTGGTTCTTCGTATTCGATCAATATCTTCTGGTCGTTTACAGAAACCTTAACAACTGCAACTTTACTATTTTGATTTTTAAAAAGATAGTATATTTTGTTTGAATTCAAAATCACCGATATCATCTGAAAACAGGGATGGAGACTAGTTTCCCCCCACTTTTCATCATTGCTGGACTCTGCGATCTTCCCTGCACTAGTGATGAATGAGAAGGTGTGGTATGTCAGATCCTCTCTTTTGAAATATTGGGTTGCAAATATGTGTCCTAACATCTTTACTACTAAACTGTGGCCCGCAGATTAAATAAGGATCAGTCATTGATAGGCTTATGCTGTTTCGAGGCAACTCTTATTTTTTCTAAAGTCAATTATAAAAGTATTTGAGTATAAAGAAGTGTTCCTTTGACATCACATTTTCATTTCTCTTTGTTAAAAATTGGTTGGCTAATTCCGTGTTTGATTATTTTGTATGCATGTAGGACATGATAGAATGGGAAGAAGATGCAGATGAATACATACGGAAGAATCTTCCATCTGATCTTGTACAAAATTATATTTTGTTTTTTATTTTTATTTTTATATTTTGCAGTTTACCACTTCTGTATTTTATTAATATTGCTTTCAATTTGTGTTGCAGGAAGAAATTTCTGGATGGAGAGAGGACTTGTTCACAGCCAGAAAAAGTGCATTGAATTTACTGGGTGTTATTGCAATGTCGAAGGTTGGTGTTGTGGAAGAAGTGTCAAGTCATATTGTATTAAATTCTCATTGTAGTTGTTTCTGCTTGCAGGGGCCTCCAATGATCGCCTCAGGTAATAGTTCTTCAGTTTCCTCAAAGCGTAAGAAAGGTGAAAAGAACAAGGGAAAAAATCGCAGTTCCATGGGGGAGCTGCTAGTGCTTCCCTTTTTGTCGAAGTTCCCAATTCCTTCCAATGTCGACACATCTAAAACTAAGATTCTAAATGAGTGAGTTTACATATTTACTTGTAGAGTAGCTTCACTCGTTGACTCGTTCTTTTTCACTTTTTACCACCGGGCCATTGGTCCAGGTGCTATGAGCTCTCCTCCCCAAAATGGTGGTGAGCGGTTCGAACCTCATATGGGGCAATATGGTGTGTGTGCATTGCTTACCTACCAAAGAAGAAAAAAAAAAAAAAAATGGTTCTCAGAAATATCTAGTAATTTTGGTTGTGTAATGTATGTCAGCGTACATTTCACTTGTTCCCCATATGTGCATCAGTTTACATAATTGATTTGCCATGAAAATTAAATTTGATAACAACTATGTCTTAAGGGAGTTGCATTTAGTCTGTGAGAGAGGAAAATAAGTTGTCTGAAGACATTTACATATGATCTTGGTGGTACTTCGAAGACAAGGACGGAAGTGTGCATTTGACTTTCTGCAGCCTTACTGCTTCTTTTCTTTCTTTCTTTACCTTTTTTTAGGCGTTTGCTCACTTCTGTTAATGGATGGCTTACCTAATGAACAATTTCGCCCCAATTATCTTTTTTTTTTTCTCCTTCAATTATGCGTGCGTGTGTTTTATTTTCCTCATTGTGATCATTATAATAAAGAAAACATAATTTACTTCTTTCTTCCCTTTTAAGTTGATTTCTTTTGAAAAGAATATATATCTATATATAATTCACAATATTTGGGCTACTGCCATTCTTCTTTTTGTTCCCTTTTAACTTGATTTCCTTTTCAATTGTGGCAGTTATTATGGTGTTTTAATGGCATATGGCAGCCTTCAAGATGTAAGGCGATGTCACTTTATTTATTTGCTAAAATTTTGTTTTGCTCCAGTCTAGGAGATATTTAATACTATATAATTGCATATGCAGTTTCTAACAGAGCAGAAGCCTGGATATGTAACAACTCTTGTTTGTACTAGGGTGCTACCGTTGTATACAGTATCAATATGCTCGCCTTATCTGGTTGCCTCTGCAAACTGGGTGCTTGGGGAGCTTGCTTCTTGTCTCCCTGAAGTGAGATAAATCCTTTATTTTTTTTTTATTTTTTATTTTTAGCTTCAAGTCTAGATTTTAGATAAATGTTCACCTGCCAATAGTGCATATGCTTAATTTGGTATCATATACTTTGGATGCTTCAATAAACACCAGTGTATTTTTCATGGAATGTGCTTTTGGAATCCCCCTCTGAGGTTAGTTCTTGCTTTCTCAGGAGATGAGTTCTGATGTCTATTCTTCATTGCTGAAAGCCTTGGCAATGCCGGATGTTGAAGTTATTTCTTGTTATCCTGTGCGGATATCTGCTGCTGCTGCAATTGCAGAACTTGTTGAAGTATGTGGGGTGTACCGAAATCAAAGTCTAGCTGTGGCATCTACAATGTCAGTATGGTTTTTAATCTGACTTTTATGTTTATTCTCTGCAGAATGACTACTTGCCACCAGAATGGTTACCCCTTCTTCAAGTTGTGGTTGGTAGGATTGGTGTTGAAGTTGAAGAGACATCCATTTTGTTTCAGCTTCTTGGTACTTTGGTTGAGGCTACTAATGGAAGCATTGCTCTTCATATCCCACATATTGTTTCATCGTTGATTGATACAATTTCAAAATGTATACCTTCTAATCCAGAGCCATGGCCTCAAGTATGTATGGGATCCCCATTTAATAATATTTATGTGCTTACTCTGTTATTTATTTTTTCATTTTAAATGATCTTCTGATGCTAGATGTTCCAGATACTGCTTAGAATATAGTGACATGCAGTATCGTTGGCTTCTTTTTTTTCTCCTTTTTTTTTGGGGTTAAATGCATATTATTTGGATTACTCTTCTATTTACCAGTATGAAAAAAAAGAAAAAAAGATTCTCAAGCTGTTGTCCAGACAATCCATTGCATTTTTTAATATCATAAACAAAGGAATTTATACTTTTCAAGTAAATTAGATGACTAATATTTTTTTTTTTCTTGGTACTCACACATGCATGCCTCCACTGAGGTTCAAACCCCTAACCTCCCTTTGAGAAGTAGGAGCTTGGTACCACTAGGCCACTGGCCTGTTAGTCAGTGACTAATAATTCAATTGATTGAATTTTGATCTTTTGGATCCCTCATGCAGAATTAATCAAATGGGGGATTTTATCATTAATAACGATTTTGCTTTAATGCTTTAATATAGGGCAACAGTGTGAATCGCTTACAGTACACACACTAACATAACCACCATTTTCTTTTTGCTGTAGTGGGTTTTACACTCACCTTCATTGGTATATTGGAAACACTGCATTCTTTAGTTTGGAGATCTGTGAGGAAAAGATGTTGGAGAATGTCATAAATGATTTTAGTTTGTGAATTGGACTCTATGATTAATCTCTATCTCTTTAATGGTTTAGAATTTTTTTTGTTTACTACAAGTGTATTGTGCATATTTTAATATGAATAAGGGTCATTGCTAGGTGTAAGGGTAAGATGCTCGGAAGGTAAGTATGAGAATAGCCACTTTTCTGTAAATAATAACAAAGGTTAATTATGTATCCGGTCTAGCCCTCCTAACACTCTGCATTAGTGGGACTGTCATTGGGTAATGGCCTTCTCACTAGTGTATGACTAACTAAGAGAGTATTGAACAATAAGCTGACACTGCATTCTTTCTGGGAGTAAAGAATAAACTGACACTGGCTTCATAATAGATTGTTGAACAGGGCTTTGCGGCATTAGCGGTGATGGCTCAATGTTGGGAAGACTCTGTACCTGAAGAAGTTGAGCAGAATGAATCAAGTGAATGGGTATCTGGTCGTAATACCATAGCTAGAGCTTTCTCAGATCTCTTACAACAGGCTTGGCTTAGGCCCCTGCAGCCAATGGTTAGTCTTAAATATTGCTTCTTTATAATTTCTAGGAAAATAAAATTACAAGCATATACTGAATTTTACTTCTTGATGGCGTTATACATGTATATAAAACAATTCACGCCATCATTAATTAAATATATATTTGCACCTTATGAAGCTAAGTGACATTGTTCTTCTGATGAAACAATTGTTCGGAGTGAAGCTGGAAGTGTGAGCCACCCTAGTTACTTGTATTGTAAGGGAGATCACTTCTCACTTAATAAAGTTTCTGAAAATTGTGCTTCTGATGTAACAATTGTCCGGAGTGAAGCTGGAAGTGTGAGCCATCCAAGTTACTTGTACTGTAAAGGAGATCACTTCTCACTTAAGAAAGTTTCTGATGCTTATTATGAAATTGATTGAAATTGTACACTCGTTCAAATGACAAACTTAAGCTAATTGTTAGATTTTGCTAACTTTTGGGGGTAATATTTCAGTTTTCCTTTAAACCTTTGTCTCAAACATATTAATTAAATGGCAATGTGCTTTCTACTTGAGAATGGGGTTATAGTAGACATTATAAGGAAGTATTCTATGTCTAATAATTTAGCACCAGAAAACTGGACCTGTGTCAAAAAAAAAAAAAAAGGATGTCTGACAAAAAGTTACAAATTAATTCTCTGTTGCTATGAATTCCAATTGAGAGTGAGGTTGTAGTAAGTCTTATTAGGAAATATTTTTTGTCTAAAGTTTGAGTTTTAGGAAACTGAATATGTCAAGCAAAGGATGTCTAATGAAAAGAAAGTCAACTCCATTTCAAAGGGTGATTAGATTTTTCTGTAGAAATGGAAAATAACAGTACCAGAATATTTTCCATTTCATCATGAAAATTCTCCCGGAAGTCTTGCCAGCATCATGTCCCCACCCTTTTAATGGCCTTATAGTTCCATTATTGTAATTGTCCCAAGAATTTTTTCTGAATTTCCCCTTTTTTTTCTCTCTTCTTCCCAAGTTCTCCTGCAGTTTGCTGTGCCCCTCTTTCATCCCACGTGTTGTGTGCTGCATGTTCAGATTAATTTCCTACAGAGTGCCAGTCTTAGCTCACTTGATGTTGTGTCTTGGTATCTTTATTGTTATCAAATTGACAGGAACCTTCCATATCTTACTGCTACTATCATTATTATTTTTTATTTATTTATTTTATTTTATTGGGGTGGGGGTGGGGGTGGGGGTGGGCCGTTTATGGTTTTGTTTCTCTATGAGAATGAGTGGGAATGTGGAACTAACAACTGTAACTGACTTGCCCTTGAAGGATTTTGCCACGTGTAATTTTGGTTAGTAAATAGTTCAAACCTCCTTCTCTTATGATATTCCATTTAATTTTTCCTTGGACCAGAAAATATAGTAAGAACCTTCTAGTGGCAGGCAAACTGTTTGCATACGTCCTTGCCTTGCTACTTTGTTAATAAACAACTCTGGTCTGATTGTTTTTTAATCTTGTGTCATACTTTCAAATTCTTACCTAGTACGTATATGTTCAGGAAGGTGATGATGCTGCTGTGTTGCCCCCTCCATCATGCATAGATGATTCATCAGCATTGCTCAGGTTCATTATGCAAAGTGTCACTGAAAGCAATGAAATTATAAAGCTAAAATTATCAGAACTTATAGTAGTTTGGGCTGATCTGATTGCTGACTGGAATGCATGGGAAGAAATGGAGGATTTAGCAATCTTCAACTGCATCAAGGAAGTTGTGAGTCTCCAAACAAAATTTGCACTGAAAAATTTCTTTGTGGGACAAATGCCGTCCCCTCCAGCTCCACCCGTACCAAAACGTTCCATTATTGAAGGAATTGGTGCTTTCATCACTGAGGCCATGTCACAATATCCAGCTGCAACCTGGAGGGCTTCCTCCGGCGTCCATATGCTGTTACATGTTCCGAGTTACTCATTTGAAGCAGAAGGTGTTAAGGAGTCATTGGTGATAGCTTTCAGTCGGGCAGCATTTTCTCGTTTCAGAGGAATTCAATCCAAGCCTTGTTCACTATGGAAACCTTTGTTGCTTACCGTATCTTCATGTTATTTATGCTATCCTGATATTGTGGAGAAGATTTTGGAGAAGGATGAACATGATGGCTTCACAGTCTGGGCATCTGCTCTAGCTTTTATCTCCAGCAGCAGATTCGAACATGGTCTGTCAACAGAATCGGAGATTAAGTTAACCGGTTAGTATTTTACGTCTTGCTCTAGGATCCCAGTAGAAAATATAGGCATCAAAATAGATTCCTCAAGTATAGATTCTCAGTTCATTAGAAGCATGAAGTTACCTTCTTTTAGTATTCCTATCCATCTGATTTTCAATGAGTTCAGGTGATAACATGGCTAACTGTTTACTGAGGGTACATTTTGGAAAAAAATGGATTTAAATTAAATTAGGAAGTTGGATTTTAAGTGAAATGTTGAAGATTCAAGTTCCCTTGGGGTCAATAGTGTGTTTTTAACTTATCCACCTGAAAAAAACCAAAGATGTTGGATTCGAAAGGCCAAGGGGAAGCTAGATCAGAGGTATGGGAGACATACTTATAACAATCTTTGTGCAACTAAAATTCTTACCTGCTTGTCATCTCTCTTTCTATATGTGAGTGTGTGTGTGTGTAAGGCTCTAAAATCATTCTATGCATATTCTTAAATGTTGGGTCTTAATTAATGCTATACTCTCATTTAATCCTTAAATATATATGGAGCCTAATAGTTTTGTACTGAATTTCAGTGATGGCATTAGTAAAAGTGGTTGAGCGGCTGCTAAAACTAGGAAATCTGGGTAGTGGTTTGTTACAAGAATGCTTTACCTCATTAATGGAGGCATCTGTAAGGTTGAAAGAAGTGCAAGGAGAAGAAAATGAAGAGGATGAAGATGAGGATGTTGGTGATCAGGACACTGAAGAAGAAGAAGATGATGATGATGATGATGAGGTCTGGCTACCAAACTTTCTTGTTAAATTTTACTTTTCTGGAAAGCTATCTTTAAACATGCTTTAGAGATGAATTGCTGCTTTCTTTCCATCTACCTTTCCTTCTTTTTTTCCTACCTCGGGGTGGGTGTGACTGTACAATGCCACCCTGTAGCAATAAACAAATTGTTTGGAAAGTCCCGCCAATGACAAGAAAATAATGTGGCTTGGAATCATCAAATGAAGTGACAGAATCCCTTCTGTATTACTAATTAGGATTCCGAGGATGATGAGCGTGAAGAAACCGAAGAAGAATTTCTGGATAGGTGTGCCAAAGCAGCTGCTGCCTTAGAAAATGGGACTTTTCTAGAAGAAGGGGATGTAGAAGATCAAGAGCAAGGGTTTGAATTGGGTGAGTCATTAAAAAAAACTTCCATTTGTCAAAGTCACCTGTTTATTACTTGAAAAGTTGAAACAATTGGATGGTTAGTTAACTAAGTTTGATGCTTTTAAAATTTCGGACTGATTTAGATTATGTTTCCCTGATTTTTTATCATGAATGATCTAACATTAACATTATTGCTTTAAAAGATATATTTTACCTGTTATCTAATTTTCTCTGTAATCGGAAAATATGGTAGGCGTGTAGGATGATGATTTAGTTGTTGTCTCGTTGAATTTGTGTTGGTAACTTTTTGCTGAATCCTTTGTTTCTTCTGTTGTTTGATGGGGTTATATAGGCCATTTGGGAGAGATCAACCAGCAAAGCATTGTGGTGTCATTAATAGAGAGATACCACCAAGTTTTGGTACAAGGACAATCATTGCCACCAGAACTCATTTCAGCTTTTGTGAACACATTCCCTGAATGTAGTTTGTACTTCCAGCAATCTCGGTAAGATATTTATTATGCTTGAATATCTATAAACATGTCTACAGGGACAGCAAGAAGAAATTTGTTGTAATATTAAGTGTTTCTGAATATGTTGTGACGTAGAGATCCTCCTGGATCTGTTGTTTTCTTCTTTTATTTTTATTTATTCAAATTACTCATAAAGTTTTGTTTTTATTTACTAAAAATAATTTATAATTCAAAAAAGTGATATATATTCTTCCTAGTCCTGTTAACTATCAAGCCCTCTGTTGTCCCTTAAATCTTCCCAACCGAAGGCTGGACCTGACTTCAGTTACTAGCTTAGTAGACACCACTTTCATCAATTGCATATAGCATTGGGTGGTGGTGTGATTGCCCAGTGGTAGATTGTTGGTGTTTGTGGCCAATGGAACTTCCAAAAAAAAGAAAAAAAAACTTTGCACGTAGCAGAGGCAGCTGAACAGCAATAAAGTCATCACTTTTTCCTTTTTTTCTCTTCTTTTCTTTTTCTGGTTAGGTAAATGCTCACTCATGAATGTCCATTATGACCTCTAACACTCACCTTCACTTTGGGAGAAAGAAGTTATACCATTTGGGCCAACGTCCTGTTAAAAGTGTTGGTAAAAACTGCTTGTTTCAATATCAAATTATAAAGATCATTCTTTTTCTTGCTTTTTGTTTTGACATGAGCATTTTCTAGATCAACGGAGACACCAGTTCCAAGCTTTATGTATGAGAAAATCTTTCAGCACTTTCAAGTAATTAGAATTCAGTAAAATAAATTTGGCTTACAAGATCTAAAAATGAGCAACATGATTTGTATCTTTGGTATAAGAAACGCGGTGAGATTTCTTTAGAGTGCCCGTACCAACTCTATTTTTAAACCATTGGGTTTTCAATTTCCACATTTCAAAGTCCCATAAAGCATGTGGTGGGTGAGTATCCAAATACTTTACTGCAATAAACAATCAAAAACCAAGAAGTACTAGGAACACAAAATATGCTCTTTTGGGGGAACATATGCTCAGATGCTTGCTTTGCTGCATTTGCAAGCTGTCAATTTGCCAATCGCGACCACATTCATTCATATGGCATTCAAATTGAGACTAGAATACTCTTTGTGTGGCTTTAAAAGGAACAATTACGAATCTGGAATCTCACAATATATAATATTCATCATATCTTTCTAGCATTGTTTTCCAATTTTATCCAGAACACCAAGTCCGTCCATTCTTGGTCCTAGTACTGACACAGAGACTAAGGAAGAAACTCCCCTTCAACTTATTCTAGTACTGACACGGAGAAATGGGGAATAAACTCCCCTTACACTGGAATTAGGGTGTTCCTCAACAACAGAGCATGCAAATAATAATAATAACAATAAAGATGGCATCCCTTACTTTAACTTGTAAGCTCAAAACAAACGATTTTTTTCAACATTATCGTTACAACATTCATTAGATCTACAAACCAAATCTTAAAAAATACGACTTAGCAGCGCAACCTATACTGATTTTTTTCTTGGAGTAAATCCCATTACCCTTGGGAACCAACATTAATTTAGAAAATTCCATTTTAACAAGGCGGACTTGATTGAATCTCGTATCATTACAACAACATAAGCAAATATCAGCTTTGTTCTTTAGCCTTCAGTTTTGATGCTCATATCAGTCCATCATCAAAAACTACTTTCCCTAATCTTAGTGCTTAGAGAGGATCCCCATCAAGTATCTCTGGAGTGTTCTTTGTTCTTTCTCAGATGCTCGCCTCGAACCCTGGCAGGGTTAAGTTCAAAGGAAACCGCCTCTCTGTTGTAGGAGCACAAATATACAGAAATTAGCTAATTATTAAATTAAAATGACAGTTATTTGACTTGATTGTTCCGCAAGAGTTCTGAAAGGGGAAAAATAACACTCCCTCTGGTCTCATATTAGTTGTCCAGTTTTCCTTTTTGATATGTCCCAATTTAGTTGTCACATTTGAGAGGTCAGCCAAAAGAAATACTATCTTTCCATCATTACCCTTTAAAATTTTCAAATATCTTCCAAATTAGTAATATACATTTTTAAACTTAAAAGGACAAGTTGGTAATTTGAGAAGGGGACAATGCATTAATTGCATGTCCCTTAAAAATTACTATTCCCATACGGGATGGAGAGAGTAATAACCAAGCTGAAGCATACAAAAGTTCATATAAAAATATGCAAGCCGAAACTAATTAGATCATAAGCCATATAACAATAACCCAGCTGAAGCATACCTTGTTAACATTGTTTGAAAGCTAATCCAGTCCCTAGTATAACATTTCTCCAGCTCAACTTTACATGATCTGATCTCTGTTATTGCTGTTAGCCACTACGATAAGCTCATATGCGTTAACACTATCCCCAAAAAGCTTGAATCTAGAACCACGTCAAAAGAAGAATTGATGAAATATAGAGAAAGGTATTAAAAAAAATTCAGGTTGAAAACAAACCACTCAAAAGCACAGTGGCGTGTAATGGAGGGATATCTAATCATTACTAGACCATCCACATATCAAAATTGTCAATCCATACATGTATGCTATATAAATGAGTAAAAATCTTTAGAAAAAATTCAAGTGAAACCTAACAACCATCAAATAGGAAGTTAGGAATTGTAATACCACGGGCTGATATTGCAGAACCAACTAAGAGAAGGAACAAACAAATTGACTCTACTTGTCATAACAAAGGAATATATAAACAATGTCAGCCACAATGTAGATCACTGTTCCTAATAAAATTCAAAGAACGATTAAAACAAATTTGGCTATGGTAAATTTAGCTTATGATAATGTTAGGTACTGAAGGAGTGGTATCTAATCAGCACTGGACCGTCCATAAGCACACCCTATGGTAAGTCTCACCCTCATGCTTGTGTTCAAAAGACGCATGAAGTTCAGTGGAGTCCAACTCTCTTGAATTGAAATAGTATAGCAAAAACTCAACTTGGGGGCAAATAAATAAATAAAGAACTTCATTATAAATGGAACTTCATCAAGCAACACAATTGTCAAGATAGAAAGACATTTTTATTTAGTAGCATCCATCAAAATATACTACAAGTCGACAAGACATGCATAATCAAACAGAATGCATAATAATTAATAGACTGCCTCAATTTCACTTAACGCCAAATATTCCGGAAATAGTACTTGATCAAGTCCATCCAAAAGTATGCCAACCATAAAAAAATAAAAATAAAATTTGTGATATATATGTATTGATGAAGATATATCAACAGAATGAGATTGTGGTACAAGATCTTACAGCCCCCATAAACAATTATGGTTGTAATACTTTAGAACCTTTTTGGTAGCCAATCATGATTTTCATTTTAAAAAATGAAACCAAAGTAGTTTTCAAAAAATACAATCAAATATGTCATCAAGGTTTATATGTTTTCATTTCAAATTTATTCAAGTAAATTGTGATAGTGTGCATTATGGGGAAAATATAACACTAATTGGGTCATAAGTTCTGAAATATATATATTATTTATCCGGCAATAAATTAGAAACCCACAAATCAGAACTACCACTGGGCCTAAAGCGCTCAGTGGTCGTTCCCAAATATGTAAGCCACTACGCAGATAGCCTTCCCTTATGAGGTTAAGAAAAGACTTGAAAGACAAGGTGGCTAAGATAAATCTAGCTTATGATTATGTTAAGTACTGTTAGGGATTGATTAAAACAGCACTAGACCGTCAATAAGCACATCGACATTATTACCTCACAATCATTTTGTACACCTAGAGTAACTTCTGCGGCTAGCTACACATCACTGTTTGGTGTGTGTTTGTGTGTGTGTTTGGATCATATAAAAAACAAACATATTTCAGCCACTACATGAATAGCTTTCCCAATGAGATTGAGGAAAAACTTCAAGACAAAATGGCTGAGCTAATTCTAGCTTATGATTGTGTTAAGTGCTGTTAGGAGGAGATTGAAACAGCACTAGACCGTCAATAAGCACATCAATCTTAAGAATCAGAATGTGAACTTTACTCTAATACATCACTGTTTGGTGTGTGTTTGTGTGTCTGTTTGGATCATAGAAAACAAACATATAGACCGTCAATAAGCACATCAATCTTAAGAATCAGAATGTGAACTTTACTCTAATACAGGTCCATAGAACACGTGTACCAGTAGGGGAGGGGAGAGAAAACCCTAACGTACCTCGATCTGGAAGGAGAAAGAAAAGGCATGAGAGAAACGGTACACGAGGTATCGACCACTTCGTCATCGGGGCATGGAGGGTGAGAACGAGGCGGTGATGGTGTTTGAAAAGTGAATTTTATGAACCCTAACCCTCATTTTATAACCTATATAGACTTGGGGTAAATTGCTCTTGGACCCCTCATAAATGCTAAAATTTCGCACAATTGTTTCAAAAATTGCATGCGATACCCTTGACGACGTTTGTGCTTTGTACAATACACACCGCAAATCGTGACTCGGGCAGCAAGGCAGCAAATTTTTTTTTAAAACCATTTTATTTGTTTAAAAGGCAAAATGGACCTTCTAAACTAAATATTATGTTGATTTCAATGATATATAGCGGTCAAACCATCGGCTATCACGTTTTGAGGTGAAAGTGATACAAAATACAAAGTGTTTTGCATGCAAGTTTTTAAACCACGGAGGAATTGTGTGCAATTTGACCATTTATGAGAGGGCCTGGGAGCAATTTACCTCATAGTTATAGGTACCGTGGTAATTATAAATAAAAATGGTTTTAGGAGTGTAATATCGTAATATAATGAAGATGGGGCGGGGGTGTGATAAACAAAAATTTACCCAACTTTAAAAAAATTTTACGTGATTACAAACATTCATAACTTAACGTGCAAGTAAATATATCACCGTTATTCATATATTTTTTTATATGTCAATTTGTAATTCGTTGTAATCGTGTGGTCTCGATCATGTAATAATAATTTCTTATCTGATCCATTCCCAACTTGAGTTCACCACTCAAATTGTCCACCTATACATATATATATATTTTTAATAAAAATTAAGTTTGGAAGGCAAAACCACCAAAATAACTCACTGTAATGATCATATTGAGTGTTGATAGTGTACAATTGATCATCATAATTTCAATAAGGAGTAGTGTAAATATATATATATATATATTGAGTGTTGATAGTGTACAATTGATCATCATAATTTCAATAAGGAGTAGTGTAAATATATATATATATATATATATATATATATATATATCCATATGGCATGTATATAGAGTTTATAACCCATTATATATTCTAAAAACTCCATAACATTCAATTTTGGAACAAATAAAAAACTAAATGTTGGAAAAAATAAAGTATTCCTCTATAACTGATTAAACAATAATTTTAAAAAAAAGCTAATTAAATGTTGAAATAGATTAAACCGTCTCTCGTCTTGTTGTTGGCGATAAAGCCAGTTGCCTAATCGCTGTCGACTTCCTCTCATTCCGACGAGGTCGACGGACCTTACGACAGTCTAGTCACCGCATGTAAGCAGTGACTCACTAATTGTTCTTCATCGGTAGCAAACCAAGGTTGCTGCCCTTCTTCTGATGGTCAATTAGGTCGTTGGATTGTGACTTGGTGAGCACCACGGATAGCGACCCAAGTCGTCGTCCCTCTTCAGCTGCGTTGGGTCGCTACTTTTCCATATTACGACCTTGGTCGTTGTTCCTCTCACGGTGACGTACCAGATCGCCGGTAGGCGACCTGGTTTACTGTTCCATAAATTGGGTTTGTTAAAGCTCACAATAACCGAATGAATGTGGCTCGTTGTTGGGTTGCGTAGTTGAAGCTTCACCGAATTTAACTAAGTTTCACCGGAATTGTAGAGGTGAAGCTCTCACTGTCGTTTGCACCAATTAAAGTTCTCGTTGGCGTTTGCACTGATTGTGGGGCCCGAAATTGTCAGTCACCGAATTGAGGTACACACACGGGACTCAAGTTTTCTTGGAATGGGGTTCACTGAACTAGTTGGTTAGAATGAAGATCACCATACCTATTCATTAAACTTGTTGAAAAACAAATCACACCATAGTTGGGAAGGTTACCAATTGGGTATTCTTATTCGGTTTGGGCTTGGTTTCGTCATAACTGATTTTACTGTCTGGATTCAGTGTGTATAATATGTGTGTGTGTGTGCAAGGGCATTATCGAAATAGACAAATGTGTTTTTGAAATTTTATATCTTAAAAATGTCATGTGCATTTGTGCAATGCACATGACTAAATTTATAACGAACCAGTGACCTTAAGCCATCCTTTACCACATTTTTTTAAACTTAGGGAACTTATATATACAAAATAAAGGACACGGGTGTTATTTATCCAAAATGTAAACATTAAAGATGGTTTCCTCACCTTTCCCTTCCATTAAATAAGATTCATTTCACCATTTATTATATATATATATATATATATATTTCACGCATGTTCACTAAAAGCAATAGCTTTGCTAATGGGCAATGCATGCTGCTATAATGTTAGGATTTATATGCCCTGGCATAGCAAATTCATATCTGGATTATAGTGACATATGTTCCTGACATATCTGAAATATTTATGATTTATATAATTAGTGAATTCAATGTATTATGTTTCGATTCACTGTGAAATTGATAGTGTCCATGTAATTACAAGAAATATTTATATATATGTATGTGATGGCAATCAATGCATGATATATAAATAGTAATTATAAATTGTTCATAGTCGGTAATTATGGATGGACTCATAATTAATTAAGACTTGAACTGGATCCGCGTTAAGTTGAGATATATTGCGAGAGCCGTCGTATGCAATTACTCCCTATCACCGTCATGACATTTGACTCTTAAGCATGAGAAAAGTATAGACTCTTTTATTAATTAATAATTACTTTGATTTGTTCGGCGGATTCTTCGGGATCCTTAGACCGACACTTTGGGTAGTTATGTAATTAATAGTTAGAGGGTTATATTTTCAATATTTGCATCATTGCTACTTGTATTTATTTTGTATTGATTATGGTTGATCACAAAGTAAATTTGAAGGCCTTCGTGTGTTTTTAGACAAAATGATTTATTATATATTTATTTATTTAAATTATTATTTTTGTCAAACAAATGTTTTATTGTGATCGAGCCAGAAATAATCAAAGGTACCAAAATAGATATATTAATTAAGTAGTCGGATTGATGGCTTTATTTATCCGATAACTAATTATGCATAGAGGGGTCAAAGTGCAATATTGACTTAGAGGTTATTTATTATTTAATTGGAGTTCAATTAATTTCTTTTAGTGGAGTAGAAATTAATTTATGAATTAATTAAATTGGGTCCATGGACCGGGCCAATTATTAATTCATTGTAGCCAATAAAATAATAGGCCCAATGGATTCTCACTCATAGCCCAACTTGATATTGGAATCATATTAGATTTGAGACATATGAATTAGAGATGGAGAAGGATTTGTTGTTTCCTTTTCTTTATTTTTATGTTGCCTATAAATATACATGGTCTATGTATATTTTAGGGGGTGATTTTTATGAGAAGGAAAAATGAATAAATTTTCTCTCTCTAGAAAATTAGGGTTTATGTTATCATCTAATGGAGGCTCCCACAAGCCTAGTTTTCCAAGGTCATTCATGGAGGCTTATGAGTGATTCCTAAAGGCAAAACAATTACCAATAAGATGGAGATCCAAGAAGAAGGCATCTTGCTAAGGGATCTACAATAAGTGAGAACATTCACTTTAGAGGAAAGTTTTAAAGGTTTACTCAGACCTTTGATGTAAGTATTCAATCTGTTAATTGAATGATACATCATATTTTTTTTTTTGCGTAAAATTTGTCTCTATGTGATGAATCAAGATCTATGAATCAAAATCTCTCGAAAAGTTTTTAAAACTTGCACGTTTCCCAACAGTTTGCACTAATAGAAATTTCACAAACCACGTACCCATTTATATACAAGTTAAAATCATCCCCAGTAATATATATATATAGAGTGGTACACTGAGAAGGACGTGTTATTTGATACAGTGATCAAAGCATTCAATACTTGTAAGGGCACAAAGGGCGTAGCTTAGTGAGATTTTGTAATACCCCCAATTTTCAGAGCATTTTAATTGTTTTATTTGGCTAATTGTTGATTATTTGATTTAAATGGCTATTTTATTAATTTGGTTAATTAGGTTATTTTAAATTATTTAATGTGTTTTAATTGTCATTATTTGTATATGTGTAATTTGCTTGGTTAATTAATTGGTTTATTTTATTTTAATTAATAATGGTTTAGACTTAGAGTTATTTGACCCATATTGGGCTAATTAGATAAGATCAAGTTAAGTTATATAGAATTATTGCCATGGAAAGGTGTGTATATATATGTGTATGTTAATTTTTATATATATATATATATATATATATATATATATATATATATATATATATTAATTGGATATTGATTTTGTAAATTATACAGGATTTATTATTATTATTATTTTATTATTTTTGTTATATTTAGATTATGATTTGTGGGTTAGTATATACATATGTAATAGTAAGAAGAATAGGGTTTTTATACATGCGTGAGTTATAAAATAGACAGAGATCTAGAGAGAGAGAGATAGAGGGAGAAGGGGAAGAAAAATGTGATCGGAGATAGTTTGAAGGTTGTCGGAATTAGAGAAGAAGACCCGAGAGATTGTGTAGTTGATTTTCAATCCGAAAATCATAAGGCAAGTTCTTTATCTATCTCTTCCACTTTGAATCTATAGTCTCTTCATCACATGCTAGATTTTAGGTTTCAAATCAAAGAATTAATTGGACTATTAATTGTTATGCATTAATTGAATTAACTGTTTTCATGTTAATATGTATTTGTTCTTTACATTGATGGGTTTTTTAATTTAATGCATGACATTTGTTTTTAATTGAGGGTTCTTGTGTATTTTCATCATATAAATCGTTGATAATCGTATAAAACTTAGAAACTACGTTTTTAGGACCCAAACGACAAGTTTACAAGCCTAAAATAGATCTGTGAAACTACTGCCGTGACTTTGTGCTCGAGCACAACATTGTTCTAGGCACCGGTGCTCGAGCACTATGAGTTATCTTCAATCACAGGGTTATGCTCGAGCACAAGGAAGTTGTGCTCGAGCTATGGGAACTAGTTTTCTTCAAAAGTGTTCTGAATGATCTCGATTTGAGTATAAATGATCCCGAATATGTTTATAAGTATTGGTAATAGTGACACGGGTTTAAAAATATATAGAATTGTATTAGATTCTCAAGATTTGATGTTTGATGGAAATGATTAAATTATCTAACAAGTATAAGTTAATCTTTCGTGATATATAATTTGTGTAATTAAATGTAATTATTGGATCATGGCTATAATCATTGTTGTTGTTGTACTTATGATTTACAAGTATGATTAACATTGTTAAATATGAGTAAATAGTATTGTGGTTCTAATCATTCCTCTACCGCATGTATGTGGTCCTAGATTCGATCTACGACTGTTTGTGGTTATTGTGCCATTATTAGAAATGGCTATGAAGAGATTTATCTCTGTATGTGATGAGATCATCGAGATATATAATAAGCTATAGGCTCTTTGATATTTACACCATTGTTATATATGGCTTTGTTGGATTGATGTATAGGTGGACTGGCTAATAAGTCACGACACTCTATTTGTGTCATTGTTAGATATGACTCTCTTTATTGATAATGTATTATACATATATATATGTGAGCCATGATACGAGCTTGATGTTCCGGGATCAGTGGTTAGGACTAAGGCGTAAATTATCGGTTTAGATTGGTTGCTGGATATATGACATATGTGTACCCGGGTGTAAGGGGACTCTGGACCACCTCGTGTACGATTTTTCCATAAGATACCCACTATCTGGTTAAGACTGTCCTATTGTCCAGTGAGAGTCTTAGTGTGTATATATGTATGTATCGATTATGTAGATATTGCATGAGTTTACTTAAGGGTGTATGGATTGTTGGTTCTCTTATCGGGTTGTAGTGTAAGGAACTTGTTTGTGGGTCTGACCCACTATTTATTTTCAGGTCCTCGGCAGTACCAGTCTTAGAGTTATTCGTGCAAATCAGAGATCATTCATATTCACTATTTTGTATCATCGATGTATGACATTATCTTTTATTTCTTAGACTTTGTAGTTAGTTATTGTTTAACATTATTTCAGGTATGGGATTTTTATTAGGGGTCCTTAATATACGGATTTCTGAGTTATACTTTGGAGGTTTATGGTTTATTGGATTTTTTGGAGTATTGGTATTAGAGGATAATTATTTATTATTTAATTTTCCTTTCGATCAGCATTATTTATTTATTTTTATTCCATTTGTATTATGTGCTTGTTTTAAAATATTAATTATTTGAAATCCCCCTGGTTTTGGGCAAGGACTTGATCAACCCGCGTTCCGAAATTGAGAGATATCACTGATTTCTTTTATATTTCAAAATAGAAGGTTGGAGCAGATGCCTTCATAGTCAGCAGTTGGGTAGCTCCCCGTTGTCCTTGAGAATTTGGCTTCGAGCTTTCACACCCAATAACTAACTTATAATCTGACATTTTTACCATAGAAGAAAAAAAAAAAAAAAAATAGAAGGTAAGAGATTCAAATCCCCATTAGAACATACGAGTGTGGGAGTTTATTTCCAAGAGGGCCAAGAGGGGGGGGGGGGGGGGGGGAAATGCGTGAACAATGTAAGTTGTGAACTAGAGCGTGTTATTTTTGTGAAAATTCATTCAAATACGGGAATCGTATCACAATAGTAAGTTGAGAGAATCCATGAAAAAACAGTTTGAACAAAATTAACATAACAACAAGGGTTTAGTGTGGTGGTAGGGGTGGCAATTCGTGTTGACGTATCGTGTTAGAATATGGGTATTCTATTATATTGGTTGACACGAACACGACACAATTATTATTCGTGTCAAGAAACCCTAACACGGACACAATATGATTATTATACGGGTAACACGACATGACACGCGTAACCCATTTAATAAATGGGTCAAGGCTTGACATGGTACAACAAGACACATTTAAATCATTTTTTACATGAACATGACACATTTATTCAACACATTTAACTAAACGTGTCATTTTTTAAACGAGCACGACATGTTTAGTTAAATGGGTTATAAATGGGTTGGCAGGTTAAACACGAACACGACACGTTTAATTATTGTGTAAATTCGGGTCGACACGATTACGATACGAACGTGATTAAGTCAAATCCAAACCCACTTATTCCATGTGTTCGTGTCGTGTCAAATATTGTCACCCCTATGTGGTGGTATCTTTTTTATAATCTTATGTTGAAATGCTATTGAAGAGTTACAATTAGGAGAGGAAAAAAGAAAAAAAGAAAAACCTAAGTAATATCAAGTTTTCTTATACTTTATATAGGGGTGCAAACGGATTGTTTCGGTTCAATACAGTTCCGTCGGGAACCGAAACCGGAACTGATTACAACAGTTCCTTAAAAATGGAACCAAAACCGGAACCGTTATATATGGAACCGAACCCACGGTTTGGTTAGGTTCCACGGTTCCCCAACTATATACTTTTTGGCTATTGTTCCCTTACTTATTTGAAGGCTTTGAGCCCATAACTAAATCAATTAAACAAAATATATTTTAAAAAATTTATCCTTTACCTGATGTACTGATATATATCTAATTTGCAAAGACTTGTATACACACACACACACACACACACACAAATTTCATTACAACAAATGTTGCCTACCAAATGAAGGTTCAACATACAGATAGTCAAATTATAGAAGTTTTAATTAAGCATCCAAATGAAAAGCTCAACAACAGAGTTAAGTAGAAGTTTAAAAACATCAAGTAAATGAAAAACAGTAGTCAAGTAGTAGTTTTAAAGCAGTAGTCATTACCAAGGTGGACTGCGTGTTACTGGTGTATGGCAGCAGTAATATGTAATTAATTCTATATATAATTAAATATATAATCATATATATATACATATATATGCGGTTTGGTTCCCAATGGTTCCCACAGGTCTGGAACCAGAAGCTTACAGTTCAGTTCTGGTTCTAGACCCGTGGGAACTGAGCATACAGTTCAGTTCTGGTTCCAAACCCGTGGGATTCGTTGGGAACCGAACCGTATATATATATATATATATATATATATATATATATATATGATTATATATTTAATTATATATATTATTACAGTTCCAGATTTTCAGAACCGGGACTGTGAGAACCGGAACCGAAGCCCCGATTCGATTCAGTTCGGTTCGATTCCACAGTTCTACGATTCTACGGTTTTTTTGTGCATCCCTAACTTTATAGGGTAAAGTGTAAAAAACTCCCCTGGACTATGTTTGAATTTGCAAATAACCCATCTGAACTATATTTGGTGCATGAAACTCCCTCAACCATTACATTTTGTTGCAAAATGCCTAGATTATATTTTATTAAATGACCATAATGCCCTTTCTTATTGAAATACACTTGATCTATTTTTCTTATTTGAAATAAATAATGAAAAAAGTCATGCTAATTTGATAACATATTCTCCATTAAATTTGCAAAAATTAATTGTTTAAATAAAAATTTTAAGTAGAAAAATTTAAAATAATTTAATTAATTTCTTAAATTTTCATTAATATATTACATGAAAAGAGGTATTTTTTATTTATTTAAGTAGTTTATTAAATTTTCATCAATATATTGTATGAAAAAGAAGGTATTTTGGTATTTTTATATGATAAAAAAGTTTAAACGGGGTATAATAAGTTTTATTATACATAATAAAATTTTAATAATAAGTTAATCATTTTTGAAAATGAAATTTACAAATCTATTTATTTATTTTTTCATTTTTATAATAAATTGATGTTAATAATAAAATTAAGGTACATTATATAATTAATATTTAGATAAGAGAAAAAAATAAAAAAAATAATTTAATAAGAAATGACAAACTTAATGAGAAAGGGTAAAATAGTCTTTTACCATGAATTTGTCCTCAATTACAACCCATTAATAGTTCAGGGGATAGTTTTTAGTTCAGGAAGTTACTTACAAAAGAACAATAGTTTATGGGGAGTTTAGTACACTTTACCCTACTTTAGAATTCCTAAATTTGCTTGTTTTATCAAATATTTCAAGTGTCTTTCTATGAATTGGGTGGGGGATTAAATTCTTTCCGATACTTCCTCATAAAACCAAACTATTCCAAGTTAATTTTTATTTTATTTTTTTAATATTATGTAAGTTAATAATTCCACTTTAATCTGAATGACATGACTAATTATCATATTTAAGGAATATAAGGGAAGAAAATTTTTTATCATATAAAAATAAATAAAAGGAAAACCACTTATCTCTCTCTGTGTTTTTGTCAAAGTTAAAGTTGGCGAATCTCTTTTTTCCAATATATAAGTTTTTTTGAGAAAATGAAAATTTTGTAACGTCTAGAACCTCTCCTAAAAAAAAAAAAGAAAAACCAAATTTATATATTGTTTTTTACAATATATATATATATATATATCGTATAACCAAACGGATCCTTACAGTTTACACGGTTAACATTATTTAAGTCCAAAAATATCATAGGTACACAGCCGAACTCTGTACTATCGTTACAGCCAATAACACACTACCTTCCTGAACCCTAAACATCAAAAAGCGGTCGAGCCTTCACTGAAAAATCACCCATTTCATTGAAGTCGCACCACTCCTCTTTCGATTTTCTCTCACTGCTACAGAGGGACACGAATCGAGTTCTAGGGTTTCCATTCTTCTGCACGGCGTGGCCCAAATCAGGAGAGAGAAAGAGGGAAACCTAGAGAGAGAAAGGACACAGGTTTCTCGATTTTTTCAACAAGGTTAGCATGTTCTTCGAGCTTTTATCCGAATCAATTTATTGTTTTGAATTCCTATTTGATTGTATTTTAAAGATTGAGTTACTCTACTCGTGTAGATCCGATGAAAGCTTGCTTTTATGTATTCTGTGTAGCTGATTTTATCTAGAGTTTGAGTGACCGGACTTTAGCTGTATTCGTGTTGGTTTGGGTTTTCGTATCACGCATAGTTGACGTCCCTAGGGTTTTATCGGTATGTAATCAATCGACCTAGGCGTTTTCCTCCCCTAGGGCTTACCATAACGATGTGGGTTTGTTTTTTGTTTTTATAAAATTTATTTTGTGTGTTTGATTCTTTAAAAAAATTATTGAAAAAAGTAGGAAAAGAAAAGAGATGAATAGTAGTTGTTTTTGGATGAATTGATTTTGTATTGTTGATTCCCTCAGTTATTCATGTTGCCTTATACTGTTATTTCATGACTATATGGCATAGTCTACATATTGTATTTGTACCTGTAATTTATTGTCTTGGGTTTTATGTGTTTGTAGATATATATTGTATCTGAAATTTATTGTATTGGGTTGTATGTGTTTGTAGATAATCATTGAGCATGGCAACTGCGGAGCCAGCATCAGCTTCCCTTGGTCCTCGGTATGCACCTGACGATCCCAGTCTGCCAAACCCCTGGAAGGGATTAATTGATGGAAGCACTGGTCTTCTATATTACTGGAATCCTGAAACTAATGTCACCCAGTATGAAAAGCCGACTGCTTTGCCACCTCCTTTGCCGCCAGGGCCACATCCCACCTCATCTACACCTAAGCTGGCTCCTATACCAGGGGTTCAAACAATGCAACAAAATGGTGTTCTGGGCCAGCATGGGCAGCAAGTGACGCAGACCCCACAACAGCATGGGCAACAAATGACCACTTTATCACAGCAGCATGCACAACTAATTCCACAGGTCGCTCAACAAAATAGCTCACCATTAGCACAAGCTGGGCAACAACAAGGATCACAAATAGGACAGACCATGCAACAGCATTTGCAGCTGCCAACTCAACAATCTGAGCAGCAAATGATACAGCAACCGAATCAGAAAATACTATCACAGCCAGGACAGCAAATGCCACAGTCGGGACACCCAATGCAACAACAGTCAATGCAGCAAATGCAACAGCAGCTGGGGCAGCAAACACAGTTGTACCAAGGCTCACAAATGGGACAACCGCAGGGACAGCAATTTTCACAACAACAGATGCCATACATGGCCTATCAGCATAATGTTCTTCCACAAGGGCAGCAAAGTTCACAACCGCAGACTCAGCATATCACACATGGACAGCAGTTTCCCCACCAACAAGAGCATAAGGCAGGATTCCCGCATAGAGAGGATGTTGATTTCCAGAAAGGAAAGCAAATTGGGTTTTCTCCATCACATATTCAACAGATCGGTGTGCCAAATGTTCAAAATACACCTTCAGGAACCAATTCCATTCAAATGCCGCAGATGGGTGTTCAGCCTGGTCAAATGCAACAGTTTGGTAGCTCATCCATCAATATGCAACAGCCCGCTTCTTTGGCTCCATTGCAGCAAAGTGGGATTGATTTAGTTCACCAGCAGCGTGGTCCCATTGTTCAAAATCAGACAGGCCCGGGAATGTTGCATAACCAACAGTCCAATTTGCCCCCTGTTGGTTTGAAGATGGGGTACGAAGAAATTCCAACAGGAAGACCTGGAAATGAATATTTCTTTAACGCTAACAAAGATGGGCCTCCTATAATTCCCCAGCAGCCTAAGCTTGCAGCAATACCCATGGCAAGAAATCAGCAGGCATGTTCAAATTATGCTCATTGATTATGTTTCATTGATTCTTATTCCACTCTTCCAATGCTTATTGCTTAGGTCTTAACATTTTGTGGCTACTAATGTCAGTTTGCCACCTATGCGTATTTTTGATTTGGCAATTCAAATAATAATGTTTCTCCATGTATAAATGTTGTTTAAATTTACTATATGACATGAAGGATCACGAGTTGCCTTCTTTTGATATCCTTCCATATATCTTGTATACCTTTTTTCGTCACAATATGGTAATTATGGGTGATTGCTGATATTGTTCCTACTTCTAAATAGGACATGAGGATGGGTGGTGTTCCACATCAAAATGTTGCACCTGGTGTTACCGGTGGATTGCATGTTGTACCAGGGCCTTCCTCCCAAAACATGTACAGTCATGCAACTGGTGGTCAGACATTTCCCGGTAATGCTTTAATGCGGCCTCTTCCTTCTACAAATATGGGATCGTCTGATGCCATTCATCTCTCCCCTGTTGACGTTTACCGTCAGAAGCATGAAGTTACAGCAGCGGTTTGTAATTTACCTTCTCCAGAGAATGCGTTTATTATCATTGTTACATAACCCTTTGATATCACAGTTTCATTTACTTCGATTTTGGAATAGGAAATCTACTGTATGTTTCTGCGAAAAAGAAGACACTTGAGGTTTTAAATGCAAGTAATAACATAACCATACGATATCACAATTTTATGTAATCTGATTCTGGAACAGGAAATTTACGGAATGTTTCTGTGAAAAAGAAGAGAGTTGAGGTGTTAAATGCAAGGATGTCAGGATTGGGATCCTACCTAGGTCGATGGGGGGTTCATAGGATCAAGATTGTTGGATTGGATTGTGTAGAAAAATAGCTCAAACTAACTTTTTAAATTGGAATGTCTTTAAAATAAATAGAGAATAAGGCAAAAACACAAAAACCACATAGAAATACTACTATTATTTTTCTAAGAATATACTATATCATACATTTACAACAAGTCCATACAAGTATATTAGAGAATATAGCTCAAAGCATATATAACATACATCTAGGGACAAGTTCATTTTAGTATATTAGTGAATCTAGCTCAAGAGGTAGAGCTCTTGCACTAACCATGCATTTTAACACCATCATCATCAACAATCCAGCAGTAATTAGCAGAAATGTTAAATATCAAACAACCAATTAAAGCAGAGACTAAACAAACACATAAAAAGAAAGAACAGGAAGAAACATAGAGAACTTTTCTAACACAAAAAAGAAAGACCAGGAAGAAACAGATAACTTTTCTCAGGAAAAAATTGGTTGTGTTTATCGCCTTCCTGTTTAACTGAATTTGACCAACTTTAACTCAATCTCATCTCTTTAGGACCTAGTGTGGTTATTGATTGACAATCACAATTAATTTTGTCATATGTGTAGCTTTTGAGGGAGGGATGAATTCCCCTTTTGAACGCTTCTTTAAACAGTCTTATTTATATAAAAAGAAAAGAAGTTACTTATCAAAAAAAAAAAAGAAAAGAAAAGAAAAGAAGTTAAAGTTAGCATGCAAAGCAAGCTAATAGTCACTAATAAACTAGCAATTATAGTTAATAAATATCTGCTACTTTATAATGTAACTCTTTAACACAATAATATATTATATTGCCTTCATATCATTGTTGTGTTTGGTTCGCCAAGTGCTTCAGCAACCTGGTGGTGCAAACTGTGTTCAATGCTTTTTTGTTTTGACATCTATTGGTTGTAATAATAGTTTAATCAATTTTGGAATTTTATGACTTATTTTTGGATCAAATTGCATAGGGTGAAAAATTGGTTGTGTTGACTTCTTAGCTCTTAGCTTGACCTTCCCCCCTTGCTCTAAGAAAAGAAAGCAACTCCAACCCCGGATTCCTCCTCTGCTTTCTACATAACTAGGGTAAACCAAGTTCCCACATGCGTCCCTACGATGTAACCTTAATGAATTGCCCCAAGTCACCAGCCGTTCTCCCTTTGTGGGTCACTGAGAGGAGTTAAACACAACGAGATAGCCTCTGCCAATGGGGGATTCCTATAGAAAAAAGGAAAGATTCGTATCCCCAGGAATGGCCTGTAAATCTCTTTTGGGGTTCTTAGATCTGTGCACGCCTCTCAATCTAACATTGCTGCATAGGCCCATTGGATGTAGCTTGAATCCACTTTATCTACCTCTTGTTGATGGGACGGACTATCTATGGATAAAAAGGAGGTTCTTTGCCATAACGCCCATTCTGGGACAAGTTGGAAGAGGAATTCCTAATTCTTACACTGATGAACCGGATCACGCCTGATCAGTGAAAAATTATTACACCAATCATTTACGAGTGAGTATTATACCAAAAATTTACAAGCGGATGAGTTTGAGAGTTGGCAAGGATGAGTTTGAGAGTCAAAACCTGCCCTAAAGGTAGACGCAGGCATGAAAGAGCGCAGGATAGGTATAGGGCTGCCTTTCTGGTTCACCATTTTCAACTCTTTACCCAACTGACCTAATGGTTGCTCTAGTCTTAGTATTCCATGTCAGCGCTCCTGCTAGCTATGACACTCAGAAAACTTTCACCTACGGAAGCGAATGATGCAAAGGAAGCCTGCGGCTCCCAGCTTGGTGTACACATTATACCAATAAGTAGCTAATCCCAAGTGAGAGCATCTGACACTTCCAAAGGATACGAATGTGTAGCTTAAGTCTTCCCATACATGCCCCGGGGAAAGGAAAGAAGGACATCAACACAATCGACCCGTATTTTACTTCATTTTCGCTGGCTACGAAGGAAATCCCACTCATCTTGACAATGAACTACAGCTCATTTGGATCTTGCTTTTTTGATAAAGGTGCAGGGGCCTTCACGTTTAACTGAATTTGACCAACTTTTACTCAATCTCATCTCTTTAGGACCTAGTGTGGTAATTGATTGGCAATCACAATTAATTTGGTCATATTTGCTCAAGTTAAAGGCCCTATTTGGCCTTGTGTAGCTTTTGAGGGATGCATTCCCCTTTTGAACGCTTCTTTAAACAGTCTTACTTATAAAAAAAGAAAAAAAGTTAAAGTTAGCATGCAAAGCAAGCATAGTCACTAATAAACTAACAATTATAGTTAATAAATATCTACTTCTTTATAACGTAACTCTTAACACAATAATATATTAAATTGCCTTCATATCATTGTTGTGTTTGGTTCGCCAAGTGCTTCAGCAACCTGGTGGTGCAAACTGTGTTCAATGCTTTTTTGTTTTGACATCTATTGGTTGTAATAGTAGTTTAATCAATTTTGGAATTTTATGACTTATTTTTTAATAAAATTGCATAGGGTGACGATGTTCCAGCTCCTTTCATGACATTTGAAGCCACAGGCTTTCCTCTAGAGCTACTAAGAGAAGTAAGTTCTTGTACCTGGATTTTGAACAATGGTTCCAAGTTTTAGTGCTAGATAATAAGTGTCAAATACTTCCATTCATTCATTTTTTATTTTCTTTTTAAAATTTTTTAATTTATACTTCAAGCTTATCAGTTTTCACTTATCGCAGGTGCGATATCTGCTCCAAAGGAGGAGCACATGTCGTACGCTGCGCTGCTATGCGCATACTCACGTGACAACTGTTCTGACTTTTGGAGGCTGCAAAAAGGACAGTTGGAGCCTTGTGCGTCTTCTAGAAGGGTGGTTGGCCCTTCATCCAAATCACATTTGATGTGACTGGGATTTCTAGCTTATTGGCTCCGTCTCTGTCTTAATTTCTCCCTTTTGTTGCCTCAAGTTGCTTCAGTAAGCAACCACATACCCATGGGTTTTCTTTTTCCATACATTATTTGGATATCAGGCCTTAGTTCGTTGTATTTTACTTTTAATTGTGTGTGGTAATTTCAATCAAATGTGCTTGATTTTCTAGGGGTTTGTTATATCTAATTTTTGTTTCAGATACACTATGCCGGGTTCTCTTCTCCAACACCAATTCAGGCGCAGACATGGCCAATAGCACTACAAAGTAGGGATATAGTGGCTATTGCCAAAACAGGATCTGGAAAGACACTAGGCTATTTGATTCCTGCCTTCCTTCTTCTTAGACATCGCCGTAATAATCCCCAGAATGGCCCAACTGTGTTAGTTCTTGCTCCAACCCGGGAGCTTGCCACTCAAATTCAAGATGAGGCCATTAAATTTGGCAAATCTTCTAGGGTCTCTTGCACGGTGAGTTGCTGATTCTTCTTTCTCTTTAAGCTTTATTGATAAAATCTTCTTCTTTGCTTTTTTGGACCGACTTATGGATTTATCATATGATGCAATTCTTGTTTCAGTGCTTGTATGGTGGAGCTCCCAAAGGCCCTCAATTAAAAGAATTGGATAGAGGAGCAGATATTGTTGTGGCTACCCCTGGTCGGCTCAATGACATTCTTGAAATGAAGAAAATTGATTTTGGGCAAGTTTCTCTTCTTGTGCTTGACGAGGCTGATCGAATGCTTGACATGGGTTTTGAACCGCAAATACGCAAAATTGTGAATGAGATACCTCCACGCCGGCAAACTCTAATGTACACAGCGACCTGGCCCAAGGAAGTTAAAAAAATAGCTAGTGAACTTTTAGTTAATCCTGTTCAGGTGAATATTGGCAATGTTGACGAGCTTGCTGCAAATAAATCTATCACGCAGGTAAGTAAGAAATTTAGGCTGCCCTATGAATGATGCAACAGTTTGGATGTGTATAAGGAAAAGCTTTGGATTGAAGAAAAAGAAATGAGTGTTCTGGCAATTGGAATTTATCATAAGTTATATTTTAACTTATGGTTTAATTCGGAGTCTCTTTTTTTTATTATTTTTAAATTTTCTGCTCTTTTAGCGCTGAATTACCTAATACTCCCTCTGTCCCAAAAAGGATGTCTTGTGAGTCACGGTTCCCCAAACAGGACATCCTTTTTGGGACAGAGGGAGTAACATGTGTAACAACTACTGCCAACAAAATCTGTATTCTTGTTTGTTAAGCATCTTCCTCAAGGAGATCAGGAAGTTGAATCTTGACAAAACTGTCCACTTGTAATGGTAGGTTCTATTGGACCTCTAAGTCTGATATGGTCTGGAGGTTAATCTTGTATGTATAATTGGAAGTAGGCTTTAATGATGATTAGTGACAGGCTAATTTGGACTTCTATTGTATGTCTTATAGTGGGTTTGATGGATATTGTTCTGCAGTAGTTCTTTTCCAGGTTATACTCATATACTTTCAAATGGAAATGCCTACATATGATGTTCCACCTTGATGAGGATAATCACAAGTGGACAGGAAAAATAGTACTGTATTTTTATTTGTTCAGATTTAATATGAATCCTGCGATTCAAACTAGAAATTATTAAGATTGAGGATGGTGGTCATACTTGGTTGATTTAAAAATCTATTAACTAGTCGCCTTTTCGGGCAAGTTAACAAGCAGTGTGATGCGTACCTTATTTTCTGTTGACCAAGCACAAGTAGCAATCAAAATGTGAAATATTACTCACCATGCATAATTTATGTAAATAAATAACTGTGGCATTTTGATACTTCTGCTAATGTTTTTTTCTTTTTATTTTTCTTTCTTTCTCTTCTAAAAAATATTATACGTTATTATGATTCTGTGCAGTATGTTGAAGTGGTGCCCCCATTGGAAAAGCAGAAGCGCTTGGAGGAGATTCTTAATGCCCAAGAACGGGGTTCTAAAGCCATTATATTCTGTTCTACGAAAAGGTTGTGTGATCAGCTTACACGTAGTATTGGGCGTAACTTTGGGGCTGCTGCAATTCATGGAGACAAGTCTCAGGGCGAGAGAGATTGGGTTCTGAATCAGTTCCGGTCTGGAAAGACCCCAGTTTTAGTTGCCACAGATGTTGCTGCCCGGGGGCTTGATATCAAAGATATAAGGCCAGCTCTCCTTTCCTTTTTTTTCACTTGGTGGTCTTGTTCAAAGAATTTTAAATTTAAAGCTAACATGATACACAATAATGGAACAGATTTTTCAAATGGTTGTATTTTCATGGAGGATATGGCATCATCTGTGAAGAGTTACTTGTCGCTATGTTGCTTATTTTCAAATTGTCATGTTACAGGGTGGTCATCAACTATGATTTTCCAACTGGGGTTGAGGATTATGTCCATCGGATTGGAAGAACTGGGAGGGCTGGGGCTACAGGAGTGTCGTACACCTTTTTCTCTGACCAGGACTGGAAATATGCTGCTGATTTGATAAAAGTTTTGGAGGGGGCTAACCAGCGTGTGCCTCCAGAATTGCGAGATATGGCTTTGCGTGGTGGGCCCAGCTTTGGCAAAGATCGGGGTGGGATGAGCCGTTTTGATTCTGGTGGTGGTGGTGGTGGGCGTTGGGATTCTGGTGGCCGTGGTGGCATGAGGGATGGCGGCTTTGGTGGCCGCAGTGGTTCTAGGGATGGAAATTTTGGTGGCCGTGGTGGGATGAGGGATGGTGGTGGCTTTGGTGGCCGTGGTGGAATGAGGGATGGTGGCTTTGGTGGCCGAGGTGGAATGAGAGATGGTGGCAGGGATGGTGGCTTTGGTGGCCGTGGTGGAATGAGGGATGGTGGCTTTGGTGGTCGTGGAGGCATGAGGGACACCGGATTTGGTGGCCCTGGCGGTGGTCACGTTGGTTGGGACAGGAATGAACGAGGCCCACAAGATCGGTACAACATGGATGGGAGGGGCCGGGGTCGAGGCCGGGGCCGAGGGCGGGGCAGGTTTGATAACAGAAGGGACATTACAGATCGGAGCAGAGGCAGAAGTTATAGCTCTAGTCCTGACAGGGTTCGAACATGGGGCTATAGCAGGAGCCGGAGCCGAAGCTCAAGCAGGAGCAGGAGTTATAGCAGGAGTCGAAGCTGGTCCCGGAGCCGCAGCCCTCGTCGCAGCCGCAGCCGGAGCCGCAGCTATGACAGATATGAAAGACCTGAAAGGCCCCGTAGAACAAAATTTGATCAGAAGGAACCAGATATGCCAGCATTCCAGGCTCCTCCTGAATCTAGGATGTCTCCTATGTCCCCAGGTACCGTACCTCAAGGCAATGCATTTTCTGGAGCTGAACCACAGGTTCAGTTACCAGTGGTTGACGGTATTGAACCAGTGCATCCGCCCATGGGGGATGAGTCGAGCAATCCAGTGGTTGAATCTTAAAGATGTGATACAGGTTTTATGTGTTTTCTTCCGAGTGCGGTGCCTCAGTTTTATTTTTCCAGTGGTTCTCCACTCACTTTTGTTGAGAAGACGGTTAAATGTGGTGGTGATATTATTGGCAGCAAGTTGAGGTTGGGCTGCTTAGGTGATGATTTGATATGATGATGAAATTAAGAGCAAATGAATTATCTTTCTGCAATTGTTGTTGTGGAGAGTGGGTGCTAGCTAATCTAGGAAGCTATTTTTGGAGGTTGGACCTTAGGGCAGCTTCCCTTCTTCTTTCTGTAGGGGGCCTTTTTCCTGTATTCATCTGTTGGTATTTGGAATTGAGTTATGCCATTTAATTGTTAGTCCCCTTTTGGGGAACTAGGGTTAGCAACTGCAATGGTTTCCCTTAAAACTCCAATGGTCACAATGATGACGTTGGTACGAATTTATCATAATTGTAAGAAATATTTTGCAATGCAACCTTTTTTCTATTGGAGTAGAAGTTATGGTGTATGTAAACAGAGGAAATGAAAATAGTGACTTCTTTTTTCTTTTCTTTGTCACCAAACAGAATACCATATCATTGAAGTGGGAAAATGAATTTTTTTGTTTGGTTATACAAATTTTAACAGTGCTTGAAAGTATTGACTGTATGAGCCTTGCTAAAGAGTTCAGTTATGACCGAGCCTGTTGTGTAGGGTGGTATATTGATAGTGAAAACTGTGGATGAAGACTTGTCTGAGTTTTAGCTAATTATTAATACAGAGCAATAAGCCATAAATGAAAATGAGAATGCATGTGGTAGAAATGATGATCTTTAAAAGATTTGTTGGCATCAACACTATTCATCCGTAGCATAAATAGATTTTAATTATTTGTTTTTCTTTTCTCTTTATTTTTTCACGGGTGGGGCGTGGTTTGGGTCGTATACTTCTGGGACCAGGGTCCTTTATAAGAAGAATTTTTAAGATTAGCAGTAAATGAGTAATGACTGTAATGTTGTGGAGAGGTATTTAGGACCTACTCTTACAATGAGATGCCTTTTTCAATCGTTGGATTGAGAAATTTTTAGGATCGAAGGACTGCAACAGAGTGCTCATTAAATTTTAGGGTGAATTACATTAAACTCCTATTTTTGTTTTACTAAATTTCTATTTTCTATTTTTTTTTGTCAATAAATCCCCTTAACTATTCAAGGGGGGTGATTTAACTAACGAAATTAGCTGAAAAGAGTTATTTGGACATTTAATTTCTCATATATTTTTTAAACAAAAATGTCCTTGTACCTATTTTAATATACCCTCATATATATATGTACTCCATTATCACTCTTAACTACATACCTTCCACCATTGCAACAACACTTACTCTTCCATCATTATAATATTATATATAATTTGTATCATAATATAATGGTATATATAATATGCACCATTAAATATTATTTATAATATATTTTCATTTCCATCCAACCTTTAGACCAATATAAATTTAGGTTTTTTTCTTGAAAATTATTTACTATATATATATATATATATATATATATTTGAGAATTATATTGTGCATTCATTTATTTGGTTTTTATTGATTTTCATTTTATATAGATTTATTAAAGGAACACTACGAGAAATAATGGGCTAATTTTTTTTCTTTTTTATATTAATATTTATGCCTATATGTTTTCTTCTTCTTCTTCTTCTTTTTATTTTTTTTTTAATTTTTTTTTTTTATATATATTTCAATATCATTTTTTTCTATAAAAAAATAAAAAATTCCTTCCATGTGACTAATATAAACTTGTCAGTTTAGTAAAATGTTAAAACAAAAAAAACAATAGAAGTGTTAATTTGTGTGAATGATGTCGTTTAGGTTATTTAATAAATAAAAAAATAAGAAACAAAGTAGATTTCAAATGGACTTTAATGGGTACTTAAGTCAATTTATATTTCAGTTCTCTTTCAACTAATTTCTTTTAGTTAAATTACTTTTCTTGAATAGTTGAGGGGGATTTTTTGGCAGAAAAATAGAAAAAGAGGGTTTAATGAAAAACACAAATAGAAAAGGGAGGTTTAATGTAGTTCACCCTAAATTTTATAATTTAAAAGATCAAACGACGTCAAAGTTAAAAAAGAATTGAGTCATCTTTTACCTGGTATAACTAAAAGCGGAAAAAAGGAATGGAAAAAAAAAAAAGAACAAAGAAAAAAAATAAAAACATGGTGCTTCTTCTTTCCTCTCACCAATTGGAAACTAAAAACTCTCTCTCTTCCCATTACCAAAATTCTTTTGTTGAAACCAATAGTTAAGGAAGTTTTGATTGTTAAAATAAGGAAGTTCTGACAGTTAAAATAATTTGATATATTCAAACTGTATAATTTTACGAATTTTTATTTTGTAAATTTAGATTTATGGAATACGGAAACAAGTAATCTGGGGAAAGAAGAAGCAACATATATATATATTTTTTTTTTTTGTTAACTCTTACGTGCTAACCAAGTTAGATTTAGAAAGTTTTAGCGTTTTCTCTTTCGTGTTGCCTATCATTATTTTATTAGTAAAATAGCTTAATTGTGATGCTATTGCCTATTTCTTAATTATTATGTGAAAAGTCAATCAATTTTAAGGTTGTGATTGGTTTTAGGCACGAGTCATGACCCACGTGACAATATATATATGGGTCAAGTATAGAAAACAACTTAAAATATGCTTATATTGCATATCACACCCCTCACGTGCAAAAAACACTTCTAAAGTTTTAATTTTGTGCAAATAGGTTCATCTGACAAATTTAAACTTTAAGTTGACTAAATTACCCTCAGTGAACCATTTTATAAAATATATAAAAATAAATAATTTTATGAAATGACCGAAAAAGATACTATTGGAGGACGTCTCTCTTATACAAAAAAACACCTCTAAAGTTTCAATCAGGTGCAAATGGGTCCATCTGACAAATTTAAACCCTAAGTTGACTAAATTACCGAACTATTTTATAAAATATATAAAAATAAATAAATTTCTAAAATGATCGAAAATGATACTATTGGAAGACGCCGGCAATGGACAAGTAAAGATAAAAATAAAAGTATAAAAGAAAATAAAGATAAAAATAGAAAATAAAAATAACAAAGTGTAAACTAAAGAAAATAGAAATTTTCCAAACTCCGAAAACCAGTGCACACTGATAATATTGGGAATTTTTTTTTATTTAACAGTTTTTGTACGAAAAATAAAATAAAATAAAGAAAAAAAAATTTAGTAGAAGAGTAAACTGGAATCTCATAAATTCAAATCCTTGTTTCACAAATTCTCAAAGTTTTTTTTAAAGAATGTTTAGAGATATACATAGAGAAAAAAGTTTCAAATATATATATATATATATATAAGGTAATGTATACATAACATCCCTATACTATAAGATTAGTAGCATATATATCCCTTTAGGCATTTTTAGAAGAGTAAAAGGGCAAAACGGGTATTACAGAACTAATTTATGTCAGATGGGATATTTTTACACAATGTAAAAAGATTAGTGGTATTTTTTGCATATTTTTTCAAATAGGGAATAAAAATGTTGCTCGAAACATACTTTAGGGGTGTTTCTTGCACTTGTCCGGTATATATAATCCCTGTCAAGTACATATCAAGTGGAGTGGAGGGGAAGTTATTCTGGTGCAAATCATGCAAGGAAGCAAAGATATGGGAACATAATTCTTTTCTATGAGATGCCATTTTGAAGAATCTGAGAGCTAAAAAGCAAGAATAATCTTCATTTTTCTTTCTTTTGCTTCAATCCACTATTTGTTCTCAACAAGTCTCAAAGTTCCATCCCTCATATGCAAGCCTTTATAAATTTGTTTATATTTCATTTCTATATTGTTCTTAAACTATAAGAAGCTAAGCTTAATAAGGATTAACACTTTTCTTAATCCATAAATTATGTTATCCTTATGTCTTTTTAATGGTGACCAAGCTAAGCTTAATAAGGACTAAGACCTGTTTTACTCAATTATTTTATCCTTTTGGTTAGTGCTCTCTTTTTTTATGATTAACCTTTTTCAATATTGGTACTTTGCCATTGGAATCTTTCTTTATTTATTGTTTGTCTTGTAATATATAATAATTCCTCTAAGAATAATCTTTCTCGTTGCATTTAACGCAAAAATTAGTTGATTTTGTGTTTGAAGCGGAAAAGAGATGGGAAAAAGAATTATCATATATAAAATTAGTGAGAGAAGGAAAAAAAAAGGGATTACAGGAGCTAATAAAAAAAGAGAAGGCATATGAAGAGGCCAAATTGAATTATAAAAAATGATACGTAGCCCGCAATCGGATTAATTCAAATGTTGAATACAAGTGAGAGTTGACGTACTTAGTTACTTAGGTGACGTCATGATTCCCCTAATAAAAATAATTAAAATTATCTAATTATCGAACTCCATAACTCTTATGATCATATATATATATATACATATAACACCTTTGAGTATCATTGAGTTCGTGCAAATACACTATTGAAAGACAAATATAACATGTCTTTACATTTGGGGGGGTTTAAGAGAGAGAAAAGAGAGTTTTGATTTCTAGGAAAAAGAAAGTTAACAATGATACCTTCCATTGTTTAGGAATTAGTATAGAGAAAAGAATAGCGTGTTCTAATTTTAAAATAGAAATGACCAAGAAAAATACCAAGCCAACGTGTTTGTAGGTCTCATTACATGGTGCCATAGTGGTGGGTTCTACAAACTTTACAACTTAATTAGCTTGGCTGATTTACCGTATAATACTGTTCAATCATAAAAATAATTTCACTTATTACTACATAAGTTTGAAAATCACTATCCGTTGCAAAAAGAAAAGAGAGAAAGGAAGTGAAGAAACAGAGAAACTCCCCGAATGGATTCCTCCTTGCACTGCTTTCTCTTGTTTCCTTTTATTTCCTTCCATCCAAACAAATTGTTAACCCATTTTCCTAACACAACAACTAGCATGGTCAAACACTCAAACCCATATTAAAGACGCCCAAATTATATTTTAATATTTTTGCCAAAAAAAAAAAAAAATTGGTTAGTGGTTGTAGTCACCTTACATTTTAAGATTGGTCCAAATATATATATATTTATCTTTCTTTCTTTGCAATTTGTGTGTTTGCAGGATGAATAGGTAAGCATAGGAAGATTCCAACTGGTTTCATTCCATGACTCTTGGCGCGAGAGTGGACAAAGATGGGCCTCCTACTTTGTTTGACATTATCTTCTACTTTTATTAGTTTGATCAAACAATAGCATTTAATGAGATTCTTGAAATGACTATTTCACATTCTGGCTCACATAACACTTATGAGTTTGTTTTGTTCTTTTACAGCCATTTGTGAAGACTCAATTTTGATTGTACCTTAATATTATTGATTTCTTGAAAAGAAATGAATTCTCAAAGGTGGACAACTTGTTTTTTGTGGTCGTTGTGGCTCCATTTAGTGCATTGCTTTGTGCTTTAGAAAGTGAAAAAAGTGCAATGCATTTCTTTCCCTCTCTTTTTTATTTTTTACTGTAGAAAAATTAATTCCCGAGACGAATTCACACCCGCAAGTCTTGTGTTTGGTAGAAAAATTATGCGGAGTTGGAATCAGTAAAGGAGGGTCGAACCAATAACTTTTGGGTATGCTTGGTTAAGTTTTTTGAGAATTATTTTTTATTTTTTTAAAATTTAAAAAAAAAAAAAAAAATTAGTTGAGAGTCTTTTGAAAACAGTTTCTTGAACACTCTATTAAAGTTACTCTTTTTCTGCGAGTTTGTCTTTTATAATTTTTTAAAAATTAATTTTATATTTTCTGAATTATTAAAATCATTTTTAGATAACTAAACAAAGCAATTTAGAATCGATTTCCGAAAAGTTATGTCCTATCAATTATTTTACCAGGAGATCAACAGGGCAGAGTTAGAGGGGGCAGTAGGGGCCATGCCCCCGCCCAAATTCTTTTTCCCCCAACCCAAAAAAAAAAAAAAAATTCAAAATATTTATTTATTATCTCAATGGTTATACCTTGTGATACTCCAAAACTCATATAAAATTTTATTTCCAACTTTTTTAATTTTTGAAAGCTTAAATTTGATAAAGAAAAATATATAAGTTCATTGCTGGTAGAAGTTTACAGCAATACATCCTTGTTTTACTTATATACATATACTTACGAAGTCAGAAATTAAATAGATTCTATAAATCAAGAGACCAATAAGAAGAATTACTCAAAATAATAGGTCAATTAATGAGTAATTTAAGAAAAATAAATAGTTAACAAAAAAATTAAAAAAGGAAAGAAAAATGAGAGAATTTTGAAAGGGAAAAAAAAATTGGATTTGATTCAAAAATGAAAATTTTGACTTTTTAAAAGGAAATTAATCGAATTTAAATAATAAAAAAGAGAAGAAATACAAAATTTAAGAGATAATTTTAGAAAATAAAATTTTAAGAAGGACATTATATGAAAATTTTCATATATACATGTAAACATAAATAAATTTAGAATATGTATTATAGTAAGAATATGTATTATAGTAAGCGGGGCCAAGCCAGGGGCACGTGCTGGCTCCGCCCCTACATATACACACATATAATATTTATTAGTATATGAATTCAAGAGAGAAAAAAAAAAATTATTCTAATCTCTCCTCGTATTTAATAAGAAGAGTAGTGATACTTACACATTGTATAAATGAATAATTTTTAATTGGTTATTTATACCAAAAACAACTAAAAGGAGGGCTCCATTTTTTTATTTGTTGTATAATTGGCTAATTAAAAGAGTATGTCTAACAATTCACTGCAACTATTTGGTGTAAGAATCATTTACCTAATAAAAAATACCTGTACCTTCTTTGTGAATCAACTCATGAAAAGTAATAAAAATTAAAAAATTTAAAATATTGTGATACCAAAATAACAATAATTCTAATAATAAATTTATGTTACCAAACAAGTTTTAAAATAGTATCGAACACACTAATCTAAATTAAGTAGAAACATTGCTTTTGCTTCGCGTCAAAGTAAAAGCACAAAACAACTTTAGTTGCCAACCTGCCCTTATATTTGGGTGTAATATAATATAAGCCTACTACAACTATATACATGCAGTTGGAAAAATTGCATATCTTTCCCTTTTTCTGTCACAAAATTATGGTACATGTAACAACATGTGTGCATGTGTCTCTCTAATTAGAAATTTAAGTATTGCATGTACGAGTAACTAATTTTAAAATGGTCCGATCAAGTCATGGAAAATTAGACGGTAAATATTTATAATATATTAAATTGCCATATTTCTTTTCTTTGATTATGTAAGAACATGATGATTAATTGATATCAATAAACTTTTTTGGCCTATCCAAACAGTGGATTAAAGCTATGATCATGAAACTTTTTAAAATTGTTACTGTCAAAGCGTGTTGACGGATCAAAATGGAGAAAAAACACACAGCGTAACCGGCCTGTTGGAATTCTGAACAAAACTTGATATAAAAGTACAACAACACTTTGTTCATTGTAACTTTCATAAAGCATCCAAGACTCCAAGTTGACATTTTACCCCAAGGAGTCAACATTGTTTATAAACACTTCCACTTTTGAAACTACCAATCAGAAGTGGGCACTGTTATAAAAAAATTAAATAAATATATGGAGAGGAAAGCAAATAAGTTATTTTCGGTGAAAAGGGCAAAATGGGCAAAATTATTTCATTGTTTGCTATGCACGAAAGGGTAAAATGGGCAATCTAATTTCACAGTTTGCCATGCACGAAAGGGCAAAATGGTTTCACGGTTTGCTGTGTGCGCAGTTGACTGTTCTTGTCATCTTATACCCAAGTCATTCTTGGATAGGGAAGCAACTAATTTCTCATTCATAACAATATATAATTCTGAAACAAAATATATTTAATGTCAGAATAAAAATTATAATATTAATAAAGGATGCCTTGCCATGTTATCACCCATTTCATATTCATTTTTTTTTAATGTTATTTATTAAATAAATGCCTAAATTATAAGAGAGATGTATTTAACATAAAGAATTACATACGTGTATATTATGTATACACTTGTTAGTTTTATTTTATTTAATTAAAATTCTTACTAAATATTTTAGAATTTATTAAAGTAATATCCTTATGTGTGAAATTTAAAACGACCTTTTGAGGATATAAAAATCTATTTATAGACTTTTTGATATACAAGGACAAACTCAGTTTAGAATTTTTCATCATTGCAAGAATTTTTGAAGAATATTATATCCGTAAATAGATTATTTTTTGTTTTGAACTCTTGTCCTTAAAGTTACAATAGGTGACTCTTATGTTATATGACTTGTAGTTATTATTATTATTTATATGCATTTCTTAAAAAAAGAAAAAAAAAATACAATGCAACTTTCTTTAATTCTTCCTAGTAGACTGTTGGGTTAGAGTGTTAAGTCTGACTAGCACCGTAAAAGAAAATTATTCCTAATGAATATATATATATTCCGGTTTCTAATGGAGTTTAAACTCTTGAAAAAGTGAAGTACCGACACATATTATTTAATTTTAAAGGGTACACTTGAAAGCAAGGCGACGACGTCGTTTTACGTGGTGGTGACTTGTGAGGTTGCAAATAAATCGTCGTGTAGTTTTTTGCTTTGTCCCTTTTGGAGGACCTTCACACATAGAAATTGTTGTCATCGCTGACACTGTTAAAGCGAGGGTACTTTCGGAATAAAAATAAAAATCAGCACTGCATAAAAACACCCTTCCCCAAACGCTCCGCGTCTTGCTATCTCTCTCTCTCCTCTTTCTCTCTCTTCTGCGTCTCTCAATTTTTTCATTTTTTTTCCAACAAGACCGCCATTTTACGAGAGTCTTTCTCTCTCTATGTTTGTTCCCAAGGGTTAGGGTTTCCTTAGGCGCGTTAACTTTGACCTCAAAATGTCTCATAAAAACCCCAATCCTCTCCACGCCTTATCCAATTTGGTCCTCCAACAACTTTCTAGGTCAAGCATGGCTTGAATTACATCTTTCTTGGTAATCTTCATCACTAATCCCCTTTTTATGCATACACACAAATTATTTATATACATATATTCTTCCACTTTCTATGATGCACACACTTGTTTAGTTAATCGAACTTTACATCTCTTCGGTACGTATCTCTTTCTGTTCCTTGTTGTTTCTTGGACTTTGAATTGCTGTTTTGGTTTTAGAAGATCGATGAGAGCTAAATTATTGAACAGCTTGTTCAGTAATCTGCTATTTTATTATAAAATCGTTTTTGGGGGCTTTATAAAGGAGCAGTTTATTATTTTTTCTAAATAATAGGAACCATTTTTTATTTTTATTTTCAATAGGTGGGGATATTTTTTGAGATTTTCTTTGCAAGAAATTGATTTTTAGGAGGGTGTTCTTTGTTGGAGTGATTGTAATTTTTGGAACTTAGTGTTTGGAATCGGTAATGAGATTTAGGGTTTTCTTTACTGTTGACCCAGAGATCTTTCGTGCATAGTTCATATTTGGAAAAGTCTGATCTTTGAATTCATGTCACAGTTGACATGCTCACTTGATTTTTACTAATTAGTTGTGTGTAATTGATATCTGAAATATTTAGATTCAAGCAATTGCACACTTTAAACACACATAATTTTTGCTTTATAATTTGAATATAAGGTTTTAAGCGGAGTGAGTTGGATCAATCAAATATATATTTCTCTTGAGCTTGTTATAGCTGACTGGATATTATAACAAAATTTTATGATATGCATGTCTGGATTTAAGAAGTATCAGCTGACTCTTTTAAATCTGCTCAATATATTGCATTTTTCGGAAACCTAGTAATTGATGTTGTTTGCTTGCATTATTTTTCTAGGTTGTATATATGCTTGAAAAATGTTCTGAGGGTTTATTTGGGGGAGTATAATCTATTTATAGACTGTTCCTCATTTAAATAAGAGGGGAAGGAATGTGCTTAACACTTGTTTTTCTTTCTTTGGGATTTTAGTGTTTCTATAGTTTTACTTAATTATTTTCTAAAACCAGATTGCGTTGATCTCTTATATGATTGCGTTGATCTCTTGTATGATTGCGTTGGCTGGCATGTCATTTTGCTTCTAATTATTATTTGCTCAACTTTTTTATTGGACCATTTATCTACCTTTCTAGTGTTGTTGTTATACATGAAAGTTTCTTTGTGAGGACTTCATTGATGTCATTGTCAGGTTATCTTTCTTCATTTTGCATGATGTCAATATTCTACTTTCCCTTTTTGGTTTGTATTAGTGTTGTGCCTTCTATATTCCTTCTCTCTCTCTCTCTCTCTTTTTTGGGTGGGGGGGGGGGGGGTGTGTGTGTGTGTGTGTGGTGGGTTGGGGTTGCAGTGTTTTGTTTGCTTACACTATATCACATCTATTCTTACAGTGGTGGCAGTCCTGGGATGGAAATGTATAACGTTTCTGAACATGGAAACACAGATGTTTATCTGGTGATTTCTCATGACTACTGTTCTTTACTCTCATCTCAATTAAAATTAGAATCTTCCTGACAATCCAGGGGAGCTCAGTCTGCTGTGTAATGTGTATTGATAGTAGAATTTCTAATCTCATCATGTCTTGGTTTGCAGATTCAAGGTACCGAGTCAAACCCACATTTAGCAAGTCCACCTATTGAACAGTTTGAAGCTATGTATAACAAAGGAGCCCAAGAGTTTGTTTTTGAACAGGGCTTTTACCCTACTGCCACCAACTATGGCTACATATGTACAGGTAAATTGTAGGTTATATTATATTCACAACTTGATGATGATTTGAATAGCAGAAGGCACTTGATGGCTATATTTATGCCTTATTATTTAATGTGGTCAGGATTTGAATCACCCGGCAATTGGGATGACCACCACAGAATTTTTGGTCTGGAAGGTCAAGAGATTCAGTACGCGGTCAGTCATCCTCATTTTATTATTTATTTATTTTTATTATTTTTAAATTGGTTTTCTGAAAGTAAGATCTACATCCCTTATCTCAGTATATATTTTTTTTCTCCTTCAGGGTGCGCAAACTGAAAATTTGCCGTATGTATATTATACACCTAGCTATGGATATGTACAGTCTCCATATAATCCATACAATCCTTACATCCCTGGTGCTATGGTAGGAGTAGATGGCCCATTTGTAGGGACACAACAGTATTATCCCATCCCCTCTTATGAAAGTCCAGGGTCATCACCTGGTTATTTCCCCATGCTCGTCCAGTCTAGGCCAGATATAATATCGAGTGGTACAACCGACCATTTCTTAGATACTGGTGCATTTAATGCTGATGGAACTGATGGCCCAGGCCCAAAACATAACCGGTCTTCAGCATCTACAACCTTTTCTCTGACCTCTGCAAGGCCTGCCTCAAATCAGACACTCACAGTTACTAGGGCATTAGAAGGCCCGAAAGCCAATTCCGGATCAAGTAAACAGCCTGGCGCGCATGGAAGTGTTACTTCTGGTAGTTTTTCTAATCTGCCATCATCACAAGTTCTTCAGGTACGTTTTTTCCTCTGTTCAGATATGGTCCAATAAATTTTCCCTTCTGAAAAAGAATGGATTGTTGGAAGCTATTATCATTATTTTTAAAATAAATTTCTAGACAACCAGTTGCCTAAATTTTTTTAAGTTGCCAATGAATCAGCCCAGCCATATGTGTGGAGTCCTCACACCTTACCTCACATGTGATCTTGTCTCGCACGTAGACAGTCATTCAGATAGATAGAAAGCTCAACTTATTTTGCAAAGATAGGTTGGGAAATAAATGAAGATTGAGTCTTCACCTAAGAACTACTAGAATCAAGTCACCAATAGCATGTCAAACCAATACTCCGAAGAGGTTAAATTGTCAATGAATGGCAACAAGTCTGTATATCAAGATATCACAATATTAAAAAGTCACCGGAATTCTTCTCGTTTTTTGTTGCAGAAAGACCGTCAGGGCTTTATAATTTTGATTGATGCATTATGCATCTTCCTACATACTCCTTCCTATCAGCTGCTGGATGCCCCATTTTGATGGTTTTCCTCTGTATTAGGAAATAAAAACAGATTGGATACGTCGTCAGTGTCATAGAAGTTTCTATTGGATGCTTTGAAGTACGGATACATATTAGTGTGATGCAATAATAGTATTTGGCTTCCTTTAACCTATACTTTCCTGGGTTTAATTCTTAACTTGTATTTACAGGGTAGAGTTGCTCAACCTATAGATAAAGTTTCACATGGAAAGACACTATCTCACCGTAACCAACTAAAAGTTGCCCTCCCTCCCAGTAATGGCTTGTCTAACTTTGCATCAAGTGCTCATGGACGAGCTGTAGTGGATAAGGTTCGACCAAAGTTCAACTATGGCAGAGTTCCCAGCGATGTTAATGGAAGTCCAGATGCAATAGCTGAACAGAATCGGGGCCCTAGAACCAATAAATCTAAGCATCATTTGGCTGTTAAAGCCTACACAACGAGAGCTGGAGATTCTGATGCACATGGAAACATCATTATCAGTGCTGATCAGTACAACAAGGATGATTTCCCAGTTGACTATTTGAACGCAAAGTTCTTTGTAATCAAATCATACAGTGAGGATGATGTGCACAAGAGTATCAAATACAATGTGTGGTCATCTACGCCTAATGGAAACAAGAAGCTGGACGGTGCTTATGCAGATGCCCAGAGAATAGCTGCAGGGGAACCAAGAGGCTGTCCTGTTTTTCTGTTCTTTTCTGTGAGTTATATTCTACTAGTTGGTTATTGATAAACTGGAAGTTTGTTTGTTTGTTTGTTTTTTTTTGTTTTTTTGTTTTTTCTTTTTTTCTGCCATCTATTTCTCATTCACTTTCTTTCTGAGCCGGGCAATTTTTTCAATATTCATTTGGTCACTTTTTTTCCCCTCCTATACAGGTAAATGCAAGTGGCCAATTCTGTGGTGTTGCAGAGATGATAGGTCCAGTTGACTTCCATAAAGATATGGATTTCTGGCAGCAAGATAAATGGAGTGGTAGCTTCCGTGTCAAGTGGCACATTATAAGAGATGTACCAAACCACAACTTTCGTCATATCATATTAGAGAACAACGAGAATAAGCCTGTGACTAATAGTAGAGATACACAAGAGGTTTGTTTGTTTGTTCCTTGTTTCTGTTAATGCACTCTTCACATTTTCTTATCCTGCACTTATATTTTGATTTTTGTTGCATATTTTCTTATTATTTTGAATTTAAGTTGTCTATTTCTTTTGTCTATTTGTTTGCTAAGATATTCATGGGTAGTATTTGAATCATTGTGCAGTTTATTTTTGTCTTTTGTCTGTTTCTTTTTGCATATTAAATCATCTTAGTCTGTGTATCTGCTACGCACTAGTGTTTTCATGCAACTAAGACACTATTTGGTAAAATTGAAAATTAAGTACTGATTTACACGCCAGACACTATTTGGTAAAATTGAAAATGAAGTACCAATTTACATGAGCTGAATTTTAAGTGCTAAATTTGCAAATCTGAAAACATGTTGCTATTGTCTAACTTTTGAGTCTCAACTATATGAATCCTGTTTCAAAAATATATAAACTGAAGTATGAGAAGTGGTTACTTCATACTTTACCGTCAGGATCATGTTGTCGACTTGTCACACAAATTAGAGATTACGTTCCATTGGGTCTAGTTAACAACCAGTTCTTCAACAGCTAAACTTGAACAAAGATCATTTTTTTTTTATTTTTTTATTTTATTTTCATGCAAATACAAATAAGCATGTGTATGAGTGCATATCAATTTAGAAAGTCCATTTTTTAAATGTGCATTTGAGTGTGTATGTATTTACTCATCAGTTTACTAATAAAAGTATGAAATGTTGAAGGAGATCAAAACTGACCACCCTTCGTCTATCTTGCTATATTGTTAATTTGTTATTTTTAATTTTCAAAAATTTAACAAACCAGTATTCAATTATTTAGCAATGATGATTATAATGATCAACTTATTCCAAGCAATTATGGTATGCAAAACATCCCCTACATGCGTACATATAGTTATTACGACTTTACAATTGACATAAAATGTTGGTTTCTCCCTGCTAATCCCTAGGCCCCGAGTTCCTTACTATATATATATGTGTATGTGCCAAAATGGTTCCCAAAGTTCATCACCACACTAAGAACTGGTTCTTTGCATCAGATTAAAATGGCAAACTAGGACTTGTCTTTCAGTGGCCCACAGTTTATTCATGGTACAAAACTCGTAACAAGAACAGGCATAATGCAGTCTCTCTTTCCTCGTACAAAATTAATTAGGATAATTATTCCATGCCTCAATTTCACTCCTACCAAGCCATAAGCAAAAAGCCTACACTAGAAAACTCATAAAATACCCGACAAGGTACATGCTCTCTTCATTCCGTCTCGTTCAATTGAAGTTAATGAGCGCCATGCAATCCTAGCAGAAGAAATTCAAATCCAGATCACCACGATTGTCTTTACGAACGAAGAATTCAGCAATGGGCTCATGCATAGTTTAAACAAGGCGATTTAGTGTTATCATTTGCTCTGAGGATTGAAGAGTATCAAGATAATGGAGTGATTTGACAATGGCGAGGTGTAGATTATAGATTAGATACAGACATTGCAGTGAATGGCTGGTGAAGAAGGTATGCAAGACCAGAAGGGATGTTATTTTTGCTGTTCGTGTTTGGGTGATTCTTAATGAAGTTAATGGTGTTTTTTGTGTTCCTATGTCTCTCCTATTTATCCATCCAACAAGGAAAAAAAATCTCTGGTATCTCTGGTTTCTGCTTGTGAAACCCGATGTAAATAATGTTTGTTTTTCCCCAAAGTTTAGTTTTGTTGATGAAGCTGGAGATATCACCGCTGCTTTGAAAGCAAATGGGAAGACAATGGAATGATCTCGAGCAATGTGGAGGAAACTAGTACAGTTAGTTATTAGAGAAGCAGTTGAGAAGGTTAAGGTATACAAGACTAGATGTTGGGCCAGAGCAGACATTGGTGGGCTGGCAAAAGAGGGATTCTGGCGGCACTTGGTGTTGGGATTTTTGAAATGGTGGGGCCGGGGCTGTTGGAGGAAGGGGTGGTTGCAGCAGCAGTGCAGAGGAGAGTGGAGATGGGAGTTGTTGATAGTTTCTCACAGGTAGTGATGAGTCTGATGACAAATATATGCTGGAATTTGACAACAGTGAATGATCGAAATTCATTGCCCATGGATAAAGAAAAACTGTTTGCACTGCAGGGAGATAAGTCATTGTTATGGAGGGTCTGTATGAGAACACATAGGGGATTTGAAAGAAAGGAGAGGGGATGTCAAATTTGACGACTTGTTACTTAAGTTCATTTTTGTCTGTTAAGTACCAGTAAAAAATTATATCTTGAGTGCATTTTGCATTCAGTGGTAAGTCCCTTCCGTTTATAGTTTTGGCCCCTTTTAAGAAGAACTTGTTATTTTAAGTTATACCTAAATTGTGTTATCAAATACGCTTTTGAAAAATCAATCAATTGTTTAGTTTTAGGTAATTTAATGGGTTAGCGAGCAGCAGCTAGACAAGGCTTTATACCTACCAATCTGTTGACATGGTGGTACACTGTGGAACTATATCAGTTGACGTAGTCAAGTAGAATAACTCATGCTGATGCAGACAAACTCCTCCATTTTCAGTATTTATAATTTTTGTCCTGATTTAGTGACTTGAAAGCATGTTCCTTTTAGGTTTTATTTTGATTTACTTTACTATGAACAATATCATTTGCATATTGGAAAAAAGAAAATGATCATCTTTTTTTATTCCACCTGGTGTAATAATATCAGTTATTTTACAGGAGTGGTGATGTAAAAGTGCCACTCTGGCTGTTTCAGCTGATATACATTATATATATATATATATGTAAGTGTTTGTTTTATCATTTCTCTCTCTCTTGTTTCCCTGTGATTTTTTTAATTTAACTTTGCCAACCCCTGGTCCCGGTGGTGGTACGCTTATTTTTACTTATTGTTTAGAACATCCCGAGTACTGCATTTGACGTGCCCGTTACAAATCTTCTCTTGCCTTAAATATGTGATTTAAAAATGGAAAATCAGGATTGGGTTCATCCCGCCCTGATGATTTCAGAGTATTGTACTTGGTCTTTTGTATCTATGGGGCTATTGCCTCTGAAGCACATATTATCACTGTCAATTTGTCTAATATGTACATGTATACGTATTTTTGTCCATGTGCAGATAAGATACAAGCCAGGTATGGAGATGCTGAAAATTTTCAAAAATTACACATCGAAGACATCTTTACTTGATGATTTCATGTACTATGAAAATCGACAGAAGATAATGCAGGAAGAGAAAGCCAGGCTACTGATCACAAGCTATGGAACTCCATTCCCTGGACCTGCATTGGATCCCCCCCGCAAGCTAAACTTTGTGGTTGACTTGCCTTCTAGTGGAGAAGAGAAAATTACCAAGCATATAGGTCTGAGCAAGATAGAAAAGACAATAGCCTCTCCCAGTGAGCATATTCCATCAGATTCTGATGTTAAATCAAGTACTAATAAGGAAACTGCGAAGCACATTGCTAATGATAAGGAAACTGCGAAGCACATTGCTAATGAAGCAGAAGATGATAACGTATCTTCTTTAAAGATTGGTTTACTGACCATCAAACCAAAGCAGGATGAATCTAAACGTTCGGCGCCTGCTTCTTTTGCTGCTACAGTTATGGATACTAAACCAGTTGATGTTGTCACAGTAGGGTCAATGCCTATCAAAGTTAACGGATCTGCTGAATCTTCTGGTTTCATAACAGTTGGGAGTATCCCACTTGATCCGAGAGCACTGCAGCTTGATGAGGCAGGTGTTCTTACTAAAAGTGGGTCACAAGCTTGATAGTGCCGAACCATGTCAACTATCTTAAAGTTATTATGCTATGGAGCATCTACCATCCGGTGTTATCAGTATGGGCAGGATCCGTAGTCTTGAAATTTAAAGCTGTTGGTGTATCATACTCATCTTGGTTTTAACTGTAGTAGGTCATATGAATACTCTCTGTCATCTTTTTCTTTTTTCGTCGTCTCTGTTTTGTGTTGGTCTGTGGTAGTTGGTGATGTTCGTACACACACGACTCTTGTATGGGGTTCTTTTGGAGATCATGGTGGTGTTGGTTGATGATATTAATTGGGAAACACGGTGTAAACCAACCTTTTGTCTTTTTACCTCTTCCATAAATGAATTGAGAGGATACTGAGAAGTTGAAGTTTCTTGTTGATGGCTAAAATAGTCTTCCCCAATCTCTCTCTCTCTATCTCTCATACGTGCGCACACACGCGCACCTACTAAGGAATGGTATTCCTTGAAATGGAATTTATGGGTTGGGAAACACGGTGTAAACCAACCTTTTGTCTTTTTACCTCTTCTATAAATGAATTGAGAGGATACTCAGAAGTTTCTTGTTGATGGCTGAAATAGTCTTCCCCGATATCTCTCTCTCTATCTCTCATACGTGCGCGCACACGCGCACCTACTAAGGAATGGTATTCCTTGAAATGGAATTTATGGGTTTTCACCATTTATAGGTGCAAATGCAGTTTTCAGTTTGATCCAGGTGGGAAAGCCAATTTGGTCATATACGTGCATTTAGGAACTATAAATTAAGTATGAAATTAGCACAAACAAACCCGACCAAACATAAAGCAAATTCAGAGCGTATTGCATGAGTAATGCTTTTTGATTAACGAGTTCTCTTTTCAAATTTTCAAAGAAATAAAATTTACCAGATGGAGGGAAGAACAGAACAGTGAAAATAATTTATTTATTTATTTATTTTTTCGAACTAGAGGTGAATGATGTAAAAAATGTATTTTAATTTAAATAAAAGGTAAAATTAAATTGTATAATAATATATTAGTATAACGTAGTATAAAGTCGTCAAGTGAGAAGATTTTTTTTCTTAATTTTCTTTCGTGACATTTACTACAAATTAGTCTCAACCACATTTTTTCTCTCTCTCATGACAAATAATAATGCAAAATAGATGTCAATTTTGTAACATATATGATATATCAATCAGTTTTAAAAATGCCACGCAGTCTCTGTAGAACCTAGGGAGGTGTACGTTTTTTGGGGTTTTGTGCATTTTACCCGAGAGAAGAATCTTGAGTTGAATAAGATGGAAGATTTTAGAGTTGAATAGGATTTTGTAGAATTAATTAAGAGGATCAAGAATTCAAGATAAGAGTAGTAAAAAGGTTAGAAAAGTTCTAGCGGATCAAGATAAAGATAAATGCATCTCAGTCGTTGGAAATGTCTATAAATAAATACTTGTTTGTAATCGGTAAGTATCAAAGTTTCATTTGAGAAAGCTTCACAAATTAATCTAAAAATGAGATATATATATATTTATAGGTCAAATACTTACTTAAAGTACTAAACAAGAATGAATCTATTTCGGGTCTATATGGTTAGCTGGAAGTCCAATTTTGGGAGGTTGAGCTACTCTTAGAACAAGGAGGCGAAGAATTAAACTTACCGCTTATGGAACGATTGGATACTACCCGTAGACGATCAAATTGGTTTTTAACAACATTACATTTTATTAATCAATACGTGTTATAATCATAAATAAAATCATTTAAATATTTATTTCAATCAATTCATCCATTCAAACCACTTCATTTGCATTTATTTAACCAAATACACCAATTTAAATAGCATGTAGTTAACTTACATTACAAGTAATTAACCTACATCTCAGATAAAAGTTCATAATTATGATTAGAAACTTTATAAGCATTTATTTCAATTGTTAAAACAATTTAATAACTAACCATCCATTAAATAATACATAAAATTTAATAACTAACAATTCCTTAAACATATAAAGTATATTATGCATTCTAGAACTTTCCAATGTCCATTTAACCTATTTAGATTAATTAAAATAAGTTTTAAAATAATTCTGGATAATTAAAATAAAAAATTCAGGTTGTAACCCAATTGAGTCGGCTCGATTGCCAACTGAGTCGGCTCGATTACCAATCGAGTCGGCTCAATTCCAACTGAGTTGACTTAGTTGATGCTGAAGATCGTCTTCTTCATCGGTTCAACTTCTGTAAACCCTAAAACTTCATTGTTAAGGCCTCTAAGCTTCAACCTAAGTCCCATAAGTCCATATTAATTTATTTTAGATGTTTTAACATGTAAAGATGAAACTTAAACACCCAAATATGCATAAAAAATTCAAGAACATCAAAATCAAGAACATGTAAATAAACACATTAAACCCTCTGTTCTAAACCGATTCAAACATGCATAATTATTCAATTTTAATGATTACGCATCTTGAAATTTTCTAGTCATGTATGAAAACACAAATCAAAGGGAGAGAGTAAGAGAGGAAGTTGCTTCTTAAGGGTTTTGAATAAACCTAACTCCCTTCCTCTCCGATAAATCCCTTGACGGCGGCAGCCTCTGGATGCCGTCGTCCTCTGCAGGTTGATCTACACCCACACGAGCAACCCTTGCCTCCTTCCTTCCTTGGCCGAGACCTCTCTTCTCTCCCTCACGTTTTCCCCTTCTTTTCCCTCCCTGTTACTTCTCTATGTATCATATATAACGTAATATGTAATATAGCCTCCCACATACCTATATTATTATATATATAGGCTATAAAATCTAACCCTAATCCTAATTGTTTTATAAGTTAGATAAAAGGAAATATAATAAAAGAAGAAGAAAATAAAATAATATTCATATTTATATATATATGTCCTAAGTCATCAACGTGATATATATATATATATATATATATATATATATAAAACTATATAAATATTATTCACTATATTAACTAGTATTAATAACATAAATAATAATATTATTATTATAATCTCCTTATATACATATATACTCATATATATATATATATGTACAATAATTCATGGGTAAATATCCGTACTCGTTAAGACTCCTTTACAAATAGTCTATGCGACCCAAATAATTGGTCCATTACTATTATCAAAATTCATCCTTTAAAATACAATAAAATAAAATATAAAACAATTAAATCATTTAGTCTTAACAAATAATTGCAATTAAATTACACATCATTTAAGCAAGCAAAATACCCAATTACTCAGCTACACAAGCACCCAATTAAATTAAATAAATCACATAAACAATTAAGACAAATAAATATATAATCATATGGGCACATAAGTGCATAATCATGTAAGCATATAAAATACAATAAAATAAATAATTAAATTTCTTTTATACCCTTTTGAAAACTAGGGATTCAATAAACCTGATCCACCCAAAGAGATTCCCAATCCGAACAGAGAAGAAGTTGAATGAATGGCTTCTAAGTTCTAACATAAAAAGTTATCGCCGGGATTTACAAACTATTGGGCCAAATCTCCACTGGCATTGCTGCCGCCGCCGCAGAAATCATCGGTGACAACCAGGAGGTGGTGGAGATCCTTCAGAGTTTGTCAGCGAAATCCCATTCGATTGAAAACGATCCTATAACATGGCTCTCTCTCATATCGTTTCTCTCTCCTCTGGCAATTACAACGACAATATAAAAAAATCAACGGACTTTTCTTTGTAGATTTGGAACTCAAATCAGATATGTTCCAACCATCAACTCCTCCTGTAATATTAATACTCATAGTTATGGTAATGGTGGAGAAACCTAGGGCTGCAAATTCACGTTCTGAAGCAATTAGGGCTGAACTGAAAACCCTCTCGCTTGACTTCTTGTTGCAAAATTTCTGACACAAGCCAAACAGAGTTGATTATTAGCTATCCAACAAACCAAATAACAAATCCATTCAAAAAAATATAAAATATATTAGACAAATAAAAATTCATATATGAGATTTCAATATCTTTTTAGAGAATTTTTCCATTTGTTTTGCTGGCTTTTGTTATTCAAAGCAATGGAAGTTACGGAGAGTAGTGATGGAAAGTTGCCTTGGTTGGTATATTTTGGTTTTAAGTTGTCCACCCTCATTTACCATGGCTGGCTGGTTTTTTCAAGTCGGGTGGAGTAACAGCACTCATATAAAAATATGTATTTTTTAATGCGAGCAAACTTGACATAGTCACGTATTTTACTTTTTGTAATAATATAAGGAGGCAATATTTGTACTCTATTTTATTTATTTATTTACATTTACACTCTAATATTAAATAAAATAACAATTATAACCCCAACTTTATAAAGTAAATGATTACTACTTTTAAAATGACACAATTGCCCTTCAGATTTCCCATTATTATCTCTCATCTTTAATATTTAAGGTTACTTTGACAAGACTAAAAAATAAAAAAATTTGAATAAATCTTTTTTTTTTCAGGACCCAAAAAACGTATGTATATATATATAGGTTAAAAAAAAAACCCAAAAGAAAATATATTTATTGAAGAAATTATCTCTTTTGCCGAGATCTAAAAACAAAAAGTATGAAAAAAAGAGAGTATTATTATTATTTTTTTATTATCTATATTGAATAAAATATCTGTTTTGATAACCCAAAAAAAGAAAAGAATTTATTTCGATCTATTGAATAAATTATTGGGGACCCAAAAAAAAAATTATCTCTTTTGACAGGACTGAAAAAAGTTAACTTTATTAAATAAATTATTGTTTCAATTGTACCCAAAAAAACCACTATAAAATAAATTATTTCTTTTGACTGTCAAAAATAAAATTATCATTATGGAATAAATTATCTTCCTTTGAGAGGAGCTCCGAAAAAAATAAAAATAAAAAAATAAAATATAGCACATAAAAAAATAGTAAAGAAAGTAAAAAAGGTAAAAAAAAAAAAAAAAAAAAAATGTTATAGTTGCATAAAGGGTAATTACTACATTATAAAATAAGGACAGTACATTAATAAATTCAATGTTCTTTTTAAAAGAAAAAGTTAAATGTAGTGCAATCGGAGAAAAGTGGAATGCGAATATCGCCTCCCTAATATAAATGGGTAAAATCAGTTTTAAAAGTAATCAAATATGAAAAATAATAATAATAATAATAATTTGACAAATGTTGTAATTGAATCAAACATCCTGAGTTAGGAACTTGACTTCAACTAATTATCAATCTGAGTTATAAAAGATCTTGTCCAATTGTTCCAAGTATTTTGCACTCCTAATTAAATAAGCAGAAATAGAAATTTCATAGATAGATAATGTACCAAAAAATAAAGAAATAAATAAATTGTGTCACACCAAAATGCTTACTATCTTTACAAGATTGACTGAGATGGG